GTTCACATTACCAAGTGGCGTGATGATGCCGTCACATTCAAGGGTTTTTATTTAACGATGTTGACAGTGAAAGTTCTAGAATCCATCCGATAATTTAATTCCATGGTTTAATTAGGATTTGACTTCATGCTGACTTTGATATATCGCACTTTGACAGCTCTTGGAGGTGTGACCTCATTGTCATTCATTCCGGGTCACGTGACATCCGGAATATATTGTTAACATTACATGGGTCCAGTTCCGGTTGCAGCAGAGTTCGTACACTTTCAAGTTTCAAAGTTTATTGTACAGTTTAATTGTTTTAACAGTTCAGAAAAACTAATCGTAGGATGGATACAGACAGGTACCAAATTCTAGAGCCACGATGCCGAGAGACTGATGTTTCCAGTACAGTTGACAGTCTGTATCGCGACTCACGACCTCGAAACCATGTGCAAGATTTTTCAGTTCAGTGAATAATTAATAAACTCGTTATTGAACTTTACCTACTTGTTGTGTGAGCCTTCTGAATTTCGCTAGTTTCGACAAAGGTCACTTTGTAGATCCTTGTGATATATTGTCGCTAAACCTCGTCTCCAAGCTCTGGTATTTACTTTGTCACATTTTGTGACTGGTGGCATCATCCATTTATTTTAGTAGTTTACCCACAAGTAATTATCGACCAGTCTTGGGCCGTTCCGGTACAATAGACATGTCCTAGGGTAAAATTAATTGGGCTTCAAAACTCAAAAAGTTGTTTGGGTGAAATTTGGGAACAACAGCAGACACAATCTATTGATAGTCTTATGACAGGGTTTATGATACGACTGAAATGTATATATGAACACATCTTCCCGAGGCAAGTGAGTTAACTGACTATAAAAGTCCAGTTTCCAGTTAGAAGGGACATAACTCGTAATAGCCACTGGTGGCGCTACGATCGGGCCCAGGAATTCCAGCATAGTTCGGCAAGGATGGAAAAGGGTCTTTAAAAGTCAGTTAACGCTCTTGCCTCGGGAAGATGATATGAACAGGGCTGGCATTCCTCACCGACATGTGGTTCTAATAAACTTGTCCTATTCATTGTTTGCAGTTCCCATTAATCATACGTAGAAACAGGTCGATATAAATAACAAGAGAAAAAAGAATTTGCAAAACATGTAATTCTTGATATACAGAGAATGTGGATAACTTGCTTTTTTGTGAGGCTTATGCAGATCTGCGTTAAATGTATCATCCTAAGAAATAAAAACTACATGCCACTTTACAGAACTATAATGCATTAATGTCTGTTGATAACATTGATACCGTTAGACATTTGGCAAGGTTTGTATTCTATGCAATGCAATAAAGAAACAAAAGGGTTAACGTGTAATTCAATGATTGCTAGCTGGCTGCACCAGTGATCGATGCGTAGACACACAACGCATGCATCTAAAAGGGTGTTATTGGCATATCGTACTTGAAAATGTAAAGTCCGTGAGTTTGTGCAGTTTGTCGATGATCTATTGCAGAACTCGCGAACAAATACGTTTGAAATAGTGTATACAGACTTTCACAGTTGTATTGTAGTACAAGAATCGTGGCATTATAAAGGTTCAGAGCATCACTAATAGCCACAATATCATCCCCGCCTCTACTTACGACCTGTATGCCAGTTATATCGCGGCGTGTCAGCATAATGTGTGAGGAAAGCCCGAAGTAATGCAGGTTTCAGACGTTTACCACTTCGGTGAAACCCACGAGCACGGGTGTGGTGCTGACAAACCTAGAAACAATCGGGGCCAACCGGGATTCGAACCCTGTTGCAAAATGAGACCGAGTGGACATCCGGAAGAAAGGTCGCCCTCATTCACCGATGCAATCATGAATCCTTCATGCTCCGAAACTGGACAGTTGATATTTACAACCGATTTCATAGCAGATAAATCATCTGCTGACTCGTATGAAATTACATGGTCAATATGACTTGATATCTGAAGCCACATAGTCCCAACATCATTTTGTGATATCAGCCATTTATAATATCCAACCGTGATGCCTGAATTATGTTACTCTCAAACGTATCTGGTCAAATCCTTGGCAACACTGATAACCTTTTATATATTTTGTCCATGACGCATTATGATTCTCTGAGAAGATTATTCACACCGGTAATCTATAGCCTCCATGCACTATCATCATACATCAAGAGCAGTTATATCCTGGGCCCACTTGCACAAAGCGATCTTAGCGCCACAAGTATTGTAAGCCTATGTTAAAATATGGGAGTTACGATCATCTTAGTGCTAACATCGCTTTGTGCAAGTGGGCCCTGGTGCAGACTGATTAAGCTACCTCAGTATAGAATTCACCGCTATGCATATAAAACGAATAAAACCTTTGATTACACATGGGTATCTTATATAAGAACGATTTTATTTAGATATGGCTTTGGATTTATATGGCTTTCTCAAGACATGCATCTCAAAACTATCTTAATGATAATGGCGAACATACCTTGTCATCGCGAATAAGAATTGTTTTATTTAGTTATGGATTTGGATTTATATGGCTGTCTTAGACTTTGGTTGCTTTTCGTCATTTATAATAAGCTTAATGGTGAGCTTAAATTTAAGATTTTATGACTGCTTCATTCAATTTGGCCAACTCCTTCGACGATCTAAGTGCAATTATATTTCTCGGTTAAAATCTTTACTCCGTGTGGAAAACTATTTAAGCTGTAACCTTCTCCCTTATCAACGGAAAATAAAAACTTGAGCCTTGCCGTCAAGTAGAGACTTTATATAAAGAACGTCCCTGTTTATACTGCTAGGCTGGAGGCATTGGTTAAGTTGAGGAGGAACTACATGTATTATTGATATATGACAGCTACAAAACCGAGAAGAGAATGTTTAGCCAATCATCAACCCACCAATAACTGAAACCTTTGAAAGACTGATGGCAACCGACAATATCCATTGTATTACATTTTTATTAAATTTCTTTGTTTTACTAAAGATCAGAAGCAAAACAGGTATCGATGTAACGTAAAGTGATGACTACACAATGCCATTTAGAAAGTGGTCAAATGTAACAAATGTTATATTTGGGATAACACTTTCTTAGTAAACAACAGATTCTCGTAATTTTGGGGGGTTGAGTCCCGTCCGTGATTCGAACCAACACTTGCCAGAGTCAGGCACCTAATCGCCAGCACACAAAGGTAGCGATCTAACCCACTCAGCCACCGAGGCTCCTAGAAAAATGAAAGTCCGACAACTAGTAGTCTAGATCACGTACTTTGAGTACCCCTCTGACAAGTGTAAATTGGCACGGCTCCCATGGCCGAAAGCTATGAATACACAATGCCATTTAGAACGGATGGGACTCAACCCAAAACATGTACGAGAATCTGTACTTTACTTAGAAAGTTTTATCCCAAATATAACATTTGTAACGTCAAGTTGTTTGCACTCCACCGTTTATTCAGCAAGTACATTCAGTTATGTTCACCATCTTCTTTGTATTATTGGCCTAGGACCTACAGTACAGAATAAAGTCTGTCTGTCCGCAATCCAAATTTTACATATTTGTTCATTATTGCCCCTGTTATTTAATAATGACGAGAACTAAGTGATAAAGAGAAGTTCTGAACTATCCCTATCATTTAAAAAGACCACACATTTTATTGAAACCACAATCAATACAATAAATAACAATAAACGGATCGGCATGACTAGGTTTGTTGTTAATCACAAAGTACAAAGTCACTCCTTAACAAATGTTGCACAATCTTCAATACAACGATTGCTTGTCTTTGTAGAATTACAATGGAAAAAGTAAAGAACTAGCAAATAGAGAGCATGTGGACGAGATTGTGCATGAGTTTCGAGATTAGATATTTTTTTAGTTACTACAACACCAGATATATGTAATTTTTTTTTTAGCTCCGAGCCTGAATTTTTTGTTTTAAGACTTTTTGCTCAAAAGTGCCCCCGCCCCCTAACCACCCCAAAATATCAAATGGTCGGCCCCTAAGATACAGTTAGTTCCACATTACATTAAAACTTTTCACTAATCAGGTCCGAAATTGAACAGGATATCAAATAACTTCGATACGAGTAACGTGGAACATTATTATGCTTCAGAATATTGAAAAAGAAGAAAATTGTCAGCCACAAACAATATATTGTTGCAAGACGTGTATTTTCAAAAACAATTTTAAGCTCATATTTATAATTACAAAAAAGATCTGGGTAGTGATATTATCTATTGTTGACTTACACGTTTTATTGCCACGGTTGTGATATGTGTCCTGTAAAATACACGTGTAACAACTAACACAATAATTTCATTCTCGCCCCCATCTCACCCCAATGGATAGAGTGTCTGCCGGGAGCGTGGAAGGTCGGTGGTTCGATACCCACCCGCGGCGCTGAGTGCGGCGTTAAACAACAAACCAACCAACCCATCTGCGTCATACCAAAATACGTTAAAGATCATTTTTATTACCCTGCCTGGAGATCGGCATTAATGGGATAAAACAAGGACTGGTCGGCTCGAGTCTGTAGACTGTTTCTGAGTTGGGTATCCACGGCGGCATGGTATCCCGCTGGTCTCCATTAAACCGGCATGACTAGTACAAGCAGCCACACACGCACATACAGGCACACAGGTATCTAGATGAACGCAATAATCTCGAACGCGGCCTTAAACCCCCTTTCACCTTTTGCTGTGAGTTCAATCATAAAGGTTTACTGGGACAGGAACCAGGATTGAGTTCAACGAAGCAATGTAAATGTATTGTTATATATTTCAAAAGGTTGTATTTGATGGATGAATATCAGTGACCTTGTGTATTCGATTCATGAGTATCAGTGACCTTGGCGAAACGTTAACAATCATCCAACAACGGAGTTCATAATGTCTCCTTTGTATTTAGGGGTGGGTGGGGTAGACTAGTGGTTAAAGCGTTCGCTCGTCACGCCAAAGGCCCCGGTTCGATTCCCTCCATGGGTACAATGTGTGAAGCCAATTACTGGTATCCCCGCCTTGATCTAACTGTAGTATTTCTAATAGCGGCGTAAAATTCAACTCACTCACTAACTCTTTGTATTTGAATGTTCAAAATGTATCATGCAAAACTGTATTTGACAAACAGATGCATATCATGTCAAAAAAAACCTTAAAGTTATGAAAGTCAAATATTGACACATAAACGACAGTTTAAATACTAGTAGATGATAATCAATGCAAAGTAAGCTAATGTATATATGTTTTGATTGGTATATGAACAGTTGACAAGTGGTTTCATTTTTTGTCTGACAGAATATATATCTTTACCTGTAGTTCCAAATTTGAAAAGCCTTAATTTAATTTTATTTATAGATTATATTATTTCAACAATTTCTATGATATATAAAGATCCATCAATGATTTAGAAATCAAGGATCGTGAAAGAGTCTCCAGATCAACAGGGTCCCACGAGGTGAAGGTCACTGTACGAAACGGTTCAATCATGAGGAATCCATTGTCAGAGAATCTGCCAGAAATTCCGACTGCATCCAACCAAACGAATGGAGCGATGTGATCAGACTCAATGGCGACTTTAAACTCAGTGTCCGACATCATTGTGACACCAGTTATCTATAAATATATAGAGAAATGGTCGTAAATACAAACACGTGTGTCAAATAAACCCTTTCCATAATCGTGATAAGAAATATGTACTCTAAAATCGATTTATTAATCGATTCCGACTAAATCATAAGAATGTATTTAAGAATCACTATAAAATTGTAATGATAAGAGGTGTATGTGAAAATGTGAGCGTATCCTGCCCCGCGGTTTGTGAACAGGTTAATGAAAGGAAAACACATATATTTCGTGATTAGGTTTTACACAGGTGCAAACTTCAAACTATGGAGGGGGGCTGGATGGCCTGGATGGGAAGGCGAGGTGTGCAGTCTTCATAACAGAGGGGCAAATAAAATTGGATATTACAGAATTATGGAAGCGTATTTGTAGCATCTACGCAGATATACTTTTTAGAATGTGGCATTAATATGCTTCCAGAGAGAAAAGTTGTTTGTGAATTCAATTTTTAATTTGAAACGTATATGAGTATATTGCAACCCTGCAGCCTTCTGCATTACCCAGGTTTTCAGAAGGGCTGTATTCCCGGTAGCAAACCCGGGTACTCTCCCAATGTCAGTCAACAAATTGGAAGGTACAAAAACTAAGGCACCGAGAACAACGGGTGGTCGGACATCTTGGTACTTGGGATGCAAGCGGGACATTTCGAAAGCGAGGTCTGCATATTTGCATATTTTCGCGCGTTCACCTCTAAACTCCAGATTTTCTACATTTGTATTCTGCCCGAAATAGTTCCTTGACATGGGCATTCTGGAGTCTTGGCATTCCCTAACCTGCACCCCTAAGTACGTATAGGCCTGACCTTCCATGAGATGGTCAATAACTCCTACCCCAAGTAAACTGACTGATCCTCCCTCTTCTACCTTGCCACATTTCAGATGAAGAATGTTTCATCTGTCGAGCCCAAAGGACATACCAATATCATTTCAGAAAACGACTCGACAAGCAGAATCTGTTTTTTTTAGTGTGGATCCTCTATTGGCAATAAGTTCAAGGTCATCCATGCAAAGGAGGCGAGTAAGAGTGTTGGGAACTGTGCGAAGGAGGTCCAGGATGATAACCTCCCTCTTTGCTAAAAAGCTTAAAGAATTAAGTGACAAACAAAAAAGCAAAGGACTAATAGAATCGCCCTGAAATATTCCTCTTCCAATAGAAATGGGTTCCGAAGTCACCACCTGCCCCTGCGAATACATCTCAAGTTGAGTTGACCAGCAATTCAATAAAGACTTGAGTAACACGCTCGGGGAGGTCAATACATTCCAAAGACTTCAAAATCCTTTCGTGAGGTACAGAATCATAAGCTTTTCTGTAGTCTATCCAACACACTGAGAGGTTACGGTGGTAAGCTTTAGCCTCTTCAAGGATAATTTTCTGGAACTTAGATTATTGTTATTATTATTGTTTTCTTTTGGAACTTGGCTGACAAAGGAAGGGTGATAATCAGGATAAATCGTAACTTCGAACCAGAAACAAATGCATCACTCAACAGCGAGTTGTTGTGCATTTGGCAACTTAATATTCGTGCCCTTTAATGAGTTTTATAAGGTAAAACATACCATAATTTGAGCTTTGGCGAGTCCAGTGACGTTGTTGTAGTGGGTGAGGGGGAGGTATGTGTTGATCCCGCCAGCTGGGTCATTCAGGTACACGTAGAAAAAACAGCTGGACCTACCTGGGCAGGCGCACGTCATCAACAGATCGTCAATATCATACCTCCAAACTGACTGGGACGATCTCGTCACCTGGAAACCAAATACTCAGTCTGGCAAAAGCTCAGTAAGTTCAAATAGCTTCACACAAAAAGAGCCGATTTTCAAGCTTGCATCTATTTTGTATATTTTCCCGGGAGGTGAAGATACAGCCGCGAATAGATGGAAAATTGCTGATTTGCTGATGCGGCTTAAAACAATATTCATTCATCAATTCTAACGAGGTGCACGATATAGAATCAATTTCTACACCTTTTGGTTAATTATCGATATAATTGTCTGTTAATTAGTGTGATTGAATACACTTAATTACATTGTATGCATAGGTGTATGTCATGAGAGGGGTAAAGCTGTCCCATCGGTAGATCTGGATGAAGAGCGTTCCTACGGTGGCTTCAGTTGTCTTCTTCATCAGATGCACGGCCTCGTGGTTGGGGAAGCTGGACTGGAGGAGGCTGGTGGAGGCAGGGGTGAAGACGTTCATACCGGTCTTGGTGTCCTTGACCTCGGTCAGGGGGATCTCGTCCACCACCATGTAGATGTTGAGGAAGTTGCCGTCCATGAAGGGGGAGATGAGCATTGGAGCGAAGAACTTCCGAGCATAGTAGTGCAGCATCTTCCATTTGCCTTTGTAGTCTGGTTTGAACATACAATCTGTTTCATTCAAAACGCACAAGGCTTTTAATTACAAACTATATTTTGTACGTGGTCCGCGTTCACGAAGAAACAACACACATCCTTATAACCCTCGCCACTTGAAATATAGAATCACGAAATGATTAATTAACGAAGATAGCTGCATGTGTGCTTATACTATTACAGTGAAAACAAGCCAGTCTCTCGATATAAGGAATATAATTATCAAAAATTGCGAAGTGCGCTTTTCAAGAAATTTTGATCACGTGGATACAATCTGGGTATGTATCGACAGTCAGGTGACGTTGGTTGATAGCGCTTTAAATACTTCATCTGCACGTACTTTTCCTTCAGTTCGTGCTGGCAATGTTCGAACGATGCACACGCTGCTAAGTATAGTCGCTCGCAGTCACCCGACGGCCGATCCTCAATCGTATTGTAACCACGTGATCAAAACTCAATGATGATGTTCGCTAAGAAATTGGACATTTCTTGAAAAGCGCACTTTGCAATTTTTGTAATATTCCTTATCGGCGGAATGGACTGTTTTCTCTTCATAAGTGAGTGGGTATGGTTTTACGCCGCTTTTAGCAATATTCCAGCAATATCACAGCGGGGGACACCAGAAATGGGCTTCACACATTGTACCCATGTCGGGAATCGAATTCTGGTCTTCGGCGTGACAAGCGAACGCTTAAACCACTAGACTACCCAACCGCCCCTCTCTTTATAAGTATTAGCACACATGCAGCGCTGTCTTCGTTAATTTGTCATAGCTGTATTTCGTGATTCTACTTCAAGTGGCGAGGGCAATAGTATTGTAGACCGTGTAAACGTGCACTTTGTAGCTGTGTTGGAAATACAAAGTCAAGATGGCGAGAAGAAACGTTTTGAATTTGTGGGTTGGGTGTTGTTTTTTACCTGAAATGTGGATGTTCTGGCTGTCATGGTTTTCCCTTTTTATATTCCCCCAAAACGTAAGTTGATTGTTTCTGCCTAATCAGACGAAGGATGAACAAAAAATTATTTGCCAAAAACAGTGGACATGTTTTTGACGGCAAAGAAATATTTGGCTGTGATGTGACTGACCTATACTAGCCCATGTTGGTGCCTGCCAGATGTCATTAAGCTGCCAGTAGAGGGCGCCCATAGTCTGTCCCCGCCCATCTGACGTCAGGTCATTCTGCCAGCGGCGGTAGTGCTCAGTCTCAGCCTGTACTGACACGGCCTGGTTGATCTGGGAGAGACAGGAAGTATCCTTGTAGTGAGTGAGTATTGTTTTAAGCCGCCTTCAGCAATATTCCAGCAATATCAGGACGGGGGACACCAGAAATGGGCTCCACACATTGGAGTCGAACCCGGGTCTAACGCTTTCACCACTACCCAACCGCCCCAAATGCCCTTATAGAATGCTCCTCATAATACAAAGCAAATTAGAATTATATAATGCTGAACCAGAGACCATGGTCTCTGGCTTAACCAATCGGCTTAGTGGTCTGCAATGCGTTGTGTGGAGTTGCGTCCCTTGAGTACGACAGACAACAAAGATCGTTGGTTCGTTATGTTTCTAGGTTTGCCAGCACCATATCCGTGCTCGTGGGTTTCAAGTGGTAAAGGTCTGAGATCTGCATCACTTTGGGCTTTTCTCCAACATCAAGCTGACACGCTGTGATATGACTGGAATATTGTTCAACGCAGCGTTAAACCAAACTCCTTCACTCACTCACTCACTATGGTTTACGTAAGGCAAAAAGAAAATCGTGGTTTAAGGTATGGCGATAATGCAGGGCCACTCCGTGTACCATATTAATAATACGAAAGTTCTGCTGAAATCATTGTACGATTTCGAGTGTAGGCAGTTGGTTCTCACACAATGCATTGGACTCATGTCCTACGCGTCCTAAGCGTATATAAATAGAGGATATTTCATGTGTGGACTGAAATATGTTTCTTTCATCGAGTCACGGGGACAAGGAGATATTTCCACGAGTGAAAATATCTGCTTTTCCCAGTCACGAGACACATGGAATATCCTATTTATTACATACTTTTTCTGTAGTTGTCTACCGGAATGGGTGGGGTTGTTTATATAACAAATGTAAAACCATGAAATGTAAATTCTCACTATCTAACACGCAGGTAATTGCGACTTAAAAAGTAGTTCCGAGTTTGCAAAATCTTAAAAATGTGAACAAAAATAATGAAAACTATTTGAGGTCACTAAAATTCTTTATCATACATTTGCATATGATTATATACAAAATGAACTTAAAAAACATCTTCAAAGCGAAAAGCTTGCTGTTTGAAGCCAAGGAGTACACCCTGGTCAAGTAACAATAATGGTGCTTTGCGAAACGAACAGTCTCGATTGACGAGTTAAATGAGAAATATAGAGTTTATAAAGAAACATTTTCAAGAGAATAGCAAACGGCATGAAGCGATATTAGCTTCATAAATGACCATCTTTCATTATTTTGCCTAATTGGAACTAACGAAAAAAGTAAGTCAACAGTTTGTGTTCGGTCCTGACGCTTACAAAAAAGAGAGACACTTGCGGGGAGGTAACTCTTGTATGACAATAGTTCATTCAAAATGTTACATAGGTTTTATTGTATACTTTACTGTGAAAGACCGAGACATAGAGTTACCTCCCCTCCTATTTTATAATCATATCTATATGCATGATACAGAATTTTAGTGACCCTAAATATTTTTTGTTACTTTTGTTTATATTTCTTAAGAATTTGCAAACACGAAACTACTTTTTAGTCGCAAATACAAGGGGTTGTGAACCGTCCCGGTGTGTTAGGTACTGAGAATTTACGTTTCAAGGTTTTACATTTCTAATGAAATATATTAACTACTCAAAAAGTATATAATGAATAGGATATTCCATGTGTCTCGTGAAATATCATGTTTCTCTCATCACTCGACACCTGAAATATCTTATATTTATTACCATTGGGTCAGAAATAACCAACTTCATAAAAATCGTATGTGCACTATTAAGAAATTGTTACACTCACATGTGTGTCATACTAATTTAAAGAAACTCGTGTAACAATTCGTGTTTTACCCTCGCTCTCGTTTGGGAAATACAAGAATTCAGAATCTTGTTTCGTACAATCAGTATGACACACATGTGTTACAATGTCTATATACGAGCTTAGTTTACATCACTCACCTGTGTTAAGTAGATGAGGTCACTAAATCTTTGTTTGGCATCTGAATTAGTCGTAGGTTCATTAAAGTGCTGGAGAACCTCTTGCATCATCTGAGTATTACCTGCAAGCAATGGACAGATGTTATATGCACTGGGAATGAAGACTAATCTGTCTCACAGTCCCTGAACCATATTACTTTCCCTTCCGCCCAGCCCTTACTGTAATGTTATGGTCTTAAATGAAGCAAGTTTAGATGTTCCACATGTTCAAGGTCTAATATCATCTGCAGAAAATCTCTGATCTCATTGGAGCTACCTTTCATTTTAAATGTAGTTGTTTGTTTCTATCAAAGTTCTATCTTTTCAGAGGCTAAGGGTTAGTCTAAATGAGGACATAAAATGGATGGATAGCATTTTTATTGTTTACAACGACGTTTGAGTGCTACTTGTGGTCCCTCTGAATTAGAAAACTGCTAAATATGCGTAGGAGAGTCACCATACATACATGCTGATATTTGAAGAGCGTAGGATTAATATACAAAGATAAACAACTTAACGAGGAAGCCAATTCGATTTACGAGAACCAATATAGCCGAAGTGAATACAGACTGATTGGGTTGGATAGTAAAAGGAAGTAGTAATCCATATTAAGGGCGTACAAGGGCGTATATAATCACTAATTTGATACTTTTGATTTGTGTATACGAATGCTCGGGATAGGTTTAGATTCAAACAGCAGTTTATTTGACCTAAATATAAAACGTCAACGCCAGAGAATAACCAGTCTCGATTGTCACCCGAAACAGATTCCATTGGGCATAAAAGGTGGAAATTATTTGAATGGATCCCTGAAAATCAGTGGTGACACAAGGTGTTCGCGAAAAGGGCAAGCATGTTCAAAACGATGCGGGTGTTGTTGTGTATCATGATCAGTGTCAAGTTAGATGTTTCATGATAGAGGTGATAGCTTTAGAACTTTAGCACTGACCATGGTCCTCATGATTTCTGTGACTGGACATTGGTCCCCAGAAGTCAAAGTCCCCCGAGTCAAACACATCTTCCAGGGTCTCGATGTCACACCAGGCCTGGATCCCGTACTCAGAGGCGAAACGAGGGATTCGAAATGATGATTCATTCCACAGGTCAGAAACGAAATCATAGAAGTGAACTGTTCCAGGAAAAAGAATTAGGACATTAAGACATCTGTGAGAATAATAAATATAACTGATAATTGGTTATGGGGTCCCAGAGAGATGGAACCCGTGTAGATCCGGGGTAGAATAGGTCTTCAGTAACCTATGCTTGCCGTAAAAGGCGACTATGCTTGTCGTAAGAGGGAACTAACAGGATCGGGTGGTAAGGCTCGCTGACTTGCTTGATGCATGTCATCGATCCCAATTGCGTGGATCAATGCTCATGATGTCAATCAGTGGATTGTCTGGTCCAGACTCGATTATTTACAGACCGCCGTCATATAGCTGGAATTTTGCTGAGTGCGGCGTTAAACAACAAACCAACCATCCAACCACCTTGGTGAAACCAACCAGCACAACCAAGGATCACAACGAGACGATTTTGGTATTCGATCGGCGGATCCTGTTACGCCTAAGGGACGCAATTCAACATTCAACATGCAATGACATTATATACAGATATATGCTTTAATTAAAACAATTTCATAATACTGAATTATATATAAGTGAACAAAACACGTATTCAGAACAAAAATCTTAATGCAAACACAAAGCCAGGGAATGCTGATTCAGCGTATCTTTAAGCATTGACTTACTGTCGCCATACAATTCGGACTGAGGGTCTTTAGCTACCCATCCTTCCTTCTCTGTATCCTTGCCATTACTGGGACTGGATGACAGATACACACGGGTCGGGTCTTCCCTGTCTACAATAGTCTTGATGGTTGTCACGTACAACCTGATGAAGTCATTGTAGTAGAGCGTGTAGTTATCCTGGCTGCCATACCTGAAAATATCATGACTCAATCTCATTGACATCAGATCTTAGTTCTCCCTTTGTTTAGCGGTAGCGAGAACTAAGATCTGATTTTAATGAGATTGTATCATGACTTCAACTGTCTGCATTTGTAGTTTGTTAACAGGGGAGAATAGAAGACATTTCCGAATGACAAATCCTACAGATGTGGGTAATCTACAAGTAGAATATGGAAGGGGTGGGAAGGTTAATTTTATTTTACTGTCATACCCACCAGTTCGCTCTCAATCCTTCCTCATTCTCGTTACTTCCTGCCCACAGAACTATAGATGGATGATGTCTCGTTCGTCGAATCTGTGGATAGTACGGTAGCAGTCAAGTAAAACATGGTATTCGAAAGTGTGATATGTGTATCTTAGTATGTGATATATGTCGTCCTAGTGAGTTACATGTGGTAGAATGTTATGCTTGTGTTGTACCTTCCTCCCAAGGCAGGGGGTTAACTGACTATTAAAGTCCAGTTTCCACCCTTGCGAACTCGGATGGAATTATGGAATTAAATTTTGGCGTGACTAACAAGTCTATGCATAGTCCAATCAAAATCGCGTAACGAAATCGACATCCGGTGCGAAAACTGACCTGCAGATTTCGGTCGATTGCAGGATTTACAAAGCATGTGTACCGCCAACTCGGAGTCAAAAGATATTTTCCAAATCTGTTCAAGTTTTTAATCAAGGCGCTCACGTGAGTTGGTGCACTTCGCGAAGTAAGACACGTTTTATCACAATATAGATTTTAATTATCGATCAGATATGGTCTTGACTGGGCGCCGCCATTTTGTTTGAAGTGAGAAGTGATATGAGAGGTGGAATCTGATTGGTCAATAGGAGGAACATAGAAGGGACATAACTCAGAAATTCCAACCTTGTTCGGCAAGGGTGGTTACTGGACTTTTACAGTCATTTAACGTCCTTGACAATAAAAATGGTGTGATACCTGATGTGTGATCTCTTGGGACACTGTTTCAAGGAAGTCTGGAGTGCTGGGGTAGAGGGCATCACTATACATCAGGTCCTGCCAGATCATGATGCCAAATTCGTCCGCGAGCTCATAAAAATCCTCTGACTCATAAACCTGCCAAAGTTATGTCAAATATTGGAATAATACACTGTACATCTTGCCTCTAATATCAACTACAAAACCTGGCCAAAAATAGGTACCTGGCAGAACCGTCGCCGATACCGCATCTTTTATGATGCTGAAGTTGCTGGACCAGATACACCACTTGACAAAGAAAGGATGTCACTCAGATTATGTCGATAACAAGGGCAAATATGACGATCTGGAGTCCCTGGCGCTAAACTCTCTCAATTGGTGTTCGCCTAACAAACTCGGCGCTTTTAGCTAACAGGCGACAAACAAAACTTGTTCAGTTATAGGCGCATGCGCAGCGACCTTAATGACGAATGGTAATACACACGGAGACAAGTTTACACCTCGAAAGTTTGTTTTGGGCGATAAAACATATAACAAATTGCCCCCCTAGAGTTACTTTTGGCGTGTGCAAATTTACTTCACATCCGCTTCTCAGTAATTCGACCTATGGATGATGCGTTTAGCGTCGTCCATTCGCGGCCTACGAGACATCGCTCTGGTAGACCGGTGCCCAGACAATTCCCGGCCAATGTTCTAAAGACATCCGGCTATTCAATTTATTATTGTCGGTTAGCTAGGCTATGCATGGTCGGGTCAGTGAGATGAGTGGGTGAGTATGATTTTACGCCGCGTTTAGCAGTATTCCAGCAATATCCCGGCGAGGGACACCAGAAATGGGCTTCACACATTGTACCCATGTCGGGAATCGAACCCGGGTCTTCGGCGTGACGAGCGAACGCTTGAACCACTAGGCTACCCGACCTCGCCCGTCAATGAGATGAAGTGTGACGACACTTTGAAAGGTATTTAATGTACATCGTTATTATTGCATGTAAGTTTCAAATATGAAGAACGCTCAAAGTAAAGTACGTTGCACACGTTGGTGAAACCAACGAATAGGGTACAGTGTGAAAGACCAATGGTCACAATCGGGATTCAAACCCAGGGTTAGCGGATCCTGGCACCGTTGACCACTTGACCACTCATATACCCAAGGCAAGGAGGCTCAAAAAGCTTGTGAGTGAGTGAGTATGGTTTTACGCCGCTTTTAGCAATATTCCAGCAATATCGCGGCGGGGCACACCAGAAATGGGCTTCACACATTGTACCCATGTCGGAAATCGAACCCGGGTCTTTGGCGCGACGAGCGAATGCTTTAACCACAAAGCTAACCGACCGCATGTATGTATAATATACATGCATCAGAACATTTCTTACAACAACAATAGTATCAATGTATTAACTAGGAGTGTTATTCTCACCCCTCCTCCCCAAACTCTCATTGAGTTGATGTGAACTTCTGCTGCTGATTGGAGCAGACGGCGCAGATGTTCTCTGGTAATATTTTCTTGAAAACTGTCCGCGGGGATCCAATTTGATCCCTTGAAGAAAACTGGTAAATCGTTTATCTTGAAATAGAACGTAAAACCTGTGAAAAAAGGATAATAATTAATCAACTTAACAGAGGACAGTGGACCTGAGTTAGGCCTCCGTTACATCATCTGCGCCACTATGTTCATTTTCTATTTTTTCTTCATCGTATTTGAATCGCATTTCGTTTGTATTCTTTTCGCGTAATTCGCATTTCGTTTCTACTGTAATCCCTGTTTGGTATTTTTGTCCCTCATCTGAGTAAACACGTGTGAATTGGAGAGTCGGGTTTTTGATATATTAGCGTGGTGGCAGCGGTTAATCCACCCAAAACGCCTTCGACACACAGAAGGATTTAACCCATAACTACCTCCAAGTAAGAATACACACAATAAGCCAGTTTACCTTCCGACAAGGCATTTTCACTCGCCGTGAAACGATCGACGAAACACTTTCGGTCGTAACTTGAATCCGCTACCTGTGAAAAACACCGTTCCTGTTCAGTGAAAATCAATCAACTTGGTACCCAAACGTTTCTTTTGCATTGACTGTAATCATGGCTACTCCTCGCGCTCCCAAACAATGGCAATTAACAAAAAATGAGACCATCACATCTTTTGAAAACTGGCGTCAAAATCTGGTATATATTCTCTCACTTGATGTCAATTTTGCTCCATTTTTGGCTGATGGTTTTTCATGGGAGAAGAAAACAACTACCCATCCAAATAGGGGCCTACACGACGATGGCGAAGCTATACCCGAAGCCAGACGCAAAACAGCAGCCCAGAAAAATGTACATCTTGATCTAATGTTGGGTCAAATATGCAACTTTTGCAATGTGATCAGCCGCAACACCATCATCAAGAATTCAACATCAGTGAGAGACATTTGGCAGAAAATCCGCCAACATTATGGCTTCCAGTCAACCGGTGCTAATTTCCTAAACCTCTCTGACATTAAATTCATGCCTGGAGAACGCCATGAGGACCTTTTCCAGCGTCTCACAGCCTTTTTCGAGGACAATCTTCTCACCACTCAAGGCGGTATAACACATCACGGCCTTGTTCCAGATGTAGATGAAGATTTGACCCCGACACTTGAAAATACCATTGTTATGCTTTGGCTTTCTCTCATCCATCCACAATTGCCCAATCTTGTAAAACAAAAGTATGGTGCCGAATTGCGTAACCAAACTATATCATCAATCAAGCCAGAAATATCTCAGGCTTTGCTCTCTCTCCTGGATGAACTGAAAAGCATTGAAGACTCAAAGGTTCTGCGTTCAGCTGCTTATTCCTCTTTTCAGAAGCAGAACTTTTCAAAGAACAAAGCAGTTGTCAAAAGTTGCATCCTATGCAAGACTGCAGGTAGGCCAGCCTACAATACCCACTGCCTGAAAACATGCCGTTATCTTCCTGACACTGATAAACGCCAACTGTTTAGCAACTCAAGATTGGCCAATGCTGAGGAAGAACCTGACTTGCAAGTGGATGATGAGATTGCAGCTAAATCTGACAGTGACTTTACTCTAAACCCATTACTTGATACACCAACCGTCAGCCGTGTTGATGTTATTCAGTCTCCTTTCCTCAATGCTTATTATGAACAACATCCAGTAAGGTTAACCCTTGATACTGGAGCAACTTCAAACATGGTACAAGCATCATTTGCCAAGGCTATTAACTTACCCATAACACCTGCATCTCAGATGGCTCGTCAGGCTGATGGAATAACACCCCTTGATGTCATTGGGGAAGTCCATTGTACCCTTACCAGAGAGAATGACACCTTCACACTTGATGCCCTCGTTGTTAAACAATTGGATGTCGATGTACTTGCTGGTAATCCTTTCCATGTCACAAACGACATCGCAACTCGTCCTGCTACACGACAAATTGTCATCAGAGGTCACAAGGTCATCCATTATGGTCCACAACCAAATCGTCATGCTACCATACGTCGCACTCAGGCACACCTTCTCAGAGGTCCTCCAGTTCAAACTGCCATTCTCCCAGGCCAGTTCATCGATCTCCATACACCTGAGTGTGCAGATCCCGATACCAGTTGGGCCTTAGAGCCCAGATTTGACTGTCCTAGTAATCAAGACAAAAAACCTGAACAAGCTTGGCCAGAGGTACAAGAGGTAGATTCTGTCGGTCACACTATCAGACTTTGTAACTCAACAGATGAACCTATTGTTCTCAAACGCAATGAACACCTTTGTCAAATTCGTCCTATTGTATGTCCAGAAACACCACAAGACACTCCACGTCCAGCTGTGACTCACCATCAAGCTGCTGGTCCACACTCTGCTGCTGTGTGTCTCAATCCTGATGGGTGTCTATCTTCTGACATATGTGATAAGTTTGCTGCTCTGCACCGAGAGTTTGATGATGTTTTTAACCCAAAGGTGTCGAAGTACAACGGTGCAAGTGGAAAGCTAGAGGCTGTTGTCAACATGGGCCCCTCTCTCCCACCACAACGTAAGGGAAGGCTTCCTCACTATAACAAAGATATGCTCAATGCCCTCCAAGACAAGTTTGATGAACTTGAAGACATGGGTGTGTTTGCCAAACCAGAACAAGTTAATATCAACGTTGAGTATCTCAACTTATCCTTCCTGGTAAAAAAACCTAATGGCAGCTACAGATTGGTTACGTCATTTGGTGAAGTTGCTAAGTACAGCAAACCTCAGCCAGCGCTTATGCCCAATGTTGACAATGTCCTACGCGAGATAGGAAAATGGAAATATCTCATCAAAACTGACCTGTTGCAAGCCTTTTATCAGATTCCACTCTCTCACTCTTCTATGCGCTTTTGTGGTATCGTCACTCCCTATAAGGGCGTTAGAGTCTACACTCGAAGTGCAATGGGAATGCCAGGATCGGAAACCTGTCTGGAAGAATTGATGTGTCGAGTTCTAGGCCACCTTGTTCAGGATGGACTCGTAGTTAAACTGGCAGATGACTTGTTTTGTGGAGGGAATACACCTGAAGAAGTTCTCTCAAATTGGAGGCTTGTTCTTGATGCTCTCCGCCGAAACAACTTGCGCATATCTGCTCCAAAAACAGTCATTTGTCCACTGTCTACCACAATACTTGGTTGGATGTGGAAAAATGGTACATTGACAGCAAGTAGCCACAGAATAGCTGCCCTTGCTTCGATTGAACCACCTACAACCATCCAGGGGTTACGTTCATTTGTAGGTGCCTACAAGGCTATGAGCAGAGTATTACCAGGCTATGCAGATCTTCTCCATCCTCTTGACTTGATGACTGCTGGACGACCATCGGCTGAAAAAATAAGATGGTCTGATACTTCACTAACATCCTTCAAAAAGGCTCAAGACTCTTTACAAAATCACAAATGCATCACGATACCCAGACCTAGTGATAGCCTCACTATTGTCACTGATGCATCCGTGAAATCTCATGGAATCGCATCTACATTGTATACTACAAGAGATGACAAGGTCATGCTGGCTGGATTTTATAATGCAAAACTAAAACATTATCAGGTAACATGGCTACCCTGTGAAGTTGAAGCATTAGCAATAGGAGCTTCAGTGAAACACTTTGCCCCGTACATCATGACCTCCTCTCAGAAAACTCAAATCCTCACTGATAGTCGGCCCTGTGTTCAAGCACACGAGAAACTTCAACGAGGAGAGTTCTCAAACAGTTCACGAGTGACCACATTCCTGTCGACCATCAGCCGCTACAATGTACTGATTACACACATCGCTGGAGCTACTAACATCCCCTCAGACTACAGTAGCAGAAATCCCATAGAATGCAATGATCAACGATGTCAGGTGTGCAAGTTTGTGAACGAATTTTCTGACTCTGTCATTCGAGAGTTAACGGTCAAGGACGTTATTGAAGGAGGAATACGCATGCCTTTTACAAGCAGAACTGCCTGGCATGTCACACAACATGAGTGTCCAGATTTACGTCGAACTCATTCTCACTTAACTCAAGGCACGAGACCCGGTAAAAAGGCTACAAATATCCCAGATGTTAAGCGATATCTCAATGAAGTGTGCATTGCTTCAGATGGCCTTTTGGTGGTGCGTGACACTTTGCCTTTCAACAAAGTACGAGAACGTGTGGTTGTCCCAAGAGCAGTTCTTCATGGTCTGCTGACTGCTATACACATCCGCTTCAGCCACCCAAGTGTCTACCAAACAAAACAGCTTTTTCGTAGATACTTTCATGCCTTGGACCTCGACAAAGCATTACAAGAAGTATCTTCCTCCTGTCATCATTGTGCGTCCCTCAAAACCATTCCAGCACAGTTGTTTCCGCAAAGCTCAACCACCCCACCTCCATCCATTGGGTCATCCTTCGCAGCTGATATCATGAAAAGATATGGCCAACTTATCTGTGTCTTACGAGAAACAGTATCCTCTTTCACTCTCACATGTTTTGTAGAAAATGAGCGACATGTCGAACTACGTGACGCCCTTCTGTGTCTCTGTGCAGATATTCGCAATCTCGGTGAAAGTGGAGTCATCATACGAGTTGATCCAGCACCTGGGTTTCAGGCTCTGGTCAGAGATCCTGTTCTGTCAAAACATGGGATAACTCTTGATATTGGCTCCTGCAAAAACCCCAACAAGAATCCTGTTGCAGAAAAGGCAATCTCTGAACTTGGCTTAGAGTGCTTAAACCTCTCACCCGAGGGAGGTCCTTTGTCTCGATCCACTCTCGCACTTGCAACAGCTAATCTCAACAGCAGACTGAGGCAGAGTGGAATGTCCGCCCGAGAAGTATTCACTCAGCGAGACCAACTAACTGGCGCACAGCTACCAATGGATGATCGTGACATCATCATGAAACAGCATCTTACCCGCCTTAACAACCATCCGTATAGCAGTAAGTCAAAGGCTCATGGCAAAACTCTGTTTGATCGATCAGACATACAAATTGGCGATCTCGTATATATAAAGGGGGAGAAGGAGAAAACAAATGCCAGAGACAAATACATGGTTGTCAACATTACAAAAGACAAATGCCAACTTCGTAAGTTCACAAAGACTAAATTCCGATCAAAAACTTACGATGTTCCCATTGTCTGCTGTTACCCGATCAAACCGTCAACACAATCTGTGGTAACTAATGAGCCAATAAGAGGCTTAACTGAAAAGGACAATCCTCACAGCACTGATGAGGATAGTGATGAGGACAAAGACATCGTCCAACATGAGATTCAGAACAACCCAAGACAGGTTCCAGTGCAGCCGCTCAGACAATCCACAAGGACACGACACCCGCCAGCCTGGCAGAGTTCTGGAGAGTGGCTGATGCAATAAGACACTTCTAGTGATCACCATTGACATTAAAGAAAGAGGAGAAAGTGGTCGCGCCACTATGTTCATTTTCTATTTTTTCTTCATCGTATTTGAATCGCATTTCGTTTGTATTCTTTTCGCGTAATTCGCATTTCGTTTCTACTGTAATCCCTGTTTGGTATTTTTGTCCCTCATCTGAGTAAACACGTGTGAATTGGAGAGTCGGGTTTTTGATATATTGGCGCTGTACTGGGACTAAATATTGGAAAATACGTCCACTTGGATTCATGGATTCACACAGCAGTAATTATTACGCTAAGCAATGAAAGTGAAATTATTCATGCAAACATCTTTCCCATCCGTTCCAATGATGAAGTTTTATGTTCTCCCATAATCCTCATACCACATTTACATCCTCCGCCAACACATTCCCCACCCACCTTGGTTGTTGCCAACACATTCCCCACCCACCTTGGCTGTTGCCAACACATTCCCCACCCACCTTGGCTGTTGCCAACACATTCCCCACCCACCTTGGTTGTTGCCAACACATTCCCCACCCACCTTGGCTGTGCCAACACATTCCCCACCCACCTTGGTTGTTCCCAGCACATTCCCCACCCACCTTGGCTGTTGCCAACACATTCCCCACCCACCTTGGCTGTTGCCAACACATTCCCCACCCACCTTGGTTGTTGCCAACACATTCCCCACCCACTTTGGTTGTTGGCAACACATTCCCCACCGACTTTGGTTGTTGGCAACACATCCCCACCCACCTTGGTTGTTGCCAACAGGATCCTGCACCAGCTCTACAGTACGGAATCCCACCCGACGTTGTTTGTTGGACACCTCGTTGTTGCTGGTGAAGGTGACGTTGACGTTATAGAGCGTCTGGTTCCCATAACCATTCGGCCACCATTTGCTTATATTTACATTCTGCAAAGGGTACAAACACGCACATAAACCCACCGCTTAACAACACAACAAGGGATGTCATTTAGCCTCCACAGAACATACACTGGTAATAGTATGAATAGCTAAGACTCCCGATGTTCTGTGAAAAAACTCGTAACGACGGTTGAAAAACATCATTCAAAAGTGCCTATACTGATACTTAGGGACCGACTATTTTATATTGGGGGCGGGGGCATTTTTATTGTCTCCGTAATATATTGAAAAACATGTACAATTACTGTCCTAGGGGCGGTGGGATAGCCCAGTGGTCAAATCGTTCGCTCGTCACACCGAAGGTCCGAGTTTTATTCCCCAAATAGGTAAACTGTGTAAAGCCCATTTCTGGTGTCCCCCGCCGTGATATTGCCGAAAGCGGCGTAAAACCATAATCACTCGCTCACAGTCCTGGATAACATTCAGTGTTATTTACCTCAAGGACACTCATAGTAATAGGGTCATTATCCAGTACTAGAAGCTCCCTTCAACTCTGGAACTTACGCTACGAATGGTGATTGTGAAGTTGGATGAACCGTTTGTTGGTGTGAGTGTCAGTGGCATTGACTTCATCACCGATGTCCCGACAACGTTGGTGGTGAGGACGCCCGACACAGAACCCCCGCTCACATCGAAGTACACGCCCACATCCAGCATCCACTCTCCTCCCGATCCTAGAAATGGACAAGACACTTACTTTGTGTCACGTCAATGAAGAACGCCTAGTGCGTTTAGTCAATGCACTCTAACATTACCCAGATGATACGACAGTGGTGGAATTCCACTGGTTCTCACAAAGTATAATGTTCAGCTGTTGGCGTCGTCCGTTGCCCATGGCGTTATGTGCTATCGGGGTCCACGCCGTCTACACAAAACGCTGTTCAGAGTTGTCTGGGGTGCCAAAAACCCTAGATCCGCTGTTCAAATGCCAGATTCGCCCTGATGTTTCCATGTCTGTCAGCACCATGCCCGCGCTCAAGGATTTCAGTAGTAGACGTCTAAGATATGCATTGTGACTGGCGTTCCTGCGACATCAAACTGAAACGCAGTCATATACCTCATGTTTTGTTCAAAGCGGCGTTTAACCAAATTTATTCATTCATTACTATAAAAACTCCAGATGTAGTATTATAGAGAAGTACCTCTTTGATCACCATTCACAGTAACACGCACCCCAGGTAACATAGGTCATTCATGTCATTATTTTCATGTTCCTTCCGGTCATGCGTACCCTTTTCACCTGGTGTCATCACTGATTTCCAGTGATCCATTCATATAAGCTGCACCGCTATTTTGCCTTTTACGCCCAATGGGGTATGTTTCGCCGATTATCGAGACTGGTTATTCTCAGGCGTTGACGTTATATATTTGCAGCGTTTTCTGCGACGTGGAAGGGCAGCTCCAATGTGCACAGCACATCGAGAACTGGGAATCAATGGGGTTCAAGATGTAGCTTGCTTTTTTGTTGTTTAACGTCGCACTCATCAATATTCCAGCTATATGACGGCGGTCTGTAAAAAATCGAGTCTGGACCAGACAGTCCAGTGATTGACATGAGCATTGATCCACGTCATTGGGATACGATGACATGCTTCAACTAAGTCAGCGAGCCTGACGACCCGATCCCGTCATTGGTATTTTGCTACTCATGCTTGTAAGAGGCGACTAACGGGATCAGATCTCCAGGCTCATCGACTTGGTTGATGCCTGCCATATCTCAATTGTTAATATTGATGCTCATCATATCAATCACTGGATTGTGTTGTCCAGACTCTATTATTACAGACCTCCGTCATAGCTTGAATACTGCCGAGTGTAGCATGAAACAACAAACGACCCTGTTAGTCGCCTCTTACCGAAACATAGTCGCATTTTACGGCAAGCATGGGTTGCTGAAGACCTATGCTAACCCGGATCTTCACGGGTGTCGATATGTAGCAGATACAGAATTGGATGGAGGCAGAGATACAAAAGTTTTGGCATGATCCTATTCAAATTAACGGCTTTGTTAATATAGAGGTGATCTACTTGTATCTCAATTGACAGGGTCTCCATGGAGCAACAATAGCAACAAACTGAAGAGTGACACACAGGAGGAGGTAATACTTGTACATACTTTTGGATAAACTTGTCAGGTCACCTTTTCTTCACGACCTGATGTGAAAATATTGATCCAGTTGTGGGTCAACGTCAGTTTTTAAATAAAAGTGACAAAACCCTTTCCATAATTATAAAATATCTGCTGAAAGCAAAGTCTATTGTATGATTCCGACTTAATCAGAGCATGCCTTTATCTCATAGTGATACCCTGCCCCACCAGTGACACCCTTGACAAACACATGCAAAAGTAAGTCAACTGTTCACCTTTAGAAAAACATGAGAACATATAGTACAAGTCAAAACAGAGAATTCATCTGACATACTTTTTGTCACTGATGCCTAAAATTTGGAAATGTCCTCCACATGTCTTCCATAAAACATTATGAAAGCTTTACCAAGGCCTTTAATGTTTTAACCCTGATCAAGCAACTTTTGAGCAAGAGTCGTATTCCGTCCGCTCTTTGGAATCTTCGTAGAAAGAGCTCACTCGATTGTATTGCAACATTTGTGAACTGTAGACATCATAGGCTGGAGATGCTGGAATATTTCTCGTCATAAAGCGACATAAAGACACCCAACAACTGAAAGGTACCCTCTAGAAATGTAGGAACAAGCATCACGAGAAACGTAGAGCCACCTGTTCCCTGCCAACTGATGTATGAACTTCTTTGATTGGCATTTAGAAGTTGGAGTATTAAGTAAGGATAAGAATTTATGAATGAACAACTTCTATATTACAATTAAGAGCGACGTTTCGGTGTAGGTTCTAGCTTGCTTGATAACGGTGTTAGAACCTACACCGAAACGTCGCTCTTAATTGTAATAAAGAAGTTGTTCATCCATCAATTCTTATCCTTACTTACTGATGTATGGACACAGTTGTTCGGTGTGACAAGCGACCACACAAAAATTAAAAATACTAATTTCAGTACACTGCATTGATTTACAATACCTCTTTTTGTTGCTGTTGAAAGTTCGCGAATAACTGCAGTGTTAAATGCTTGGATGGAAATATTTTTCCTAAAAAGAGAAAGAAGAGAATAAATATTCTCGTAATACCATTCCATTCATATAAGTTTTGCCGCTTGTTTGTCTTTTACTCCCTATGGAGTCTGTTTGGGCGGATAACAGACTGGTTAAGTTCTGGTGTTGACGTTTAATATCAGGAGAGATTGCTTATGTTTGTGAAAATGGTTTTGTTGCGTTCATTTGAATAACGATATACATTTTCATTTATCATAATATCGTCTCTTCATAAATTGGGTATCCCTGTCACTGAGGTCACGTTTGGTCACATCATCTGCTGAGACGATAGTTTGGGTAAAAAGCAAGAAGCACAGTAACATACATTTGTCAAAGAACATCTCGTTCTTGTTATTTGATTGCTCGAATGTTCAGAAACTGAGATGTGTTCAATTATTGTGAATGTTGCCAAATGTGTTTCCTTGCCTTTTGTATGGGTATAGTTTTATTTATAATCTATCCGAAGACAGGGCAAAATACAAAAACATTTTGAATATTACCATCGGTCGCCCCTTCGCCAAACCTTAGCCTTACGCTTACCATATTCCGTGTTGGGAAGACAGAAACCAGTTCCTTGTGCTTACCATGTTCCCTGTGTTGTGAAGGACGTCCCCCAGTTCCTTGTGCTTACCATATTCCCTGTGTTGGGAAGACAGGAACCAGTTCCTTGTGCTTACCATGTTCCCTGTGTTGTGAAGGACGTCCCCCAGTTCCTTGTGCTTACCATATTCCCTGTGTTGGGAAGACAGGAACCAGTTCCTTGTGCTTACCATGTTCCCTGTGTTGTGAAGGACGTCCCCCAGTTCCTTGTGCTTACCATATTCCCTGTGTTGGGAAGACAGGAACCAGTTCCTTGTGCTTACCATGTTCCCTGTGTTGTGAAGGACGTCCCCCAGTTCCTTGTGCTTACCATATTCCCTGTGTTGGGAAGACAGGAACCAGTTCCTTGTGCTTACCATGTTCCCTGTGTTGTGAAGGACGTCCCCCAGTTCCTTGTGCTTACCATATTCCCTGTGTTGGGAAGACAGGAACCAGTTCCTTGTGCTTACCATGTTCCCTGTGTTGTGAAGGACGTCCCCCAGTTCCTTGTGCTTACCATATTCCCTGTGTTGGGAAGACAGGAACCAGTTCCTTGTGCTTACCATGTTCCCGGTGTTGGGAAGGAAGGTCCCCAGTTCCTTGGGCTTACCATATTCCCTGTGTTGGGAAGGACGGTCCCCAGTTCCTTGTGCTTACCATATTCCCTGTGTTGGGAAGGAGTCCCCCAGTTCCTTGTGCTTACCATATTCCCTGTGTTGTGAAGGACGTCCCCCAGTTCCTTGTGCTTACCATATTCCCTGTGTTGGGAAGACAGGAACCAGTTCCTTGTGCTTACCATGTTCCCGGTGTTGGGAAGGAAGGTCCCCAGTTCCTTGGGCTTACCATATTCCCTGTGTTGGGAAGGACGGTCCCCAGTTCCTTGTGCTTACCATATTCCCTGTGTTGGGAAGGAAGGCCCCCAGTTCCTTGTGCTTACCATATTCCCTGTGTTGGGAAGGACGTCCCCCAGTTCCTTGTGCTTACCATATTCCCTGTGTTGGGAAGACAGGAACCAGTTCCTTGTGCTTACCATATTCCCTGTGTTGGGAAGGAAGGCCCCCAGTTCCAACTGAAAGAACACTGCTCCTTTCTGATGAAGTTGACATGACATTCTCCGTTCTGTACCTTGTTGGGACAATCGCCGGGAATGTCATAGGCAGAAGCATTGGCCTTTTGAGCAGCAACTGTTACAGCAGACTCAAAGTCGATGCGGATTGCGTTGTCTCCTACCTGGAGAAATAAGACAATGTCTGAGTTGGTGAACTCATGTTGAAAACCATAGTCAGATACATTACAGATATATTCCAGCTAAAGGTCAGTAACCCCTTTGTTCGTTGATCCAATAATAACAACACTTGGCCATCTTGACCATTTAATCCCCATTTCATATATAGGCTTACTACATGCATATGATATTGGGGACATAGTGTTCCTCATTTTACAATTATTTCAGGATATTTGGTTTTTCTTATCAAATAATATGTTTATCTTATCGAATGACCTGATTTTGTTTATATCATTATGCAGGATCTTACTCTGAAAGCCATTGTGTCACAGACGCAGGCTGAAAGTAGTTCCGGCATAAAGGATTTTTTCACATAAATGAAATAACACGTCATTAACTTTCGTGATACTTCAATTCTAGTCAGATAAATTTAGTATTTCTTTACTAAATTCATAATAAATAGAGATCGAAGTTCCCGGTTAAAATAGGTCTTCAGCAACCCATTTTTGCAATAAAAGCCGACTATGCTTATCGCAAGAGGCGACTAACGGGATCGAGTGGTCAGGCTCGCTGACTTGGTTGATGTCATCGTATCCCAATTGCGTAGATCAATGCCCCTGATATCAATCACTGGATCATCTGGTCCAGATTCGACTATTTTAAGACCGTCGTCATATGGCTGGAATATTGCTGAGTGTGGCGTTAAAAAACAAACAAACAAACAATCAAAATATTGTATGGTGAAATTAGACTTGCAGTCATGTTATTCTCCAGATAGTTACACCAACACATCGGAGCCCCTACTCTATATCTAGCCTTATTGGTATGTATTGTTCACGCGGACACTGCATCGATGACCACAGAGTCAGGAGTCCGACAGAAAGAATATGATTGATAGGTTTATGTCCCTGGGATATGTGAAAACCATTCCTACCTTGGCAGCATTTTTTATGTCGTAGACATATTGGACAAACATGTTCTCTGATGTCCCGACCTTCTGGTCGTTGATGAAGACGGTTGAGAAGGTGTCCAGACCGTCACAGACAAGATGGAGGGCAGAGGCAGCCAGGTCTGCTGAACTCACTACAAAACATCAGATGTAGTAATGACCTCATACAAAACATCAGATGTAGTAATGACCTTATACAATACAGCAGATGTAGTAATGACCTCATACAAAACATCAAATGTAGTAATGACCTTATACAAAACATCAGATGTAGTAATGACCTTATACAAAACATCAGATGTAGTAATGGCCTCATACAAAACATCAAATGTAGTAATTACCTTATACAAAACATCAGATGTAGTAATGACCTCCTACAAAACATCAGATGTAGTAATGACCTCATACAATACATCAGATGTAGTAATGACCTTATACAATACATCAGATGTAGCAATGACCTCATACAAAACATCAGATGTAGTAATGACTTTATACAAAACATCAGATGTAGTAATGACCTCATACAAAACATCAGATGTAGCAATGACCTCATACAAAACATCAGATGTAGTATTGACCTTATACAAAACATCAGATGTAGTAATGACCTTATACAAAACATCAGATGTAGTAATGACCTCATACAATGCATCAGATGTAGTAATGACTTCATACAAAACATCAGATGTAGTAATGACCTTATACAAAACATCAGATGTAGTAATGACCTCATACAATACATCAGATGTAGTAATGACTTCATACAAAACATCAGATGTAGTAATGACCTTATACAAAACATCAGATGTAGTAATGACCTCATACAATACATCAGATGTAGTAATGACCTTAATACAACACATACGATTTAGTAATGTAGTCACTACAACACAGTAGATGTAGCAATGACGTCACTACAACACAGAAGATGTAGTAATGACGTCACTACCACACAGTAGATGTAGCAATGACGTCACTAAAACACAGTAGATGTAAAATGACGTCGCTACAACATTGTTGTTAGCAATGACGTCACTACAACACGGTAGATGTAGCAATGACGTCACTACAACACGGTAGATGTAGCAATGGCGTCACTACATGTACCTATATTTCATATACATTCTGCGCGTGTTTCTTTTACAATAATGTAACCTATTTAACATCTTAACGTTCGATTAGTGCAATGTACAATCTGCAATCAGCTGAACCATTCTGGAAATCATCGGTCAAAGTTCACCATCAGAACAATGTCCCATAACTAGAACTTTTTGTTAATATATAATGATAAGAAACGACAACACCATAGAATAATTAGTCTCGGTTATGTGTTGAAACAGATTCTATATGGCGTGAACGGCAAAATACTGATGAAAATTATATAAAATAGATCCCTGAAAATCAGTGGTGACCGGGTGTTAAAGAAACAATTTGTATAAATAAGTGTTTGTTTGTTACCCATCAATACCCCTATTATACGACATTGGCCTAAAAACAACCGACCATGGCCCCGTTCCACAAAACGATCTTAGCGCTACGACTGTCTTAAGTCTTTGTTAATGTACGACCGTCTTAGCAAAGACCGCTTTGTGGAACGGCGTCCTTGGCCCACTTATACAAAGAGATCTTAGCGCTACAGGAATCGTAACTCACATTCTCCTACATAATCGTAGCACTAAGACCCCTTTGTGCAAGTGGGCCCATGACAATCAAGAGACACGATAGCGCGCTTAATTCATTTGTTGAAACTAAAAGCGATATGTTAATGTTGAATTACTTCTGCTGCGGACAAGTGACCTCAATACAACACAGATGATTAAGAGAAACCTTTCGGAAATGCGTTCGTTTTGTAAACACTCGGAGGCAGTTTTAAAGTCTCAGTCGAAACAATTGTTTTTGTAGTTGACTCGGCATAATTGATAAATACTAGTCCATGAACAAACTCTGCGACTTAGAAAGGTGATGTGGTCCATTTAGTTCGGCTCTTACACTGAAAAGTGCGTGTGTACGTCCAGTCTTCTCGTCCAATCCATCGTAGTTTGACATCGTTGTCCCGGTACAGCGGATCTGGAATCAGCTTGTTGGTGTACAGGGCTGTGTACATGCTGCCTGGCACACTGGCAGGGATCCTCTCACCTGGAACAACCATCAATGTTACAACACCGGCGAAGCACCATTCTCTGTATTTAATATAAGTAGCAGGATCTTGGGGAGAGGTACATGGGGTTTTATGCGTCCGCGTTAGGTTTCATACCACGAGACGGAGGCTAACGAAGGACCCATAAAAAACCAATGTACCCCGAGTGATCTTGCTGAAACGAATTTATCTCACCGACATGTTTCAATATGACACTGTGAAAGAGTCAAAACAAATTCTTCAAAATTGATAGAAATCAGCTGTTTATGAGCTAAAATGAGCTGAGGTTAACGTGTGCCTTGTCACTATCAGTGACTCGCAAAAAGCGTGCGGCTTTTTCCTTCGAAACGGGATATAAGCGATTATTATCCCCGCTGAGAAATCCCCGTGCAGCCAGTTTTCTCCGTGGCGGGGTATAAGGGATTTATTTTCCCGCTGAGAAATGTATGTCCCTCGAAGGCGAGAGGAAAGGTATTTTATTACGATAAGGTGAATCATCAGATCTCATCATTCTGACATAGAGGTATGATAACGTGATTTGATCTTAACAAACATCCAACAGACGGACATCAATATTCTTGTTAGATCATGGCCTTCTGGTTGCCAGCACCTGCCTTTGACTCATTAGTCTTGACAATTTATATATAAAACAGCGACAAAATCCTTTCATTAATCATACAAAGTCTCTGATGTACTATTCCCACAACTAGGATATTATACGCATGTGCTTATGAATCATGAAGCTTTAGGCAAAATTTCACCCGATAAGGGATACACTAACTGCATCTCCCATTAGGCCCGTGAAGATCCGGGATGGAATAGGTCTTCAGCAACCCATGCTTGCCGTAAAAGGCGACCATGCTTGTCGTTAAAGGCGACTAACGGTATCGGGTGGTCAGGCTGGCTGACTTGGTTGGAGAATGTCATCGTATCCCAATTGCGTGGATCGATGTTCATGATGTCAATCACTGGACTGTCTGGTCCAGACTCGATTATTTACAGACCGCCGTCATATAGCTGGAATATTGCTGAGTACGGCGTTTAACAACAAACAAACAAACAAACAAATTCACCGTAGACATTTTTTAAAGATGACTCAATCCAATGATTTGGAACAAATAGTTTCAGAGCCATCTAAATGAGTATAACTATTCCCCGAATTATTCAACATGAAACAATAAACAAACAAAACAATATGTCAAGTGTATAAATGCTTCACGTGTGATACATCACTCAAAGTGTATCGACATGTGCCGATTGTTGATTAAGTAAAATATATTTGTTTAAGGAAGAGAATTTACGGATGTCAACCTCTTTATTATGAGGATAACAACGTTTCGGAGTATGAACTTACTCCATCATGAGGTGAATAAATGCTATAAGGCAGAGAGCATATATATGTACATGTAAGCACAAAAAAAGGAAAAGATATCAAAGGAGGAAACTTAACAAGGGAAGCCAACAGATAATGAGCGCTAATAGGTGATTAGCAATGGACAAATGGAAGCCAACACTTAATACATTTGTTTAGGCTGTAAATAATTGACTCTGAACAAGACAAACTCGTGATTCACATTACGATTCACATTACGATCCACGCCCAATACCATCGGAGTACGATGACTCGCAATCAACCAAGCCACCGGGCCATTTAGTGGCCTCTAACGACAAACAAACCTCCAGACAATTACGTCAATTAGCCATTGTTCCTCACCTCTGTCATTGTTAACAAGAGTCCAGTTTCCAGTCAAATCCACTGTAGATGATATCGAAACAGAAAACAGAGCAGCTATTAACCAACAGCTGAAAATACCCGCCATGTTGTTGACATGTGACGGCACACGGACTGGTAGTCTTATCATAACGTCACGTGACTTCCATATGGCGACATACACATTCTATATATTAACAGAAAATGACGCCTGTTTGTGTAACAGATTGCTAAAGAACTATCCAACAGTCAGATAATAAACATCTAGTGGGATACAGACATATTATTTTGAAATCTTTCAATTTGAAGTTTGTAGGTTGAAGTACCAGGATCCGACGATTGTGGATTCGAGTCCTAAGACCTGAGACAATGCCGGTTTAATTATCAAATTAAGGTCGCATCGCGTAACAAAAATGAATATTTCAAAAGGCTTCAAGACAAACGCTGCCATGTATGTACAAACATACATCTCGGACTGTCCATGTTAATTGTTCATTGATTTTGTTTTGTTTGTTTGTTGTTTAACGCCGTACTCAGCAATATTCCAGCTATATGACGGCGGTCTGTAAGTAATCGAGTCTGGACCAGACAGTCGAGTGATTGTCATCATGAGCATCGATCCACGCAATTGGGATACGATGACATACATCAACCAAGTCAGCGAGCCTGACCACCCGATCCCGTTAGTCGCTTCTTACGACAAGCATAGTCGCCTTTTACGGCAAGAATGGGTTGCTGAAGACCTATTCTGACCTGGATCTACATGGATCTGTTGTCCACTTAACGTGGAATGTATGGTGCCATCTTGCATTACACTACACGAAAGAACCTTATTTCCTTTATATATTAATTTAGACGTGTAATCCGAAATTCATATGATAAACGCAGCAAAAATCCATATGTAAATCTTGAGAGAAACCATTAATCAGGCGGTGCGGTAAGGTGAAATGGGGTTTAAAATCGCGTTCTGTGTTCGTGCGTGCGTGCGCCCGTCCGTCTGTCTTGTACTAGACTAATGACGATTCCATAGTGCTAGCCCACTGAGACACCATGCTGCAGTTTAACATGGATACCCCACTCAGACAGCATACTGACTTATAGCCGACCAGTCCTTGTTTTAGCCCCTTAATACCAAATCAGGCAGGATAACAACAAGTACCATCTTTTAACGTCTTTTGGTAATCACAACCCGGACCACCCACCTTCAGCTCTGCTAGCAGATGCTCTATCCAGTACACCACAGCCGCGGGTCAGTACAGGATTATAGAAAGACCAACATATCACAAAAGTAACTTTCTCTTTTAATCAATGTTTTACTGTCTTATTTCATTTATTTACAGGTCACAGTGAACACAACAGTAACAATAAATAACAGTTTGTATCATAATGAATGCATGCAGGCATGAATTTTCATCAGTTCTTATAAATATACTGAACAAAAAAGGTTAGGGATCCTGACTATTTATCGGAATATATTTTTGTAGTGATCCCTAACTTTTCTGTTCAGTTTAGATACGTAAACCATACACATTGGCCTTTGGAGACAGTGTAATAATGAAAATGTTTTTACCAATGTTACAAATACAGGCATTCCTCTATGTAGAAATCTTTCACAGTAGTGTACCCATGCATATGTACTGGAAACTGGTTACATAGACCCTTATTTCATAGAGGGACCGGTCATTTATTACAGGGTGGGGTGGGGTGGTCAGAGGTCTTTGATGCAGCAAATAATGACCCTCCCCTAATGCTTGTAATTTTTTTCATGACCCTCCATGAAAAGACAAACGCACTTTATATTTTATTATAAACTGTCCATTTTTTCATGACACTCTCAGTCCTTGTGTGGTATGACTTACAATCTGATCATTTGGTACTCCTTCATCACACACACAAATCTCTGTGGCACTCAGCTGTGAAATGTGGATGGAATGTTTTCTGTATTACAGTACTGATGGGAAACCTTAAACAGGTCAGAATGAGTAAGTGAGCTTTGTCTGTATTTCAGTGATATCATGGTGTGTCATCTTAATGCTGGAAGAAATGTGAGGTAGGTTTTAAATGTTTGACAATCTAAGCCCTATTTTCACAAAGCGAGGAAGTCTATATTAATGTACACAGCTTCGATCGTCTTAGCTCTACGACTATCTTTATCAGGGGAGTTACTATCGTCTTAGCTCTACGACTGTCTTATTATGGGAGTTAGGATCGTCTTAGCTCTACGACTCTCTTATTATGGGAGTTAGGATCATCTTAGCTCTACGACTGTCTTAAGCATTGGAATTATGATCGTATCAGGTATACGACTGTCTTAAGTAAGGGAGTTATGATAAGCTTAGCTCTACGACTGCCTAAAGTATGGGAGTTACATCGCCTTGGCTCTACGACTGTCTAGTATGGGAGTTACGATCGTCTTAGTTCTAAGACTGTCTGGTATGGGAGTTACGATCGTCCTAGCTATAAGACTGTCTAGTATGGGAGTTACGGTCGTCTTGGCTCTACGACTGTCTGGTATGGGAGTTACGATCGTCCTAGCTCTACGACTGTCTGGTATTGGAATTATCGTTGGTCCTAGCTCTACGACTGTCTAGTATGGGAGTTACGATGGTCTTGGCTCTACGACTGTCCTATTATGGGAGTTACGATCATCTTGGCTCTACGACTGTCTAGTATGGGAGTTACGATGGTCTTGGCTCTACGACTGTCTAGTATGGGAGCTACGATCATCTTGGCTCAACGACTGTCTAGTATGGGAGTTACGATGTTCTTGGCTCTACAACTGTCTAGTATGGGAGTGACGATCGTCTTGGCTCTACGACTGTTTAGTATGGGAGTTACGATCGTCTTGGCTCTACGACTGTCTAGTATGGGAGTTACATCGCCTTAACTCTACGACTGTATTGAGTATGGGAGCTACGATCATCTTGGCACTACCATCACTTTGTGGAACAAGCCCTAAGCAATTGAGTATAGTGCTAACAAATCAAGGGTCATAATCAGAGAGTATGGGAACTTACAATTATAGGATTCCAAAACTGCACAAAGGACACAACTCTGCATTCTGCAGCATACTAAATGGGCCATAGCTCTGCCTGAACATGTCGGAGAAACAATAGCAAGTTCTTATGGTTGAGATGCCTAGTTCTATACACCGCTTCATTCATTCACAACGGGTGACCAATGCTTGAATAATTCAGTCAATATCTGATGCTAAAAATTCATAACAATTGGGTGTATTGGAAATACCTCTGTGCAGGCAAACTGGTGCTCTTAATATAACGGGGACGGTCGGGTAGCCTAGTGGTTAAAGCGTCCGCTCGTCACGGCGAAGACCCAGATATGATTCCCGACATGGGTACAATGTGTGAAGCCCATTTCTGGTGTCCCCCGTCGTGATATTGCTGGAATATTGCTAAAAGTGGCGTAAATCCATACTCACTCACTCACTCACTCTTAATTTAACATTATTAAATACATAGTCAGAATAAAGTAAAATCAGTTCTATGACAACATCTTTATTTCTGGCTTTCCTCCGGCATTAAGCTGACATGCCGTGATATAACTGGAATATTGTTAAAATGGCTTTTATACCAACTCACTCACTCATGTTTATTTGATGTTTTAAAGCAGAAATGAAAGCATCAGTATTAATGGTGGCACACTGGTCCAGAGATTCCATGACTAGCTGTATTGTCTTGTCACAGTCTTCACTCAAAACTGCTGACCAATTTCAGAGATGTGTCGTTATCCGTAACTGTACATGGTAACATGGTCCACTATATTGTGTTGATCTCCCCCATGATGTTGACTGGCCGATCCTTATACTTCTTGGATATCTCACCTTCCATCTGCAAGACAAAGAAATGACCTTACATATAAATTTTCTTTTGTTTTTCATTAACCATCCCACTTAGCAATATTCCAGCTATATGATCTGGTCTGTAAGTTATTGAGTCTAGACCAGACAATCCAGTGATTGACAGGGGATACGATGACACACAACCAATGAAGTCAGTGAGCCTGGCCATCCGATCCATTTAGTTACCTCTTACAACAAACAAAGGGAGATAAGACTGACACTCTTACCCCGGCTACACACTATAAGTGACCCGTGAAGATCCGGGGTAGAATAGATCTTCAGCAACCCATGCCTGCTGTAAAAGGCGACTATGCTTGTCGTAAAAGGCGACTAGCGGGATCAGGTGGTCAGACTCGCTGACTTGGTTGATGCATGTCATCGATCCCAATTGCGTGGATCGACGCTCATGATATCAATCACTGGATTGTCTGGTCCAGACTCGATTATTTACAGACCACCGTCATATAGCTGGAATATTGCTGAGTGCGGCGTTAAACAACAAACCAACCAACCAACCACTATAAGTTGCAGCAGGATCCCTCTGGGTACATGGGTTTTAATGTGTCCCGCGTTAGGTTTTATACCGCGAGCTGGAGCCGGAGCCGGAGGCGAGTGGTATAAAAGCTAATATCAGACGCCTAAAACCACGCAACTGGGATACAATGAAGTGTATCAACCAAGTCAGCGAGCCTGTGACCCGATCTCATTAGTCGCCTCTTACAACAAGCAAAGTCATCTTTTACGGCAAGCATCGATTGCTGAAGACCTATTCCACCCTGGATCTTCATTTGTCTCATCATTCTGACATGGTGGTATGAAAATGTTCTTATATATATCTAACAACTCTTAAAAATATCCAACAGTTTACATAACAGTAACATTACTGAAATACTGCAACTTGCATCAGCTGAACAATGCTCTGTCATTATTCGTTAGCATGGCTTCATTTTGAGACTGGTTCATATTATTACATTACTGTTATATTATACATTTATTTACATCAGGTATCCAGATACTAGTATCTGCTCAAGTGTGGTTTTATTTGTTCGCCAACCAGTGGATCCATTTGCATTTCAGTTATCATTCTCAACTCCCTGGGGAGTATACAACCCAAGCTGCCTATGGGTGCAAGAGGGTTTTGACATCCACCTCACACACCGGGTACCCTGCTAGGTGAATAGTGGCAAATTTGAACAAAGTCTCTTGCCCATATGGTGACTTTGTGACTGAAATTCACTGCTCAGTAAGAAAGAGGTGAGGTCGCGTCCAAGATTATTGCACTTATATAGCGACGTGCATGTACGTGTGTGTGTTTGTGTGGCTGCTTGTACTAGTCCGATTTATAGTGCTAGCTCACTGAGATACCATGCCGCAGTTTTACATGAATACCCCACTCAGACACAGTATACTGACTCCGAGCCGACCAGTCCTTGTTTTAGCCCCTTAATCATGTAATGCGGAGCGCCAGACAGGGTAACAACAAGTACCATCTTTTAATGTCTTTTGTATGACGCGGCCGGGGATCAAACCCCGGACCTTCCACTCTCCAGGCAGACGTTCTTCCACTAGACCACGGAGGCGGTCAGTAAGAAAGAGCACTGACTGAGCTCACTTCGAAAATGAAGCTTCAGTGGCAATTGGGTTCTGGGTATTTATCAGAATAGAATGGAGATACAATTCACTTGATGACCGATGATGAAACTTCCTGGGCCCCTACAGGGTGAGCTGAGATGAGACACAATGCGTCCACTGACCTGCTTCTGCATGACCTTTGTCTTGCTGACCAGAGTGTCCAGCTTGGGCTCCAGCTGACCTTGTTCCTCCAGCGCCTCCTTCCTCTTCACAACCATCTCCTTCTCGTAGAACACCATCTTGTCAGCCAGGGTCAGCGTCTGCTTCAAGGAGTCCCTCAGTCTCTCCACATACCTGATGAAGGGAAGGAGTGTGTGCGTTTGTGAGACAGACATTCATTAAAGTTCAGTAGAGTGATGTCTAGTCTACACTTGACAAACCCAAAATGCCTCACACTATTCCCCCTACACAACCTGCATTGACACCAGAGGCATCTTGCCTCATTCGTTTTTGGAGGAGCAGGTTACAGTTACCTGTCTCTGGTTAAAAATATAACAAATAAAAAAGCCTGACACAGGGGTTGACAATGATGGGAGCATGTGCCAGAAACATTAACGCATCAGTGGGGGTTGATAATGATGGGAGCATGGACCAGAAACATTAAAGCCCTACGTGGGGGTTGACAATGATGGGGGCATGGACCAGAAACATTAAAGCACTACGTGGTGGTTGACAATGATGGGGGCATGGACAAGAAACATTAACGCATCAGTGGGGGTTGATAATGATGGGAGCATGGACCAGAAACATTAAAGCCCTACGTGGGGGTTGACAATGATGGGGGCATGGACCAGAAACATTAAAGCACTACGTGGTGGTTGACAATGATGGGGGCATGGACAAGAAACATTAAAGCCCTACGTGGGGGGTTGATAATGATGGGAGCATGGATCAGAAACATTAAAGCCCTACGTGGGGGTTGACAATGATGGGAGCATGGACCAGAAACATTAAAGACCTACGTGGAGGTTGACAATGATGGGGGCATGGACAAGAAACATTAAAGCCCTACGTGGGGGTTGACAATGATGGGGGCATGGACCAGAAACATTAAAGCCCTACGTGGGGGTTGATAATGATGGGAGCATGGACCAGAAACATTAAAGCCCTACGTGGGGGATGACAATGATGGGGGCATGGACCAGAAACATTAAAGCCCTACTTGGAGGTTGACAATGATGGGGGCATGGACCAGAAACATTAAAGCCCTACGTGGAGGTTGACAATGATGGGGGCATGGACCAGAAACATTAAAGCCCTTTGTCGGTGTTGACAATGATGGGGGCATGGACCAGAAACATTAAAGCACTACGTGGGGGTTGACAATGATGCAGGTATAGACAAAAAACATTGAAGCACTATGTGTGGGTTGACAATGATGGGGGCATGGACAAGAAACATTAAAGCCCTATGAGGGTGGTTAAAATTATACGGATGAGGACCAAAAACATAATATTTTTTTGCTTTGGCCAAAAACTTCATCACCTTACCTGGGAGAATTCCTGATCAGCAACAGGTGCTGCATCTGTACTGAGGTCAACTGCTCCAATATGCCCTTGACCTTATTCAGCATGTCCTTGACCTTGGAAGCATCAATCTGTATGGCTGATGGCGCTGACTGGAACTGACTTCCAGCTAACACATCATCCTCTGAGGACATCTCCGACAACCTCTGAGTCAGGAAAGCTTCCAGCTGAAGAAAAAGTTTCACATTTTTTAGAATCTGACAGCAAGCTACACTGCACACACAGTGATGTATCTAAGATTTGTGGGTCATGTAACCCTTTAACTTCAAAAATATGGTCAAACTATATTTTCATTTTGTTTTCTTGTTTCTTGTTGTTGTTTTGTGTTTAACGCCGCACTCAACAATATTCAAGCTGTATGACGGTGGTCTGTAAGTAATCGAGTCTGGACCAGCCAATCCAGTGACATCTTCCCGAGGCAAGGGAGTTAACTGACTTTAAAAGTCCAGTTTCCACCCTTGCCGAACTAGGCTGGAATTACTGGGCTCGATCGTAGCACCACCAGTGGCTATTACCAATTATGTCCCTTCTAAGCCTCTCCTATGGACCAATCAGATTCCACCGCTCGTATCACTTGCGTTTGCTTCACACAAAATGGTGGCGCTCAGACAGGACGATCTGATCGATAATCAAGATCTATATTGTGATAAAACGGGTCTTACATCACAAAATGCATCAAATCACGTGAGCACCTTGATTAAAAACATGAAAAGATTTGGAAAATATCTGCTGACGAGTTGGCAGTGCACATGCTTTGCAAATCCTGCAATCGACCGAAATCTGCACAACAGTTTACTAACCGGATTTTGATTTCGGTGCACGATTTTGATTGGACTATGCATAGACTCGTTAGTCCAGACAAAATGTAACTCCATAATACCAGCCTAGTTCGGCAAGGGTGGAAACTGGACTTTTATAGTCAGTTTACTCTCTTGCCTCGGGAAGATGATCCAGCGATTGACATCATGACCATCATGATATTATATATTTATGTATTAAGCTCAGTCTTAAAAAACATTTGTGTCAGTAATACAAAATCTGGGTATGAAATGACACAAAGAAAATATAAATAGCATCATTAACTCATTACTATGTGCAATTGTGGTGTAATAACTCAATTAACAATGTCAATAATGGCTGTGACCACCATTTGCGTCGATACTGACAAGGCACTAGGTGTCCCGACTCAGCTAGCATTGCTGCCTAATTCTGGTCCTGTTGTTGGCGTCGTTCCATCTGATCCCACACATGTTCTATCGGAGAGGTTTGGAGAAATAACCGGCCACGGCAGTGCAGCAATTTTGTGCTGATTCAAAAAGTCTGTTACAACACGTACAAAATGTGGGTGGGTATTATCCTGCTGCTTCATGACGTTATGTCCCTACATTATCACAAAGGGTAGAAGATGAACTTGAATGATGGCCTCCTGGTAGCGTACACCATTCAAACTGCCACTGACAATGAGTATTGATACCAAACAGAAGATGTTGAGTAACGAGAGCATTGCTGAAACGTTCTCCTGGACGCCTGTAGACCCTTGCACGACCATCAGGTGTCCAGATTAAACCTGGACTCATCTGGGAACAGCATACTGTCCCCGTCTTGTCTTCTGAACCTGAAATGCCATCTACACCAACCTAGGCTTGAGCTGACTGAAGGTGACGTAGAAGTATCACTGAGCGTATCGCTGGACATAGGAGACGGATGCTGTATGTTGTGCTCCCTCAACCAGTTCCATACAGTTCTGCAACTAATTGATCTCAACCCAGGAATTGTATGAGCTGTTAATGTGGCAGTTTGGTATTGATTCCATAGATGTACCAACCGATTATAGTTGTCTTGTTGACGTGATGTCACACATGGACAACATCTCCAAAGAGATAATTGTTTTGATGAACATTAAAATGTCTGTCATCTTCATTTTGTGCCATTCCTGTTTGCAGCATATCTAGGGAGCAAAGAAGTCGATTTTCAGTGTAGACGTTGTGTAAGCGGTATTTACACTTAAACAAAACAGTCTTCAGGAGCACCTGATAGCTAAACAATCACTGTGTGCTGTCCAGATTAAAAAAAACAACATATATACAAACATGCAAACATCCAAATCGTGGTATTTGGTTCTGAATTTTGTTACCTCCAACAGGTCATTGATGAATTCGTTCCTTGTGTCTGGGTTGTCAAGAACAGACAGGGCATCCTTCCCCCTCGCCACACCATCACCTGCAATTGGAACACTTCACTGTAGGCTCGAGAAATATCCTCATTGAACTACTGGCGTCACAGATCTGCCAGTCCTTTTTCAGCCATTGTAAAAAAACAAAAGTGCATTCCACAACAGGAAATAATTGTACCCAGTAATCTCTTATCTCAAAATTAAAGATAAATTAACATCATAAAATTTCATTGGAATCAAGAGATTATATTTGAAACTGTATTCAATTTAGACAATAGACCCTTGGGGCTCTAATGGTTAACACTACAGACAAAATCTTGGCTCAATCAACCAGGGAGTTCTGGAGGAAAGTTGAAAAGGTAAATGTTTATGGACAGGTGAAATAATGCAGTTATTAGAATAACTGTTTAGATTTACCTCCCTTTGATATGTCTCGGAATCCTGAAACAAGACATCTCAGGAGACAGAGTGAGTGAGTGAGTGAGTGAGTGAGTGAGTGAGTGAGTGAGTGAGTGAGTGAGTGAGTGAGTGAGTGAGTGAGTGAGTGAGTGAGTGAGTGAGTGAGTGAGTGAGTGAGTGAGTGAGTGATACATCTAAGAGCGTACCTGTAGTAGCCACTGAGATATCCTTAGTATCTTCTTCAATCAAGTCACCGTAGTCGATACCATTTTCATCTTCCCCCTAGATGGACAGAGGAAGATTAATAACACATGTCAAGGCAGTGCCATTTCATGCTAAATCCAACACTGAATATTATCACTCTGTCAACAGATAAAAGCATCTACTACACTGCTCAACATGTCATAGACTCGTGAAGATCCGGGCTAGAATTTGTCTTCAGTAACCAGTGCTGGTCGTAAGAGGCGACTAACGGGATCAGGGGGTCAGGCTCACTGACTTGGTTGATGCATGCCATTGTATCCCAGTTGCGTAGATCGATGTTCATGATATCAATCACTGGATTGTCTAGTCCAGACTTGATTATTTCCAAAGGCTGCATGTAGCTGGAATTTTGCTTGTGCGGCGTTAAACAGAAAAGAAACAACAAAAAACATACTTTTAGTTCCGTTTCTGCTCCGCCGCTCTCGACAGTGATGTCTGTGATGTCGAGGTTTATGTCCGCACCAAAGTCTATCTGGTCTTCTTCACCTCCCCAGTCAATCTGACACAAAAAGAAATATGGATGTATCTACAGTCCAAACACCAAAAAACAAACGTCTGATTGAAATGAAGGGTATATGAGCATTGATGTGTATGCAGTTTAACAGAGAATGTTTGTTGAGGTCATTTGGAGACATACCCACCCTCGACCAGGGGAACAGATGGCCCAATCATCTAATGCACCTCAACTTGCTGTGCAGAGTTACATCCCTTGGGCATGCCAGAAGCCTATGAGCATGGTTTCCATGTCCAGTTCACCCCGATTATGTTTCTAGGTTTGTCAGCACTTTTCCTGTGCACGTGGGTTTCACCAAAGTGGTAAACGTCTAAGAGCTGCATCACTTCGGGCTTTCCTACCACATTAAGCTGACACGCCGTGATATAACTGGAATATTGTTAAAAGTGGTGTTAAATGAAACTCACTCACTCAGTCTACCAAATCATGAAACCAATCCTTACATCTCCTGTCTCCTCCACGACCTCCTGCTCATCGGTAGTGTCGATCTGTATGTTCGTGTCTTCCACCTTATCAGGAGCACTTCCTGTACGCCACTGGTACGTCGTAACGTCGCCATTACATATGATAAACTTTAGAAACTGGAGGGATTCTGATTCAAACTTGTCACTGAAATAATAAAAAAGAAATATCTTCATGTAATATGTTGAAATCTTCCGTTCCAGTGAAGCATATAATGTTTCAGAGATGCTTGTTAGGCTGTGATGCAAACAAAAGCATGTTCTACTGATGATGTTAATGATGCAAGACTAGTTTAGGGGATTAACCTATTCTGTTTTAAATTTTGAGGCGGTTCATTGTTGATTAAACAAAGACTAGAGTAACACAAATGTGACTGAATGTAACACTTAGGTGTTTAATTAACGATGAACCACCACATAACTAAAAAACACAATAGGTTTATCTCCATTCTACCATGACCAAAATGAATTTTTTTAAACAGAATCTTTTTCTTGTGTACATATTCAGTGCAATGATGTGGTCAGAAGTGGTTATCACTCATATATATATATATGTATATATATATACAAAAATACCCATGGGGATTCCAGAAAATAGATTCCTAACAACCTATGTTTGTCCAAAAAGGAGCAAAATGGATCGGGTGATCAGGTTTGCTAACTTGGTCAATTATTCGTTTCCTGTTTGTGTTGAGTGGAAAGTAAAGGGACTGAGCCTGAAGCATACATTTTCAGATGAGGGTTTTAGTCAATTTCCCATGACACTATCTTCCTAACGAGTAAATAAAACAAAACAAGCTGATTGGATAATGCAACTACACACAATGAACACAAAACAAGTGTTACACATTCATTACCTTTTCATAACAAATGACACAAAGTTTTGATAATAATCAAATGCTGGTTGAAGCGACTTTGTTGTCTTTGCCATTTTCTGATATTCAGTGGGAAGATCTCTAACAAGGGCAGCTAACTCTGACTTTATCTTCTTTCCCTGAAACATGAACAGATAATAACCATACACACCAAATGTCATCTATAGCGCCTTAAACCAGGCTGTTAAATACAGTACAGCTGGGAACTATATCACAACATCTTGCATTTTCAAAGAAACGGAAAAAAATATATGCAGATTGGACGTGATGATATTCCCGATAAACAGTTTCAAAATGTATTTCTACTCAGCCCTGCGTAGTCTCACTAGAGCTTGATTGAAACTATTTACTAATATTATAAACATAACTGAGTAAAGGTTTAATGAGACATAGTTGATAAAAGGTTTAATGACACAGTCAATATTTCATGTGTCATGAAAAAATCCGAAAAATATATCACTACTAAGTGGTGAGGTCCAAGAAAAAATTATACAGTTCTATTTTTTTCAAATAAAAAAAATTAAAAATGTGAACATTATTTAGGAACTGGTCATTTATTAAAGGGAGGGGGGGGCATTAAAAAATGTTACATGTATTTGGGGTGGGCATGAAAAAATGCTACACAAAATTGATGGGGTTGGCAAAACATGATACAGATCTACGGCCAATCCTTTCCCCCTCCCTAACATGAATTGGAAAATTTTAAATTCCTTTTTCATGTGATTTGCTGCAGACTTGGTGCCAAATATTGGCCTCTGTATATTCATGAAATTGTTTGACAAGATAACATGTAATACCTCTATACCCATCTGTTTACAGGAGGCGTCATACTTCCGCCTCAACTCTGATTGGTTGGTACTGTAGTCGGCCTCCTTCCTGGTACAATCCTGCAAGCAAACATACCCCAGGAATTAAACATAGAACCACTGTATCCATAGTGCCAACTTCCACAAATGCTCGTAACCCGACATAATTATTACCCTGGCCAATGGATCAGGGTGCCCTCAAATGCCATTCTCAGCCCCCAAGGACATATGTCCATCACCAGATTGTCTGGTCTAATTATTTACAGACCGACGCCATACAGCTTGAATATTACTGAGCAAACAAATAAACAAAACCATATGAAGATCTAGAACAATGGGTCACCAGTTCCCCATCTGAACAAAGTTCTCAATGGAATATCTACAATATTACCTGTGTGAAGTACAGGGAGCAATGAAAACAGGGAATATACTACGAGGAACCCTATTCCTCAACATGCTTCATATTAACATGATTAAAGTGTAGTTTCAGAATGAACCTAAACATGTTTGAAATATCTCAGCTGTCAACAGACAATGCCTTTTAGAAAGTGGTCAAATGTAACAAATGTTATATCTGAAGCAACGGTGGCTAAGTGGGCGAGATCGCTGACTTTGTGTGCTGGCGATTAGGTGCCTGACTCTGGCAGTGTGGGTTCGAATCCTGGATGGGACTCAAATAGTATGAGAATCTGTACTTTAATAAGACAGTGTTATCCCAGATATAACATTTGTTACATTTGACCACTTTCTAAAATGGCATTGTGTGTTCACAGCTTTTAGCCAGGGGAGCCGTGCCAATTTACACTTGTCAGAGGGGTACACAAAATATTAATCTAGACTACCGGTTGTCGAAATTTCATTTTGTGGAAGCCTCGGTGGCCGAGTGGGTTAGATCACTGACTTTGTGTGGTGACGATTAGGTGCCTCACTCTGGCAGTGTGGGTTTGAATCCTGGATGGGACTCAACCCAAAATGTATGAGAATCTATATTTTACTCAGAAAGTGTTATCCCAGATATAACGTGTTACCAGGTATCTCAGCTGTCCATTCATAAACACTCAAAACACACCTTCTGAATTTGTTGACATTTGCCTATTTGTTTCTTCAGTGCAGGAATCTCATAATTAACATTGCGTGACACCATCTGTGCCACCTCACCTGAAACAGGAAAACAGAACAATGCTACAATACATTGAACAAAATAGAACAGTGCTAATAAGCTGAACAAAAGAAAACAGTGCTATAACAGGCTGAACAATATAGAACAGTGCTATAACAGGCTGAACAATATAGGACAGTGCTATAACAGGCTGAACAAAACAGAACAGTGCTATAACAGGCTGAACAATATAGAACAGTGCTATAACAGGCTGAACAAAATAGAACAGTGATATAACAGGCTGAACAAAATAGAACAGTGCTATAACAGGCTGAACAAAATAGAACAGTGCTATAACAGGCTGAACAATATAGGACAGTGCTATAACAAGCTGAACAAAATAGAACAGTGTTATAACAGGCTGAACAAAATAGAACAGTGTTATAACAAGCTGAACAAAATAGAACAGTGCTATTACAGGCTGAACAAAATAGAACAGTGCTATAACAGGCTGAACAAAATAGAACAGTGCTATAACAGGCTGAACAATATAGGACAGTGCTATAACAAGCTGAACAAAATAGAACAGTGTTATAACAGGCTGAACAAAATAGAACAGTGTTATAATCAACTGAACAAAATAGAATAGTGCTATATGTAAGGCTGAACAAAATGAAAAATACCATGAAAGCACATTAGTTGTACCATTCGACAAACAATGTATTTTCAAACATGAAGGTCTAAACAATACTCTCTGTTCTTATGAATCAGCTGTATAGTAATAGTAAAAAATATTCTACAAACACCTATCTCTCTCTCTCATATCACCTGTAATGAGAATATGACCTCTATGTCATATTGGACATATTCACTTACCAAGATATACCCCGTCTTTTTCAAAAAGCTTCACAATTTCAGCCCAATCCTGAAAATAGAAGGTACTGTACATGTAATTTGTAAATGAAGCAAAAATGAATTTATGTCAACAACACATTGGTGATGTTACCAGTTTGTATGCACTATGTTTCTCTATCACCTGTCAGTTCATAAGGTCTGTTTGCATCAGTGTTTTTAACCAACTAGTCAAGACACTGCCTGGTTTCTGCGAAAAACAAAAAAAACAAGTGCTTAGACCAATCAGTGTAAAGCCCAAGTCTTGGCTATTGGTCAGTCCGACTACCCTCGTACAATGACAATGCACATACAAACCAAATTATAAACCTACCTTCATTCGTTGAGAAGAATATTGACCAAATATATTCTTCTTTCCTGATTCTGTTTCCTTCAAAAGCCTCAGGATTGTCAAACAATGGAAATAGTTGATATCTAAAGGAGAAAATTCAGTGTCACAGATTCTGTGTATAAACATGGCACTGGGCACTCACCGTCAAACAATGGAAATAGATGATATCTAAAGGAGAAAATTCAATGTCACAGATTCTGTGTATAAACATGGCACTGGGCACTCACTGTCAAACAAGGGAAATAGATGATATCTAAAGGAGAAAATTCAATGTCACAGATTCTGTGTATAAACATGGCACTGGGCACTCACTTTCAAACAAGGGAAATAGTTGATATCTAAAGGAGAAAATTCAGTGTCACAGATTCTGTGTATAAACATGGCACTGGGCACTCACTGTCAAACAAGGGAAATAGTTGATATCTAAAGGAGAAAATTCAATGTCACAGATTCTGTGTATAAACATGGCACTGGGCACTCACTGTCAAACAAGGGAAATAGATGATATCTAAAGGAGAAAATTCAATGTCACAGATTCTGTGTATAAACATGGCACTGGGCACTCACTTTCAAACAAGGGAAATAGATGATATCTAAAGGAGAAAATTCAGTGTCACAGATTCAGTGTATAAACATGGCACTGGGCACTCACAGTCAAACAATGGAACGATAATACTGAAGGCGACAGTTTGAGTCGATAGGTACCAGGAGTGGGACAACATGTTTACTTCTTTCAAAAACGCAGCTCCATCTCATTTCAGGTAGATTTGTGTTAAATGGCTTAAGTATTCAATGATCTAAAATATGTATTTAAAAAAAACTACCACAGCATTTCTTATCTCATGGTACTGTAGTCTTCATCGTAAATTGACATGGGAAAGGGAAGTAACTCTCACAAGAAACCCCAAGCAACAACTTTCTTTCATTTCACAATTTTGATTTCACACTGCAACCCACACTTCCTACATGTCTAGTAGATCACATCTAGTATATAGAAGGTATTTAAATTATCTAAAGTCCTCTAAATTTCCCATGTCAAATCCCTGCACTAGATATTTTGCACAACCGTCCGAGTCTATCTTGTAATGAATTATGTACACAATTTCAGAGTTTACCCGACCTATATATTATATATATTCTGAATTAATCTTAATATTTTAAATTATTTATAGCGAAGCCAAAAGAAAAAATATCCTTAGGGTATGCGATTTCCATGTTTCCAGTTCATACCGGTAAATAATATTCCCCAAGCGCCAATAAAACCAAAACGTACAAGTTCCTTCCAGCAGTGCCGATATCTCCTCGACTTCAGGCATGTCTTGTATGGCTGTGTTTATCTTCTCCCGGATGGCGATAGTCGCCTTCTGCCAGTCCTTACTGCAGTGGCGCCGGCTCACCAGCCAGTCTAATCACAAAAAATATCAAAGACAACATAATAACATCTTAATAACCACTGCCGGAAAACAACGAAGAGTTTAATCTGCACATACACAATTATCCTTATTCCCTTTACACCTGGAATAGGGGTGGCAGGGTAGCCTATCAAGCTCATCACATCGAACACCTGGGTCCGATTCCCCACGAGTACAATGTGTGAAGCCCATTTCTGGTGTCCCCCGCCGTGATATTGCTGGAATATTGCTAAAAGCAGCATCAAACCATTTTCATTTGCTCACTCACTCACTCACTATACCTGGAAGATGATGCTACTCATGTCACAATCGGGATTCAAACCCACGGTGAGCGGATCCTGGCACCGTCCACTTGAACTCCCATATACCCCAAGGCAAGCAGGCTCAAAAAGCTTGTGAGTGAGTATGGTTTTACGCCGCTTTCAGCAGTATTCCAGCAATATCATGGCAGGGACACCAGAAACAGGCTTCACTGATTGTACCCATGTTGTGAATCGAACCGGGTCTTTCGTTTCACGAGGAACCCTTAACCACTAGGCTACCCCACCACCCCCTTCTGAGTTTGAATTAGTCCCAGTCATCAATGCTTGGTGTAAGGGGACTTAATGGGTGTGTGGGAAGACTTGGTGACTTGGCTGACCAGGTCAGCTGTGACAGCTGGAATATTGCTGAGCATGGCATTAAACAACAAGTAAATGATCCTTACTATCTTGTCATCAGTTACATACCGGTATCCAATTTCTAAATGCCAGATCCAACAAAATAACTGTGAGTGTCTCAGTCCTGCTAGAACTCCTGCCTACACTCATGTAATATTCTTTGGGTCAACTTACAGGCTGGGGTTACTTGTTAATGTGTTTACCAATGACTTCATAATGTCCTTCCCTATGCTAATGCAACATTTTCCCTATGCTAATGCAACGTTTTCCCTTTGCTCATGCAACATTTTGGTGCAGATAAGGGAACTCCAATTATCATTATCATGTGAATTTCAAAGTGTACATAAATATTTGCAATGTAAATGATGCAAAACGGTAGCTAAAACAAAATAATAATATTCATCAATACTATTGACTAACATCTAATCTCTGACATGAACATATCTTACAGAAAAAAACGGTTGTTAAATTATTTTAATATAATTTTAATAAAAAGGAGCCCAGGGACTCTCTTCATTTTTAGATACCTGATCATGCTGATACTGCAGTAATCTAGACTTGCAAAACATTATAGACTTGCATAGGCTGTATTGGATATATTTGTATCAGGGTCTGTACAACAGACTATCAATACTATTGTTTGTTGGGCTTGATAAAACTTCTTTTATCTGCACTGTGGTGATGCAGTGATGGAAATATAGAAATTGCCATGAATGTTTTGCATGTTACCATGTATACCAACAACATCAGTTCTTAACATTCTATAAGGACAATCAAAGACTTATTTGAAGCTACCAGTACTTATTTGAGGAACTGGATAAAGAACACAATCAAACATTGTACATGTGTTCCAGTATACTATCAACGCGTGTGGTCTGATGTTGATTAATAAATAATTTGCATACTCGTATATGCAAGAGGTGACGTATGGTTCTCAGTAGGAAGTGACAACTTGGAGACGATGGCTTGCAGTATATACAGTTTTACTTTATACATGTAGATAGATACATACAAATGACACTATGTGCCAAGTCAGCACATAGTGGTAGTGCTTGTTGTCTTGGTGCCCCGGAGCACCCAGCCTAACCCTAGCTAGGCTAAGGGTAAGACCTTTTTTTCCCCCTCTTCTCTCTTTTCTCCTTCTGGACCAAGGCTTATATAGCCACGGTCACCTGACATTTAGTAAGTAATAAATATAAATGTAAACAGTAAATCATCAGTGACATACTTGCACATCCTGTTCAGGATGGCAGACGGTCGATGTACACAAAACTGGGGATTAACAAATAGGATTAGCATCTTATAAATAACAGCAATTAAGTGTTTCAAGGCATATAGATGTCATGGCTCCAGGGTAATGAGCCTTTGCAATCAAATGTTCTTCAGACAATGGATGTCGTAAATCAGTCGCTATGACAATACTGTGACGGTAACTGTAGTATTTCTTTAATTGTGGAAAAGACAACATGTGGATGTGGCTAGAACATGTCTAGTAGAACACCTGACTCAAAATGCTCAACTGACCCAAAATCTTAACCTGTGAATGCATGACATGAGTTCACAAAATACTTACCAAGCAACTTGTTATAGTGAATATCTATAGGTAGACTTTCAGCAGTCTGCTGTGCCATGTTTGTCAAGCTAATAATTCACCAACACTTGTTATATGTTTCCCCAACTCGTGACATCTGTTGAAAAATGGATTTAATTCATAACATAAACATATGTGATGGTGAGGTGAGGTGAAATGGGCCTTAAAAGTTGCTGTCATGATTTTCGCATTTTTACAGCAACATACATACACGGTCACAAAAAAGTAACACAGCAAAAGGGGGGGGGGGGGGGGGGAGAGAGACACACTTCTATTTTATCAAATAATTTTTTTTTCTTCCTGAATGTGAACATTACATAGAGACTGCTCATGTATTATGGTGGGATGGGGGGTGTCATGAAAAGATGCCACACAAAATTGGGGGAGGGGTAGGGCAAAATATGATACAATCCTAAGTCCAATCTCACCAACTCTCCCCTATAAGAGACCAGTCCCTTATGCTGGACCTGTGAAGATTTCAGGGTATAATAGGTCTTCAGCAACCCATGCTTGCCGTAAAAGGTGACTATGCTTGTCGTAAAATCGTAACAGGATCGGGTGGTCAGGCTCGCTGAGTTGGTTGATGCATGTCATCAATCCCAATTGTGTGGAACAATGCTCATGATATTAATCACTGGATTGTCTGGTCCAGACTCGATTATTTACACACCGCCATCATATAGCTGGAATATTGCTGAATGCGGCGTTAAACAACAAACCAACCTAATACCGATCGCCAGGCAGAGTAGCAAGTACCGGGGTGCCATGGATTAACCTCTTTTTTATATGAAGCAACAGGGGATTTAACCTAGGGTCTCACAAAGGACATGTCAAAAATACATCACCTGATAATAATTACGAATAGTGGATATGATAAATGCAGCTAATTCTGTCACCAGCTCTGATGAACATGTCAAGTGATAACAGCAAGCAAACATAAATGGTGGTTGTCATAAATTCCCTGCATCTTTTTTGCACAAATATCTTGCTCTTTCACCAAATATTTTTTTATAGTAGTAAATACGGATATCATTCTTTGCTTGTAAACGAAATCTCTGCCACTGAACTACTGCTACTGCTAACATATGTCCAGTGCCGTAGCCAGCCGGGAGGCAGGGAGGGCAGTTGTCCCCCTGGATTTTTTATAGAAAACAGTTTTATTTGAATCATGAAAATACAAATTGGAGACAAGTGATACTTGTAGAAATATTTGACCCCCCTGTCAAAAAAAGTTAACTACGGCCTTGATGTCACAGCCCATGACATATGGTGTCAAAAACAGCAAAGTGGATTTTTTCCGCTCAAACAAGATATGATCACGTCGTTTGATTACCGTCTTAACATTAAAAAAATAAACACGGTAAAACATTACTGTAATTCAGGAAATCCTAAAAGCATTATCACCAGCACCGGCAAGCCATTCGACTGGAAAGGGTGTTGTTAGTTTTAACACTTGACTTGTGACACATTGATAACCGGTGTTTTCTCTTTGACAAGCGTAACATTGTTATAAGAATGCAATCAATGAAATCACATGTCATGGATAAACACATCTGCCCAAATAGGTCATTCAAGAAATATTCACTTACAGGTGAATCGTCAACAGCGTGGTTCTGACTTTCTGCACCGTATGTTGTGCAAGTTGTCTCTACTTCCGCACACGTGTTTAACCGTATCCCATTAATAACGCCTACTCTGATTGGTTCAAATCTTGTTGACACCCCTAGCTCCTAACACTGTTAGTGATGTGAAGAGCTTTTAATTGAACGAAGCTGCTGTAAAATGTTTATTTATTGTCGTGCAATGGGTTGATCGGGAATGACAAATCTTTATGACATTTTTCCTCTTAGCCGAATACTCGTGAGAAAGTGCAACGCATGCCAGGATGAGGGGTAATATATTATTATTATGTTACCCATATGAATCAAGACAAGCCAACATTAGACATTCGTTATTTTGTTGGGCCGTGCTTGTCGTAAGAGGCGACTAACGGGATCGTGGATCGATTCTCATGATGTCAATCACTGGACTATCTGGTCCAGACTCGATTATTTACAGACTGCCGTCAAATAGCTGGAATATGGCTGAGTGCGGGGTTATACAACAAACAAACACTCGTTGTAATATATCGTATGCGTTGTGTCACATTTATTGCGCACAGAGGCGAATTCAGTTAAAAGGCTACTTGGTCTCATTATGAATTTGCAGAACAAACTTTGAAACAAAAAAACAAAACACCTGTAGCTCTTTCTGGACACAGCAACGCGGGTGATCCAGTCGTCGAAGTCGGTAATTTGATGCGTCCCTTAGGCATACCTAAAATCGAGTCAGTCAGTCCTGGCCGCACTGCCATGACTAAGATGCATTTCTGTTGCTTTAGTGTGACTGCACTGCTGCCTCTGAGTGGGGTATTCATGTTAAACTGCCACATGGTATATCAGAGGGATAGGACTTTTTTTTCTTTTCTTTTCTTTTTTTCTCTGTGTGCGTGCGTGTGTGTGTGTGTGTGTGTGTGTGTGTGTATGACATCCATGTACACACACACAGTGCTTGGGTGGTCAGGCTTTGTGTCTTGTTTGATTGTGTGTTCAACATCATTCACTCAAACTCACTCACTCATAGCTCAACTGCCAAGTGTTTTATTTTCGTGTAGATGAGCCTGTTGAAACGTTTGGAGATTAAGAAAATATATTCATTTGGTGCTAATCATGGATTGGATGTTTTCAAAGTCACATGCTGTCTGGTGTTCTTCCAAAACATACTTTCAGAAAAGAAAACATACCACAGTGTTCAGGTGAAGTTTTATTCATACTCTTATCATTTCATACCTTTATTGATTCAGTATATGTATATGCTTTTCTGAACACGGTGAACATGTCAATTATTTACAAAAACAGACTTATGATATACATAGAAGACAAAACTAAATTGAAACATGGATCAGTGTCTAAGGATTTTATTGCTTCAGTCATACCAATAAAATACCAAAATATACTTCTGACAAAGGTATTCTTTAAACTCTCATAAAACAACTTTGTACTGTGTGAGAAAATGGATGCCAAAAAGAGTACATTCCTTGACAAAAATAAACAAATATATTAAAGTTTTCTTGAGGAAAAATACATAAATATATCACTTAACTATGGCCATGGTTCATAAATGACGACACATGTTTGCCCATGTTTCAGTTCCATTTACAGCATATGTGATAAAGATTCACCATGACCTAGTATGGCCATGAGGTGTCCTGTTTCTATGACCAGATCCTGACAGTGTTGTCGCTGCCGCCGGACACCATGAAGTCCCCACTGCGGTCAAACAAGACACACTGGACAGCGTCTTCATGACCAATTAGAGCTGTCGTCTGAAAAAATGTACAATCATGACTATGTTACAAGCTACTACAGCAAATACATTATATCTTTCTCAGTTAAAAATTGTCATCACAGCAATTTTGATTGTTTGCTGGATATTCAGCAACAGACTGATTTAAGAGATAAGTCCTGAGGTTGTTGCATCCAAAGCATATTTTTAAGAATTGACTTCAGTATTTTTTGCGATTATGGAGTTATAAACGTAAAAAACTGTTGTGCAAACTGCACGGATTTATGCAAAGTGTGCCCAGTGGTTTTTACATTTATACATGTATCTCCATAAACACAATTGATTTCAATTCTTATAAATAAATATAGTCAACAATAATTACTTCACAGACTGCTTATAAAATGATTAACACACAGAACAAAGTCATACTTCAGCATGTTAATGCAACACAAGACCCGCCCATTCTGTTATCAGCCAATCAGGAAACAGTAGTTTCTAAGTAGGAGGGGCCTAATTTATTTTGGGTTTATGGAAACAGAAACGCCAAAAATATTGCTTGGTTAGCCAATCAAATACCATGAAGCGCTTGCAATTTATTTATTACATCATAATCAGTGTCTCTAATGGAAGCAAACAGCTTTATTATATGCAAATAAGAAATGATTAAAATACTGGGATTATTTTCCTCTCAAAACATCCCTCTCTTTTGTTTCTACAGACTCTGCAAGTTTGTAACAGGAAATTATACAAAATATATAGGAAATCTGAGTATGAAATCTTGTAACCAAATCATCAATGAATCATTAATTTATTCTATGGTATACTGTGATGTCATACTGTTTGATGTGACATCACTTGCTTGTCACGTCAAAACTAAACCTGTTTGCACATAAGTCTTTGTAACGAGTAATGATAAATTTGTTAAACATGTCACTAGTGGGGTGAATTGAATTTTATAAGCTGACCAATCTTGTGGTTCACAAGACCATTCAGCTCATAAAATTCTTATAATATTACTATTTTTTGGCATTGAAAATTACTCACCTGGCCAGAGCCCACCTCATACATTTTGACAGCACTGTCATTACTTGCCACAGCCACTACAACACCTGTGGAAATAACATCAAACTTGATGAAAACAGTCAATATTTTTCAAATATGTCATAGAACCATTAAAATTAGTGTTCTCTACTTAACACACATTCTCTCCATCACGATATCTTTACAATCAACAAGGTGGATAGATGCTAATGGTTTGTCTGGTCAAGATTATTTATTAGATTATTTACACTCTTGTGTGTTTGTTGTTTGATGCCGCACTCACCAATTTACCAGCGATATGATTGTGGTCGTGGTCAGTAAATAATCAACACTGGACCAGACAATCCAGTGACTGACATCATGAGCATCGATCTACTCTATGGGTATACAATGACATGCATCAACCAAGACCGCAAGTCTGACCACCCGATCACGTTAGTCGCCTCTTACGACAAGCATGGGTTTCTGAAGATCAATTCTAAAGCGGATCTTCACAGGGGTGTAATATTTACAAGTCATTCTGCATGATATTGCTGTTCCGCTAGGAAAAGCTATTTATCATCCCAAACTGGCTTCCACACGAGATATCACTTGAGCCAGAACACTGTGATGTCATTAAGTCTTAATCATCAACAAACAGATACTTACAAAGTTCACTAGCTTTGTAATAAAAAATGTCATGATCCTGAAAATATTTGAAACACACAGCAACTTATATAAGACAAGGTTAATGTAATATTTTGGTGTATATATCTATAATTATACATGTGGTTTACGGTTTACCTGATGGGTCAAAGGCAACGTTGTTTGCAGGGTGAGGGCCGATATCGAGGCTGGTCATCGGCGCCACATTCCTGATGTCCCACAGCTTGACGACACCATACGAGTCACACGATGCCACCGTGTCGCCCTTCATGGTACAAATGATTCAAGTTAGCGAAACACATGAAACATCAACTTCCCTAGTACACTACTAACAGAGGGAAACAAAACCAGTAATTCCTCAAAAGCATAGCTGGTATATAACACAATTTCCCAGCAGGAGAACAACACTGAATGTAAATGATCCAATCACACATAATTTTAAACAGGGTAGTAGGAGGCTTTCTTTTTTTAAAATGACAAGGGCACAAGTGAGCGTGGCTCACTAATACCCCCGACCCGCCAGTGTGTCAGTAGTTTCAAATTAAATAATGGATAGGGTTAGGGTTTGAAAAATTCATAAAAAAATGGAAAATTAATAAAAACAATTTTTTTTCTCTTGACGGCACCCTTCCATATGACACAGATTATATGTACTGAGTTTGAGATGAATCCACTGAATAGTTTAAGAGAAATCACGAGGACAAATTTTTCGGATGGACGGACGGATGGATGGAACCTTGGTATAACTATATATCCCCGACCTAAAAGGTATAAAAATAGCAAACCTACAGCTTTATTGGATAACTACTGTACCATCACCCCTGTAACTAAATCATCCCCGGGTCAGCACCCTGCACCATGCCCGGGGCACTAGTTCCCACACTGAGGGGCCACAAGCATCATCCCTCTAGTTCCCACTTCTCTAGTCGGTCATTAGCACACCAGTTCTCTTCAAGTACACACCTGTTGCCGTATGTAATCGCTTTCGCTTTGCTTGTTTTGCTTTGTTCACAATTGCTTTCGTATTTGCAATTTACACTTTAAATACCATCAGTTTCATTGCTCATTGTATCGGATCTATTTTGCTCCACTACCTAATTCACCCCAGGAACATTTATCACTTATGGATTACCGTCCTCGTCAACTCAACTTTCCGCGATGCCTACCAAGAGATGAGCAGCCATCAACCACAAACTGGTGAGACGAGCCAAGCAAGCAAGGACAACCGGGAGACAAACCCAGGGAGTACACATAGTACAGGAGGCCTCAGCCGATTAAGTTATTATTGATTACTAGCATCAGCGTCCTGTTCCACAAACTGATCTCAACTGCCTTAACACCCATACTTTAACACAGACTTATGATAGTCATCGCACTAAAATTGTTTTGTGGATCAGGGCCCAGATAATAACAGAAGAGACCAATTTCCTTATGAATGATCGAGCGCCAGCTGCATTGCCAGTTGCTTTTCTAACGGCAGATCATGTGTGTAGTCTTATACAGTGAAGCACCGGAATTCTCCGTTTCCCTATGTAGGATGGAATACAGTATCATATACTTACTCTCATGTTGAAGGTGGCACTATTGACTGAATGCATGTGTCCATAGAATGTCTGTGCACAGAGGCCCTGGAAGATAAAGCAAAAGGAGTTAGTTTAGTCCAAGATGAAGTCTCTCATACAGTGAGTGAGTGAGTATGGTTATTTTAGCAATATTTCAGCAATATCACAACAGGGGATACAGGAAATGGGCTTCATACATTGTACCCATGTTGGGAATCGAACCCAGGTCTTCGGCATGACGAGTGAACACTTTCACCACTATGCAACCCCACTGCACTCTCTCATACAGACCCTAGTGCATATAATCAATGAAACAATCACCTCCCTTCTCATTCTCATCCCCTTCTCAGCTCTAGCAGCCGACATTCGTCCCCTTTTCAGCTCTAGCAGCCTACACTCATCCCCCTCTCAGCTCTAGCAGCCTATACTCATCCCCCGTAAATTGGAAAAGCTGAAATTCTGGCCAACAAGACACCACAACTGTGTTATCACAGGAAAGTTCCAAGCACATTTAATACAAGCAAAGCATTTTTCCAGGAGTGCATTTTGTGATTTGTCAGTTTGTGTAGTCATGTACTTTTGTTGAAAACATTATGAAATGGGAAAGTTAAAAAATTATAGTGTCCTTAAAGTTTATACCAAAGAATACCTGATCACCTATGAAATTTTATAAATAATAGGTGAACTTCAAAAAGGGTGGTGGCATCCCTGCACCCCCTCTGGGTCCTTATATGTCCTTATACTGCCTGGACAATTACAGTAAATCATCATGTCTAGTGATGTTTTAGCTCAAATTTCAAATTTGCATTGACCAAGTTTAATTGTTATCACCTGTTCGTTTACCTGAATTCGCCGAAGGGATATGATGTAATTTTTTTCTGTGAAAGACAAATACGTTTTTATTGCACTGGTGATGTGCATCATTCCAATTCGCTTTATAGATGGGGTATATAGATTAGCATCGATTTTGAAGGCTTGTACAGGGAGGTCGCCTTATAAGCGGGGTCGCTTTATAGACAGCGATATACGGCGGCACCTCTGAAACTCACCGTCCTGGCATCCCAGAGAGACAGTGTTTTATCAGCAGAGGCTGTGAGCACTGTGTTGGAGAAGGGGAGGAACTCAATGCTGTTGACAGAGTCAGCATGGCCTCGTAACGTGAAGCGACATCGTAAGCTGTAATGTATGGAAGGACTATTGGTATAAAAGGTATTAAAGGTTTTAAAACATTACAAAACTACAAAAAATCTTTATAGACATAACAGCAGAGTGATACAAGACAACGTCACTAGAATAAAATAAAGTTGATAAGAAAATTCACATCTTTATGGCGACAGCTTGATAACAGTGTAAGAATCTCCCTCTAAACTTTGCTATGTGCAATAAACCAGAAGTTGTACGTCTTCATATTTACTAATCAACTTCTAGAATGGCAATCAAACATAATTCAGTGGGTCACAAATATACTGAATACATGATATAAATAATTTATTATGAGATCTTTAATGAAGACATGAAACATATGGATAACAACTTCTCCATTGTTTACAAGGCTAAAAAAATAATAGTCTTGGTGCTCAGGCACTGCCCGCAACATAAAAAAAATCTGCCACACGTTTCGTTTCCATTTCCATTTTCCAAAAAAATTAAAAAATCCTAATACTTAAAAACAATGCGATCCAATATAGCACGCAGTTACTTCCCTTTACATGCATACTACTTTACTGTGCATCTTGCGTTATGGTCATGGTGGAAATAGGAGTTTGTATGCTTTTTTATGTACGGAGGCCTTTTCCAAAGTTGATGGTAGACAGCTGTTTATTTGTTTACATACTTTGAACAAGCAAAATAAAAACACTGTCTGCCCACACTATATTTTCAAAAGTCATTGCCTGAGAACCAATTCTTTTATTTATTTTTTGAAGCCTAATGACTCCTCTCCCATCACCTACCTGTTGAGGTCCCAGATTTTGGAGGTGTTGTCCATGGAGCAGGAGGCGAGGAAATCTCCACAAGAGTGCCATGAACAGCTCCATACTGGACAAATAATCACATTATTGCTAAACCTCTCAATATTTCTTGTATGATCTATTTTATGAAGTTTTAATGTCATTTGTCTAAATTGAAATGAAAAAAAAAGTTATTTTAAAAAATTATTATCAAAAAAGTAAAGGTGAAACCAGGAAAATGATACATGAAAGAATTAAAACCATAATACTTTGAGGGTTACCTCCCTTCTCATATGTATTACTTTCCACTTTTACTGTTTTTAATTTGAGTAAAACACACTTATTTTTTACAGATAATACAGCTGTTAGCAGGGTATCTATGTTAGACACAGATACGATTTTGTTAATTTCTAAACAAAATTATATAAACAATATATATATAATTGAACACAAACAAATGTTTGGCCTTCCAGGAAGGATAGAAATCTAAAGACAGCATTCCTAACAACCAAAAAATATTTTTGTCTTCCCATACATATATTGATCAAAACCATGATTGCTGCTATGAATCTCCTCGACTGACCTGCCATGGTGTGGTCTGTGAATGTGTGTACACACTCTGCCTTACTGAAGTCCCAGATCTTCACTGTACTGTCACCACTTGTTGTCGCCAGCTTGGCGCCACTGCAATAACAAAACAACAGTGGACGCTATTAAATCTGGAAAACCAAAATTACATTGAAGTTTTAAAATACTTTACAATGTTGTTCCTAAGTTTCCTACTTTAAATATTTTAATCAGTAAGCGCCTGCCTTGATTTCTATGATTACTAACTTTCTCATAACCTTTAAGTTTGAAGCTAATGTTTGCAAACAAAAAATAACATCTTACCAGTTATACAGTTATCAAATAATAGCATATTACCAGTTATACAGATATCAAATAATAACATCTTACCAGTAATACAGATATCAAATAATAACATCTCACCAGTTATACAGATATCAAATAATAACATCTTACCAGTTATACAGCTATCAAATAATAACATCTTACCAGTTATACAGCTATCAAATAATAACATCTTACCAGTTATACAGCTATCAAATAATAACATCTTACCAGTAATACAGATATCAAATAATAACATCTTACCAGTAATACAGATATCAAATAATAACATCTCACCAGTAATACAAATATCAAATAATAACATCTTACCAGTAATACAGATATCAAATAAAAACATATTACCAGTAATACAGATATCAAATAACAACATCTTACCAGTAATACAGATATCAAATAATAACATCTTACCAGTAATACAGATATCAAATAATGACATCTTACCAGTAATACAGATATCAAATAATAACATCTCACCAGTAATACAAATATCAAATAATAACATCTTACCAGTAATACAGATATCAAATAACAACATCTTACCAGTAATACAGATATCAAATAACAACATCTTACCAGTAATACAGATATCAAATAATAACATCTCACCAGTAATACAAATATCAAATAATAACATCTTACCAGTAATACAGATATCAAATAACAACATCTTACCAGTAATACAGATATCAAATAATAACATCTTACCAGTTATACAGCTATCAAATAATAACATCTTACCAGTTATACAGCTATCAAATAATAACATCTTACCAGTTATACAGCTATCAAATAATAACATCTTACCAGTAATACAGATATTAATTAATAACATCTTACCAGTAATACAGATATCAAATAATAATATTATACGTACGATGGATGGAAATCGCAGCTTGAGACCCAATCTGTGTGACCTTCACCTGTCATGATGATATCGCCACTTGGCACCGACCACATCTTCCATGTATGGTCATCACTGCTTGTTGCCAGAATCTGTTTACGCGGATGCAGTGATAAACTGAAAATGTAACAATTTTCCTTAAAGCTTATAAATCATGAAAAATAAAATATTGTGAAAAATGAAAACAAAATAATAATATATACATACATAACATAGCTCTAAATAAGATTTTGGTTATTTGAGTATTTTACCCATGGGTTTCATTGTTATTGGGTATCCACAATTTCTAGTGACAATTTTTTTACTCACATGTTTTTTTACATTTGGTATTTTAACTTGAAAGCCTGTTTCGTAACAATCCCTGTGAATCATTAAAAAAACAAATGAATAGTAGCCTACACATGTATAACCTAATGTAACTGTCGGTAAAAGAATTTCGTGATTGGCTGATACGAATCATTTTATCTAACAGATGTACTTCACGCATTTCAATTGCATATTTGATACGCTAGGAATGTGATTTTTCTGCATATTTCAGTTTATTTAGTGCATATTTTACGCAAATACACAACCTATCTCCAGCTCTGCATTATATGTTAAAGAAACGAATACCGGTAATATCTCACATCATATGTACTGTATTCTGAACAGTTACTATTCGTGCAGTATTTTTTGTCTTTTTCCCAGAACTCTACTGATACTTACCCACTGACTGGGTGGGAGTGAGCTTGGAAAGTGTTTGACTGTCGGAAACCTCCTGTGCGTGTCAGGTGACCAGGAGGGGCTTTTACCTGGGACAGGTATGGGTTGACACCAGTGTCCACGGGGAATTCAGTATCCTAAAAACAGGCCATAGAGTGAGTGAGTGAGTGAGTGAGTGAGTGAGTGAGTGAGTGAGTGATTGGGTGGGTGGGTGGGTGGGTGAGTGAGTGAGTGGGTGATTGGGTTGGTGAGTGTTTGAGTGAGTGAGTGAGTGAGTGGGTGAGTGGGTGATTGTGTGGGTGGTGTCTTAGCCTTACACACATTCTGTTTCAGCTAACATGTTAATCCTACAAAAATAGCAACATTGCATACATTGTAAAATTTGTGAAATGACACTTGATCTTGACATTGTGAATAATTAAAATAGCAATTAACAATCGGTAACTAGTGTTTTATTACTAACATCCTGTTTGGGTAATAAAACACCAGCTATTCCACACAATAAAGTTGAATAAACCCCTGTCAGGGATTAAGTCCCTGAGTAAACAACACAAGTTGTTACCAAGGTGACATAAGTTGTGGACATGGTTATCAAATAGATGAGCAGGCAGAAAAAAAGATGTAATGTATTAAAAAATCTGAGACAGACACAGGAAGACCTGGCATCATCCTGATCATGATCGTTGAAATTGCACAGCACGTCAACACCGGGAACAATGTTTAACTCCTTGCTTTGTGCAATTGGCCCAAGGTGACTTGTAATTCTCCTTACGTTTGCATGTCTCTTGTAGTCTTCTCCCAGGTCACGGACGTCCTTGCCGCTGTAGATCTCTCTTTCCTTTGAGAGTCGTTGGTGGGTCGGTCCACGTCCGTACTTGTCCTCAGGAACACTTCGGCGCAGGGAAGCAGAAGAGTCTAAGGAATTATAAGCACACATTCCTCAAATAGATTGAACCTGATTCCAGAATTTACAATATAGATCAGTTGATCAGAACAAGAAATCACAGGGTTACAAACAATCAGTTAGCCATGCTCCCATGGGTTCTGATGGGGGTATACTGTTTAGTGTAAAACAACTGAAAGACACTATCGTAAATTAAGATTTATGTAAAACTGTAAAAAGCACCTGCTCAGGTCATTTATAATAGGGGTGGGTGAGGGTAAGTAGGGGTAGGGTTGGTTTGTGGTGTGGGGACGGGGAGGGGGAGGTTTTTTTTGGAGTATTGTCATCACACAGTGAAAGAAGGGTTGGGGGAGGTTGGGATGGGGATGGGGAGTGTGTTCGCCAAAAGACATCATAATTATATGGTAGGGGGCCATGAAAAAAGTTATATATATTATATATTATTGTTCTTTATATATTTGTACATTGTGCAGGGACTGGACATTTATGGTAGGGAGGGGCATGGGGATGTCATTTAAAAATGACGCACTCAGCAATATTCCAGCTATGTGCCGGCAGCCTGTAAATAATCGAGTCTGGAACAGACAGTCCAATGATTGACATTATTTGCATTGATCCAGACACTTGGAACACCATGACATGCATCAACCAAGTCAGCGAACTTGACCACCTGATCCTGTTAGTCGCCTCTTACGACAAGCATAGTCGCCTTTTTACAATGAATGGGTTGCTGAAGACCTATTCTATCCCAGATCTTCACGGGTTGAAAAAAGTTGAAAACAGGATACAGATCTAAGACAAAACCCAAATATATCCAAGATTTAGTGCACACTTCAGAGATTCCAACATGACAAGAACCCAATCTTTTTTAAGTTGCGATGATGTACCTTGGAGGTTACTGTTGGATGTTCCCTTGAAGGACTCCATGCTCTTGAGAGTGCTCTGAAGCCCCGTGACCTGACCCACTGCCCGGTCGCGCTCCAGCTTGGCCAACATCTTTTCCTTCATCGCCACCTCATACTTGGACTTGAGCTGCTGTAGAGTTGGCTCGTACTGGACATAGTGACGCTTCAGTCTGAGGAACACACGACAAACCAAAATGTAGAAGTCAATAGGAAACATTCAGTACCAGGGTCAAACCAATGAAGACTGTTAGATAGGAATATTTGAAACATTAGAAATAAAATGTGAACAATTTTGCATGCATGCATTAGGGAATGGTTATACATTATAGGGGTGGGGAGCCGGTGGGATTGGACTGAATCATATTTTGAACCCCCCACCCAGTTCTATGTCACATTTTTTCACACACCCTCCCTCCCCTCAAATACATGTAACATTTTTTTTAAGACACACCCCACCCACCCCCTTTAGTAGTTGACCTGCCCCTAGGAAATATTCAAATCTATAATTCTTTTATTTAAAAAAGTATAACTGTGTGACTTTGACTTGCTTGATGACATTTTGGATTATGCACCTTAATGTTAGACCTATTATGTGTATTAGTAATGCACACCAGTAGTGCACACTAGTAATGTGTACCCGTAACAGGGTTCTACATGATGCACAAATGTGCATCCAATACTCACAAATGTTCAGAATGGACACAGAAAAAGAATACACTGCGTCCCGAGGGACATACAATAATATTCATTGTACCTACAGTGCATCAAGGGCAGTTGTGAGCATCTGTTATTTCATCTATCAATCATGACCACTGTCCACATGATCATTGATACACCCCAGGCTCAAAAGTAATTATCAAAACATACAGTACACTACACCATTTCATTACTTTACAGGACCTTTATATTGCCTGCAAGGACCCTTAATTATTGGGGATCCCCTGGACCCCTAGTTTTGCAAGTCAAGGTAAGGCACTGCAGTACTGTTATTTGATACACCTGATGTATATGTGTCATAACGTTTTTAACTAAACTGTATGGGATGATCTTTTGTTCTATGTAGTTATATATAATACTGTAAAATCTATCTGTCTATTTAATGATATTAAAGACCACTAGTCTAATATTTTTTTTCTTTAGATTTTTGGGTTGAAGCCAAATTGTTTATAAAATTTGGAAAACAAAAACTTCCAATTTAAAAATTGAATACCTTAACAATTTCTCTTGATAGATGTATGTATGTATGTATCAATAAACACATGAAAGAATGTCAGGTATCACATTTTAAGAACTGTTCAAAGAGATCATCTCAGGGAGGAGACCGCCTCCATGGCCTAGTGGATAGAGTGTCTGCCCGGAGTGTGATAGGTCAGTGGTTCCATACCCTGGCCACGTCATACCAAAAGACGTTAAAAGATTCCCCAAATGAGATTAAGGGAATGAAACAAGGACTGAGTCAGTATACTGGGTCTGATTGGGGTATCCATGTTGAACTGCAGCATGGTATCTCAGGGGGTAAGGAAAACAGAACTGGTATACACAGTGTTCGAAATACCTGCCTGCCTGACCGTCCGAGACGGGTTGATTTCAACTCGGGCTGCCAGATTTTCAAATCCCCCTGCCCGACGGTCGGGTTATATTTCATATGTGACAATATTCTAAATATTTTCCGATGGTAATCATTAATTCACATGTAAAGATGAATGATAAAATGTAACCAAAAAGAAATCCCGTTAGCTTATCCTGAGAAACATATGATTATAGTGGGCAGGCAGGTTTTGGTCAGGGCTGAAATTTTTGGGAGTTTCATACCCTGGTATACATGTGTAATTCCTGACAAGTACAAGCAGCTACATACACACCTGCATGCACATCTTTATAAATCTTGAATCTTGAATGAGACATTAAACCCCCTTTCTCATCACCTCACCCATCCCAAGGGAGAATTTGTCCCAGAATCACATACTTATATGATCCAAGGAACAAGGATATGAACAGGCTTGTGTCTTGCCTGATTGCATGTCAATCTCCTTGAAATCAGATCTTAGTTCTTGCTACCATTAAACAAAGATCTGAGGACATCCCATTACAGGTCAGATCAGTACAACCTTTTATCTGACCAATCAGAGCGTTGCTTACCAGATCAGGAATGTTACAGTCGGAATGTGTTTTCTAATCATGTAACATGGAAAACGTAAACACAGGGTATTCCAAACAACTGTTACAGGCTAAATGACTAATTTTATCAAAATCTACAAAATTTTATGAACATTTAAATGAAAAAAACTTTGCATGGCATACAAGTTCAAGTTGACATTCCAGAACTTTCTTTTGTTCAGTTTATAAATTTTGAATCGAGAACTTTGTCAAAATAGTTTTCTGAACATAGTCTGGAATGGAAATTGTCAGTTTGAAACTAGTGTCATATAGCTTGAGAAAGCTGCTTTTTGACTGGCAGATGTTGACTTTTTATTAGTTATTTCAGTGGTCGGTCAAAGTAGGCGAAGGTCCTGACGGGACCTGTAATGGGATGTCTTCAGATCTTTGTTTAGCAGTAGCCAGATCTAAGATCTGATCTGAATTAAATTGGATTGCATATCATCATGTCCCGGGAGCATAGATCATTCTTTCAGACTGTTCTTTCTGCTTCTTTACTAGTTACAAGCTCCCACACAGATCAGTTTTCATATTTTGGGGAATCTCCTGAAGATGATGTATTTTGTTATATTCCCACAAACATATCTGAATAATTTGCCACTTCCCTTTACTGGGCTACAATGGCAATAAGAACTATGACTGTGTGAAGGAAACTCTTAATTTACAATTCAATTTTAATTTTTAATTTTACATGAGTCTTAATATACAAAATAGAATTATTCACCTCTTGATATCATCAATAAGTTTGTTTTTCTCCTGAACAACTCTCTTGTGATGCATGCGGTGGTAGTCCCGCTCCTTCCTCAGCTTTACATACGTCTCTTTGGCTTTCCTGGTAACAATTTCAATGAAAATGATAATAAATTAATGATATTCCACTACTTGATAAGAATAATGACAGAGTTCAATAAGCTGAAATTTGGATAAAGATTATATATGATGCAGAAGTGCACCACAATCTTAATCTCAACAAAATGATATACAATAAGTTCATTCTGTCTGTTAAGCAGGATCAAATCTCTAACACAAATGATTGAATAAGATAGAACAGATCTTATTCTATGGAAATTATAGCAATCAGACAATGTTAAAACTCACATGGCAGCATTCTTGAATTTTTCAACCTCCTTTTTGAGAAATTTGACCTCATTATCGAGGTCCTGATTCCGTGAGAAGATGTCAGGAACAACACCCACATCCTCCTCATGCAGCATTCCACGCTGTTGGAGTTCATACCTGCCACATCATACAGAAAATACGTAATTACACAAACCTTGGCGTCGGAACAAACTTACACACGATTTGGTCAAAATTTCATCCTTTGGAAAGTGGGAATCCTGGGTTAATTGTACTTGAAAAACATTTCCAAGCTTGTTTCATTAAATTATATATTACTTTCCCTTACATGTAAATATTTCGAGACATAAAATAAACCATGACATAAAACTACAGGAAACTGTCATTAAAAAATACTACCATTTTCAATCTATTAAAGGATACAAGGGTGTGTACTTGGTAAAGACTACCAATATGTATTTTGCAACAACTCCATTAATACACTTATATCAGACTGTGTCACTAATCTGAAGACCAAGTCTTATAAGTGAGTGAGTGAGTGGGATTTCACACCGCTTTTAACAGTATTCCAGTTATATCACGGCGTGTCAGCTTAATGTGGGAGGAAAGCCCGAAGTGATGCAGGTCTTAGATGTTTACCATTTCGGTGAAATCCACGAGCACTGGTATGGTGCTGACAAACCTAGAAACATAATCGGGGCGAACCGGGATTCGAACCCACAATCATAGGTTTCTGGACTGCCCAAGGAACGCAACTCTGCACAGCGAATCACGGCGCCTTAGATGTGCCACCCTTGCCACCCCCCCCCCCCCCCCCCAAGTCTTATAAAGTTTTGTTCAGTCTAGTATGCAGCTAATAATAGTCCATATAATAACACTAAAATTAAGACTAAACAATTAATGACTGAAAAGGATTATAAGAGCCATAAAACAAGATAGTAGACTCAAAAGTATTTTTACGTAGGTTATAAATAGAAAAAAATATTACTACAGTCAGAAAGGACATCAATATATTATTTTTAAAAAGAACATATAGTTTAAAACATGTGGAAACATTTATAGGAGCAGAGCAATTAACACATCAGAATCTAGGATACATATATCACATCCCAGTCCATCTGTGCAAAGCTTACCATTCTGTTTGGAAGCAATCCAATGATCTGTTCATTCCCATCCTCACAAGGAAATTCCTGACAAAGTCATCCACAACCTCTGGCTTCTGTATCACGGAGGCCTTCACAGTGCTGTCTCTCCGGGTCTGGAAACGTGGTTATATTAACAAGAATGAACAATATTAACATTGTCTCATGTATTGACTTTCCAAAGCATCAAATGTTAGGAGGCTGGTGTGATTAAAAGAAATGATACAAATACATATAGAATTCTGGATTATAGTAAGATCATATGATACACGTATATACAAATAGAGGCTAGGCTTGTAATGGAAGGGTCTTCAATTTTTTACAGTAAATGGTTTTTTATGTCACTGTACCAGGGCTTCATTATCTTCCGATGCCTCTTTAATGGTTCTCACAGCACGATCCAGATCCTCTTCAATCTCTGGAAACACAATATTTATAAATATGAGCATTCATGTCCATTTCAATGAGATACACAATAAGTGTAGATACACAACAATGTTCAGTTCAAAATAATATAGATTCAAGATAACATGTGTACCTTGGGCATTTTAACTGTGTATCTATGTTTACCCTGCATCAATGGGTAAGGAAACAACAGTTAACTCATTTCAAACACTAACATAAGCAAAGTACTAACATCAGCAGGAAAAGATTCCATAGGACGAGGCAGGATAAGGGCCCCTTTTGGACCCACTGGAAATCCTAATTTTACACTTGAGAATTTTTTTGAAATATTGTTGTGAAAATGATCAGAAATGTACAAATGGCTGACATTAGGGTTTTTCTCTTCCATACACTTGCATGTTTTGGACTTTTTATATGATCAAATACATAAACATTTGAAAAAGGACAAATTTTTTATGAAAATCTATTACTTTGACTATGTGATGACTCAAAATGAGGTTTTTTTTATCATCTGTTGGTATTGTCTCATCAACATCTATGAAAATCAGCTTGGCTCAAAGACTTCCTCATGTTCAACTTTTAAAAAGCACTTCCTGAAAACCTCTAAAATCAGCCTCAGTCTTTGCATTTTGTGTTGTCATAAGTCCCCAAAATGCAACAGCATCTAGTTGTCATTCATACGAATAGATCTGACAAATTTCATAACAATTTCTGAAAGTTTGGCTCAATTCTTAAATAATGTAGATCCTGTGGCCAAAAAGGGCCATTATCCTACTTTGTCCCTTCAGTAATTTATTGATGGACACCATAACTCAAACCATAACCCTGCAATTAATGAATTTAATGCTAAATATGAACTAGACTGACCCACTACATGTTAAAAACTGAATTATCTGCATTCTCATTGACCATCTTAATAAATGTAAATGTGTAGGTGAATTAATAAATATGGCTTCAATATTCACAAATTTGTATTGATACAGCATCAACATTAAAATTTACCAACACATCGACATCATGATATAGTACAATGACATCACTTGTCTTACCTGAGGTGATGAAATCTTCATCAATGGGCACTTCCTCATACTGGAACTCATCGTCAGAGTCCACCAACAGCTGCTCCTCTAAGGTCAAGGGTTAAGGAAATATTTATCACAATATCATGTTAATAAAGTTGTCAGGTCTCATGTAATCCACTGAAAAGTTATTGCCATTGGGCAGTTTGCCAAAAACAAAATATAGCAACCCAACTACTTGAATGCATAATACAAAGATAATCACTAAATATAACCTATCTTGAGTTATCCAGAGCAATAGTAATTATCCTAATATACCCCATATACGTTTGCGGAATTAGGACTACACACGCCACAGTTTGTGCATAGGATTCTATATATTTGGAGATACCGTATTTACTAATTCGAGAGATAGTTTGGGTAATAGGCATCTCCATATCCATATGAATTAATATAAAGCCCAACAATATTGTGATTCTTTTCTAAAATCAAAAACAACTGCCCTGTTACTCAAGTTGTCTCTACTCGAGACTTGAGGCGATTTTGTTACATCGTCTGTCAATAAACACAGAGACTTTAACCAATATAACAATACATATTCATGCATTTCTGTTGCAAATTACCACAACATGTTTTTGAATATCAGACGCTTACATACCGAGAAGTGTCACTCTGAATAAATATATAATGCATAAAAACAATCAAGGATACTCTCCAAGTAATACTTGTCTGTTTCATTCGCCGCCATCTTCGTTTACAATGAGCGTTGCTACTGACGACAGCAGTATATACGTTACACCCGCATAGGAGAGTCTGTAAGGGGAGATAATCATATGCCTAAATACACATTTGACACAAGATCAGTATTTTGTGCATTGTAAGTTTTCAACAAAAAGAATTCACCCATATCAATCCAATCAATTATTTTAAGATATCTACAAATTAAATTAGTTACATCAATAAATACTTGAAAGTTAATTATATTAAAAATTACATTTTGAAATATTACTAATTTGAATTCTTTACATCACCTGTACGTATAGCAATACTGGTCTTTCCTTAATCGGTCGACTTTCCTCTTTATGTAGTTTATATTTTTTATATCATCTTGATAACAAAATTGTTGTTAGACGTGTAACAGAATGATTAGGATCATCCAAAATAAAATGGCGCTTTAATAATGGATTTTTGTTCCAAAAATCTTGGGATCAACAATGTCCGATAGACACCTCTCTGCGTGAAGACTTGAGGACACCATCTGTCGCGTCCTGCAGATGCACCCTGAGCGACCTTTGACCGCTGAAGGATGAGTGTGTTTTTGAGCCAATCAGATGTCAGCTTTATTAAAACAATTCGGGTTCATTTCTATACCACTTCTACTATAATTAGATAAGTGGAGTAAGATTGAACACAGTTTTAATTGGCTAGCGCTTTCAACTCGTACCACGTATGAGTCTCATCAGGCCATAACTGATATTATTATTAAACACATATATGTATGTGTAGATAGATGCCATGGCGCTCAGAAGCGACAGTTGTATAAATATCCACGACAATAATTATAAAAGAGGGGCCTAATTTATCTACAAAACTGGCTTTCACAAGAGATATCGCTTGGTTGAGATCAAGCGACATCTCCTTGGAGATATAACAATAATGAAATAGCATCACAATGCTTTGCAGACCACTGTGACGTCATCAGTTACCACGAGGTCACAATTAAATGACATCACTAATATCCCTGACACCGAAGGTTAGCTGTACTTTCTATGCTCAAAAACACTGGTTATCACTGTTATCAAACAGAAAAAGGCGGACGAATTGTTTTGGTTGATACATGGATCTCACCCTCGTGTCTTTGGGGGGATGGGGTCGTGCAATGTGCAGTGTGCAGTGACACATCCTCACGAAACCATCCCATCGGGGGCATGAGCAGACTAACATCTAGTCTCTGAAATGAACATATTTTACAGAAAAAAAACAGTACAGTAGTTAAATTATAGTTATAACACATAATAAAAGGAGCCCAGAGACTCTCTTCATTTTCAGAAACTGCAGTAATCTAGACTTGCCAAACATTATAGACTTGCATGGGCTGTATTGGATATATTTGTTTCAGGGTCTGTATGACAGACTAGGGCATGAGACGCGCTGGTATTTATTGCTGGATGTGGGAGCCCGTACGTAGTATGTCCTTCGTCCAGCTAACCACTAACACATGTTGCATTCTTCGGCTGATTAAGTGTGTAACCGCCGATCGACATTGAGATGCTCAGCATACCATGGTGTTGTTATCGCCTCGTGTACACGACCAACCTCTACCATTCACGCACAGGCTCGGACGTCGCCACGCTCCAAAATATTTCTCGTTGCGATCAAAACTGATTTATAGGGCTCAGATATCAGATTCAAGCGTAAATACATTCTCCGTTCCAGTCGGTATTCAAGCAAATGCGTCGTTTGAAATTGTAACCTCTCACGTGTTGTTTCTTCTTGCAAACAGCATTATTTCTTTTGTCTTAAACGTTATAGTGTCTCAGTAATGATTTTTATGTATTCTATAATCTGAGTCTAATAAATAAGTGTGTTTGAGAGGGAGAGAGAGCAGGGGTGGGGGAGTTTATACGCCACACCAGAAATGGGTTTCACACTTTGTACCCATGTGGGGGAATCGAACCCGGGTTTTCGGCGTGACGAGCAAACGCTTAACCACTAGGCTAACCCACCGCCCAAGTCTAATTAATGACGGTATGACGCTATTTCATCAGTGCTAAACCTCTCTTGAAAAAAAGGCCTAGGGGCCTACCACAAGCTTCAGTCTACCATTTTTAACCAAGATATACCCATAGCTCTTGCTTGCAAACTATTTAAAACATTAATCGAGCCAGTAATTTTATATAATAGTGAAATCTGGGCTGTAGAATCAATCCTCCTGAACAACTTTGATTCATTTATCACCGAGAAACTGCAGCTAAAATTTTGTAAATCCATGTTGGGTGTCAACAAAACAACACACAACTGGGCAAGCCGAGCAGAACTAGGACTCTACCCTCTTATCTACACAGTATTAATCAAAATAGCAAATTTTTATCACCATGTTTATTCTTCCAAAAACATAATATACTGAACCAAATTAAAAACTTCACAATCCTAAAATTTTAACATTTTGACCAGTTATCATTGTGGGCCCTTATTGTGTATTTAAACAGTAATGGCCCACGTATTGTCTTCAGATAACACCCCTTTTTGTGCAGGTGAATCGATCAAAATCATGTGCACAGCACTATAGTGGCAAAAGTGTTTTTTCACGTGCAACTGGTCACGTGGCCATAATACCGCACGTGTTTTCAGCCATACTTGTTAGCAGTCATTAAAAAAAAAAGAAAAACACAGAAAACAAAAGTCTTTACGGCCATTTGTCATGCCACGCCTTTCAAATGTGCAACGTGAACGTGCCATCGGCATGTTGCAGACGGGAACGTCCGTAGCTGAAGTCGCAAGGACGATGGGTTGTAGTCGACGGACTGTTTATGATTTACAGCAAACGGGTACTACCGCTGATCGCCCTCGGCCAGGTCGACCACGTGTGACGTCACATGCAGAGGATCGTCAGATTGTCTTACGTCACCTCCGTAACCGAGTTTTGACGGCTACATCAACCAGAAATGAACTGTTTAGGGGTAGACTGAGTGCGCAAACTGTTCGAAACCGTCTGAGAACTGCTCACCTTCAAGCACGACGGCCATACTGCGGGCCGATTCTGACTCAATTACACATACGTCAACGTCAATTGTGGGCAATGCGACACTTACGATGGACTCAGAGGAATTGGAATCAAGCCGTCTTCAGTGATGAATCCCGATCTTATCTTCGATTTGCTGATGGTAGGGCGAGGGTGTGGAGGCGCCGTCATGAACGTTACGCCCAGTGTTGTGTACAGGAAGTTGACAGATTTCGAGGCGGAAGTGTCATGGTGTGGGGTGCTTTCTGTGGCAATGCACGTTCCAGGCTTCTTGTCATCCGTGGCAACCTCAACGCTGCTGCTTACCGCGACCAGGTACTGGCACCAGAACTTCTGCCTTTTATGGCAGCACATGGACCCGGTTTGATCTTCCAACACGACAATGCCAGACCCCACACAGCAATTGTGACAAGGAATTTCCTTCAGAATGCGGGAGTCAACGTCATGGACTGGCCGTCAAGGTCTCCCGACCTCAATCCCATCGAACACGTCTCGGATGCTCTTGGCAGAAGTCTGCGCACTCTCCAGAACCAACCACAGAATTTGCAAGATCTTGGCACCATTTTGCAGCAACAATGGCGTCGTCTTCCCAATCATGTGTTCACAAGTATCACAAGGTCCATGCGGAGGCGTTGTGTGGCAGTTGTCAACGCACATGGTGGCCATACACGCTACTGAACTTGTGTGCCATCAGATTCTCGTGCTTGGGACTTATGATTTAAACTGTTGATGTTATTACCGAATACCGTAGGTGCTTGGAACAAATTATGGTTACCACCGTTAATTAAAATCCTTCTTTGGACATTAATGATTAAAAATTACCTTCTCTGATACATTTGTCCGTTGCATATCATTTATGGGATTACTTTTTAAAATGTGAAGTTTTTAATTTGACTCAGTATACCTCAGAACGCTTTTACAGAAAGTACATATTTGGTGAATAAACGATTAGGATGGGTTTATCAGCTCAATCTATTCTTAGGAAAACACACTTTGAGTTCTTTAGCTTTCCTATCATCAATATTCAAAGAGACAATCAAATCTAAATTCAACTCCCTCTTCAAGGAATCTCTTCAAGATGTAAATGCAACAAGAGGCACATACAGGATAGTTAAAAATGAAATAAAATTAGAACCCTATCTCAGTCACTGTAAAGTAAGAAAATATCGAGTGCACTTTTCTAAACTAAGATATAGTAACCATAGATTAAATATTGAACTTGGGAGACATACAAAGCCACCAACCCCACTACATCAGAGGCTATGCTCTACATGTTCAACCATTGATGACGAAAAACACTACTTACTTCACTCTATTAAACACACTCAAGAAAGAAATCATATAACCTTTGGAAAATTATCCAGACAATTTGTAAGAGTAAATGTCCACCGTCATGAAGACAAATTATTTCACTACATCCTGTCAAATAATGAAGCAGTCAATATCAAATGCATTTGTTTCCAGATCTATCATTTCAAACAATAAATACCCCTTCAAAATCAACCGTTGACATTTTATGTATAATAATATCATCAAATATGTAATATTGATTGTTTTGTTTTTGTATGTATCTACAGGAATGTAAATTATGTATGTCTGTATATATGTATATATGAATATATGAATCATAATGTCTTGTCTTTTAAAATTACATCTGTCCCGTAATGGAACGTTTCTGCAATAAATATTATCGTTTCTTATCTTATCTTATCTTATCATCAGTATCAAAGGATTTAAAAAACCTTTATACACGTCAGATATTTTTTTTAACAATGTACGTTTTACGTTTTCGAGAAACTAATTTATTTAATATGTACATGTATTTAATTTGTGTAGGTTCAGAGCATCTATCAGAATTCCGTTGTCACTCCCAATCATATCGTTGTTTAAGGAAACACGGATGGTCTAGTCGTCTAAGGCGCCGCAATTTGCTTGGATTAAAATCTAGTCTCTGAAATGAACCTATCTTACAGAAAAAAACACAGTTAATAAATATATAATAAAAATGAGTCCAGAGACTCTTTTCCTGATACTGCAGTAATCTAGACTTGCCAAACATTATATAGACTTGCATGGGCTGTATTGGATATATTCGTATCAGGGTCTGTATGACAGACTACAATTTTCCGTACAGAGTTGCGTCCCTTAGGCACGCAAGAAACCTATGATTGGTTAGCCCCGATTATGTTTCTAAGTTTGCCAGCACCATACCCGTGCTTGTGGTTTTCACCAATTGGTAAACGTCTGAGACCTGCCACATTAGTCTAACACGTATATAACATTTTGTATGCATGTTACCGTGTTACAATTGATCGATGCTCATGATCTCAATCACTGTATTGTCTTGTCCAGACTCGATTATTTACAGACCGCCGCTCATGATCTCAATCACTGGATTGTCTGGTCCAGACTCGATTTTGTACAGACCGCCGCTATAAAGCTGGAATATTGCTGAGTGCGGCGTTAAGCAATAAAAAAACAGTTTCAGAGACCTATTGTCAACGTGTTTTATAGAGCCAGCCTTGGACATGAAGCTTTGTGGAACCAACCATAGCGGCTACTGCTATAAGGGAGTATTTGCTTCGAGGAATATGTGACCGCCTCCGTGGACTAGTGGTAGAGCGTCAGTCCGGAGAGCGGAAGGTCCGGGGTTCGATCCCCGGCCGCGTCATACCAAAAGACGTTAAAAGATGGTACTTGTTGTTACCCTGTCTGGCGCTCGGCATTAAGGGGCTAAAACAAGGACTGGTCGGCTCGGAGTCAGTATACTGTGTCTGAGTGGGGTATTCATGTTAAACTGCGACATGGTATCTCAGTGAGCTAGCACTATAAATCGGCATCAGTCCGGACTAGTACAAGCAGCCACACAAACACACACACGTACATGCACGTCGCTATATAAGTGCAATCATCTTAGACGCGACGTTAAACAGCATTTCACCTCACCTCACCTCGTTGAATATCTATCCCTGATACCAGGAACTAAGATATATGAGTAGTGCACATCCAGATATTAAATATGCATGACGCAACCAAATCCAAATCAACACCCAAAGCCTATTTCGAAAAAAGTCATCGGCTTTGGTTCATTGCCAATTTGGTCAATATTTCATTGATAGCAAGTCAGCTTAATGTGGGGCGGTTCTGGCAGTCAAAAGCAAATGATTTGTTTTGTGTGTTGTTGTATTTTTGTTAAATAGAGAATCTCACCCTCGTTTCTTTTGATATCAAATATATCAACACGATTTGATAAAAGTGGAAAAAAACTCCGAGTGTTTGATATATTTAATATCAAAAGACACGAGGGTGACTTGCTATCACATCACTGAAATATTGTGCAAATTGGCATCGAAACCAACTCGCTTTTTCAGTTTGTAGACAGTAATAAGCAGTGTCTTGAGTGTAAAAAGTACTGCTGACAGCTTCAGTAGCTGAGCCATTACGGATGTCATTTGATTGTGACGTCATGGTAACAATGACTTCACAATGGTCTGCAAAGCATTGTGATGCAATTTCATAGCAGCGATATCAACAATGTAGATATCGCTTGATCTCACCCAAGCGATATCTCCTGTGGGAGCCAGTTTTGGATGATAAACACTGCGCTCAGCAATATTCCAGCTACATGACGTCTGAACCAGGCAATCCAGTGATTGACGTCATGAGCATCGATCCACGCAATTGGGATACGATGACATGCATCATCCAAGTCAGCAGGCCTGACCACCCGATCCCCTTAGTCGCCTTTTACGACAAGTATGGGTTGCTGAAGACCTATTCTAACCCGGATCTTCACGGACCGAAAAGCATGAGGATCAATAGTGGGGTGTGGGTGGCGGGCTTCAGAGGTGCAGATCACCTGTTTGAACCATTGGTAATACATTACGAAACTTTAACTGATGTTGATCGGAATCACGTATCACAAAGCTAAAAATAACTTATTTTGGTGATACATTTGCGACACAATTAAACCATTACTAAACCAAACCACAAAGTGCTGAGATCCACGCGTTGAAACTGTCGAAGGCCATAGACGTTCTCACATTTGTCGAAAACTTTTACATGGGCGTCGTACTGATATAGACTCAGGAAACTAAACCAGAAGAACCTTGGGTTCGAACCCACAGACAGCGGATCCTGGCACGAAACAGAAAAGCTAACGCCGACAATTTGACAAGCATATACCTGTTTGCATGTTATGATATGTAGATATATGTTAATACCCACATCACATGCTCCTGGGGGTGAGTTTTCGCACTAGTGTGACTCTGGTATCACGTTACTGGATACCTATCTCTCAGTAAGCAGGGACTACTGGTGTCATCGGCCAGCACACCGGCTTGTGTTTACTTTCGGCATATCAAGTATGCATATTAATTCTAAGAAATGTGTGTGCACATAGTTAAGACTGGTGTACCTATCACTAAATAATTAGGAGCTGGGACTGAGTTGCACATATCACCTGCTTGTGTAATACAGGGCGCTTAATTATAGAACTTGTTCATCTCTTGATTTTTTGTGTACGTTTGTTACGTATTTACAGACAGACAGACAGACATTGTCTTCAGTATAAGGCCATTGGCCCAAAATACATGAGCATAGCAGAGATATAACGATCTGCACAATAAAGTTATATATGATACATACAGAAGTAGATGTGCATTTATATCAAAATAATTTGAGGAAATTTTTTTTTTTTTTATTTACCTTCAGGAGGAAAACACTTATGTTGTGAAATATTTCAAATCTTGTAATGAAATCAGGTTGTTGAAAGAGTGTTATATATTTACTTATTAAGTTATTTCTTGGGAGATTATAAAGTCCACACACAAACAAAATATGCAATTTATCTTCAATAAAATATTTTCCCTTACTCCGAAAATATGAAGTCTTTCTTCATATATACTTACAAACACTTATTTTCTTATGCAAATTTTGTGAGTGACGGATGTAACCGGAAGAGCAGGATATTGCTAACCCTCTTCGTGAACACCTGGTGTCATCACTGTTTTGGGGTGATCTATTCACTGGTATTTACGGCCCTTAAAGATCCGGGGTAGAACAGGTCTTTAGCAACCCATGCTTGCCATAAGGTGACAATGCTTGTCGTAAGAGGATCGGGTGGTCAGGCTCTCTGATTTGGTTGATGCATGTCATGGATCCCAATTGCGTGGATCGTTGCTCATGTTGTCAATCACTGGATTGTCTGGTCCAGACTCGATTATTTAGAGACCGCCGTCATATAGCTGGCGTTAAACAACAAACAAACAAACACTGGTATTTATCTTTTACGCCCAATGGAATCTTTATTCTCTGACGTAGACGTTTTATGTTTTAAACTAGTTCCAGTAAGGTCACCGATGACAATTTTCCAACAGTACCTAACAGATAGGCGACCCGTGAAGATCCGGGGTAGATTAGGTCTTCACAAACCCACGTTTGCCGTAAAAGGAGACTATCCTTGTCGTAAGAGCCGACTAACGGGATCGGGTGGTCAGGCTCGCTGACTTGGTTGATGCCTGTCATCGATCCCAATTGCGTAGATCGATGCTCATGATGTCAATTACTGGATCGTCTGGCCCAGACTCGATTATTTACAGACCGCCGTCATATACCTGGAATATTGCTGAGTGCGGGGTTAAACAACAAACAAACAAGTAACAGATAGGGGTTTCTAACTAATGCCAACCAAAGACTTGATCTCACCAGTTCCTCAATTCGACGTACTAGCCTTTTTTATTATATTTATTGTGTATTTGTGTGGTAGAAAGTAGTACATGTACTTTACACAGCCTGAACGGAAACTTAGTCTCAACTGCAAAATATAGTAAGTGAGTGAGTGAGTTTGGTTTGACGCCGCCTTTAGCAATATTCCAGCATTCCAACGGCGGGGGACAAGAGACTGGGCTACCGTCTGCAAGGACAGCTAAATAAACTTGGGGGCAATTTTTGTTTTACGCATTTTTGAACACTCAAAACACAACTATGATACCCGTATCAAATACGTCAAGTAACCACTTCTTGTTTTTTTCATTTTTAGCCACCATCAAACACTGGTGTATAATTTCTTTTGCCGGGCAGTTTACAATATGCAAGTATAAGTTGGAAAACTTTTTTTCACGAGACATGGGCTTCCCTGTAATTATCAAATACTTTACACTGAACAATACCGTAATTAATATCGTCGCAACTTTAACACAGTGAAACATAAACATATGAAGAAGGAGAAAGGTAGTACCAGTCACATGTATCATATTTCAAACCGGTATCGTCCTCGCATTAACGTTAAGTTCATCAGCGATTTATATAAACCAGTGTTATATATAATGGATCATTCCATTAAATACTTTCATAATTACAATATTTTCGACTTACAAATTATTATTCAAATTAATCACCATTTTTACTATATGTTTAATGGTGGGCGCATATACGATGTGTGTTTTTTTTATCTCTTAACGTGTCACGTTTCCTTTAAGTGAAACTTACATGGGAAACATGTGTAGACATTTGTAACTTGACACCCCTTTAGTGATACAATGGACTGGGCGGTACTAGAACTAATATGCATTGTCTTAACCGACAGCAGTCAGTCTAAGGGGTGTCCAGAAGATGGCGGGGCTCGGAAGGTTGCCCGTTTTACTGTTCATCGTTCATGCTACACTACTTCATGCTACAGAACAAAATTCCAGACAGAAACGGCAGATAGCAGACAGCCAGTAAGTTTCTATATCTTTTATTCTATGTAGGACCATGATGTGTTTGAACTCTTTTTAAGGAGAGTGCAAATCCGCCCCCTTGGGTTAATTATTCTTTGTCACGTAGGAACTATCTTTGTCCCAGACTTGCTTAAAGGATGCTGCCATCATTTTAAGGACATCGCATGATGGTTTTTTTCACAAATATCAGAAGTACAAGTTTAATATCTATTTTGGAGAAGCAAAATATATTTTATTTGTACATATAAAATACCGTTTGTACATATTTAAATCCCGTTTTCGTTCCATTGATTAGTACATGTCACCAGGGAAAAGAATCCAGAAAATTAACAATCATGCGTGTGTGAGTTGGGTTTAACGCCGCTTTAAACAGTATTCCAGTTATATCGCGGCGTGTCAGCTTAATGTGGGAGGAAAGCTCGAAGTGATGCAGGTCTCAGACGTTTACCGCTTCGGTGAAACCCACGAGCACGGGTATGGTGCTGACAAACCTAGAAACATAATCGAGGCGAACCGGGATTCGAACCCACAATCATAGGTTTCTGGCATGCCCAAGGGACGCAACTCTGCACAGCGAATCGCGGCGCCTTAGACGATTGGGCCACCCGTGCCCCCTAACAATCATGAAGCACTTTAGTGGTTAATATGTTCAACGTTGAAAAGCTGCAATTGTCTTTGCCAAGAAAAGTCACTTTGAATAAAAGATGTGTACGTTCAAGATAATGTTAATTGAAATTGAAAAAAATGCATTAATCACAGTAGTCTTTATAGCCTGGTTGATATGAGTCTTGGAATAACACAGAGGCAGGACTGTGTCTCTTGAGAATATTAATGTTAATATGTGTATGTACATAGTTTTAGAAGGTATCGGTCGCCATGGCAACACATAAGGGATTGGGACTTCATCCTGAAAAGTGAGAATACAAACATGACTAGACTTGATGAATGGCTAATGTGTTTTGTTTAAAGGCATTAACATTTTAATTGTTCATTTAACAAGGACGTTACCAAGTTCGTATGTCAACTAACCATTAGAATACCAGATAAAACTGCAACAAACAACTCAACTGGACGAGTGTCTGTTTCTTATCATTGCAGACCTCGCATAGTCACGCAAGATGGTCACCTCATCTTCCAAACCGGAACAAACCACAATATAACCTTCAAGAGTTCGGCTGGGGGCGCGGTCACCGTCGACGGGGAGGACTTCAAGGCCGTGGCTAATGGGGTAAGTGGCTGTTGGTCAAGAGGCATTGGTGTAATATCGCTTCATGGTGATGCAGAGCAAAATAGGTCCCCAGTAGCCCATGCATAGAGCCGACTGAAGATAGGGTGGTCAAACACGGTGGACCGCCTCCGTGGTCTTGCGCTAGAGCGTTCGCCCGAAGTGCGGAAGGTCCGGGGTTCGATCCCCGGCCGCGTCATACCAAAAGACGTTAAAAGATTGTACTTGTTGTTACCCTGGCTGGCGCTCGGCATTAAGGGGCTAAAACAAGTACTGGTCGGCTCGTAGTCAGTATACTGTGTCTGAGTGGGGTATCCATGTTAAACTGCGGCATGGTATCTCAGTGGGCTAGCACTATAAATCGGCATCAGTCCGGACTAGTACAAGCAGCCACACAAACACACACAGATACATGCACGCCGCTATGTAAGTGCAATAATCATGGGTGTCATCGTGTTCATTGGCGTGGGGTCAGTGTTTACGTCATTGGTGTGGCTGATCGAGGCAAGATCAGTTACAGGCCGCTGTGATATACACATGTAGCTATAATAGGGATGATTGCGGCGTTAAACAACATTCACTCATTCAGAAAAACACCACAATTAACAGAAGAAAAATTATTCACTGAGTATCGTTGGCACGAAACGAGTTTGATGGTTTTCAGTTACCAAAATGACAGTAATATGTGGTTAAGCATGACACAAAGAAGTTAAATATTTTTTTGTAAATTGTTTAATAAGTAAAATCGCTATTTATTTTCACAAACGAGAGCAATAAAATTGATTCCGTTTTCGTCGAATGCCTTCGACCTTGTACATTATGAAGGGTATCCGCGAGCCTACTTTATTGTCATAGTGGCATGTACACTTTCGTTTGATTATTCGGATAATGTTCTTGGTTAATTCAAAGTCAGGGTGCGAACAGTGAAGGAGTTCTCTTCGACCTTTTTTCTAGAACACACATTACTCTCTTCCTCCTGAATTAATATTTTGAATGGGAGCATTTAATGCCATATAACTCGCTATCGAGCATATTAATATAATACCAATTGCTTTTTATCACGTTTCAAAATTAATTCCACTGTTGTTTATCCAATGCGAAAAGAACTCACAGCGATAGTACGTTCCCGAGAGTGTAACGAAGGTGTCACGCGCTGGAAAGGAGCTTGGTTTTTGGAGTGCCCAAGGGACGCAACTCTGCACAGCAAATTGCTCTGCCTTAGACAACTGGGCCACCCGTGCCCCCTATTTTCCTTGAAAAATTATTGAAATAGACAAATGAAGGTTGGCAAAGTTAGTACAAAATCATGAAGAACTAAATGTTCCTGTTTAAATAAAAATTGATGTAATGGATACCCTTCCAATACCCATGTTACAAGTTTATCGGGACATTGTAGTGGGTTTAGAGGAAGCAAACTACGGTGGCCCATAAGGGACATGGAGTGTTTTTCAATATTTTGATATTTCGCTTACTTTCATCGTAACCTTTTGCAAATTAACACAATTTGTCATACAAATATGTCATAAATCATGTATAAAAACAACCGAAAACATGGAAAATGTACTTTCAAGTAGCTATTGAATTGCTGAAATGTGAAGCGAAAATGTCCAATCTCATTAAAATCAGATCTTAATTCTCGCTGCCGCTAAATTAGCGGTAGCGAGAACTAAGATCTGATTTTAATGAGATTGCGAAAATGTCAAAAACTAAAATGAAAATGTCAAAAACAAAAATGAAAATGTCAAAAACAAAAGCGAAAATGTCAAAAACTAAAATGAAAATATAGAAAAGTTGTAAATATTATCACCGCAGTGGAAATAGTTTTCTGTATTTTCATTTTAGTTTTTGACATTTTCACTTTTGTTTTTGACATTTTCGTTTTTGTTTTTGACATTTTCATTTTAGTTTTTGACATTTTTATTTTAGTTTTTGACATTTTCGCTTCACTTTTCAGTGATTCAATATCTTCTTTATACATGATTTATCACATATTTGTATGACAAATCGTGTTAATTTGCAAAAGGTTACGATAACAGTAAGTGAAATATCAAAATATTGAAAAACATGGGCCACCGTAGCAAACAAACTGAATCAATGTGATTCAAAGTGTGAGCATAGTTGATGTTGACAGCCTGGACTGAGCTCTGGCAATAATTGATTTTACAATGTCCTAAAAATGAAACCCTTGAAGATCAGGGTTAGAATTGATCTTCAGGAACCCATGCTTGTCGTAAGTGGCGACTGACGGGATCTGGTGGTCAGGCTCGCTGACTTGGTTCATAAGTGTGATCATATCAAAATTGTGTAGATCAATGCTCATGATGTCAATCACTGGATTATCTGGTCCAGACTTGATAATTTCAGACCACCATCATATAGCTGGAATATTGCTGAATGTGGCGTCAAACAACAAACAAACATAATAAAATGACCCATCCGAATAAGGTCTCCATTAAATGCCCAAATAATATGTTTTTCATTGATAATGGTTAGCATACATTCAATTTGACACAGTTCAGGGACCCATGAAGATCCGGGGTAGAATGGGTCTCCAGCAACCCATACTTGCCCTAAAAGGCGACTATGCTTGTCGTAAGAGGCGACTAACAGAATCGGGTGGTCAGGCTCGTTAACTTGGTTGATGCATTGTTGAGTGTGGCGTTAAACAACAAACCAACAAAACCAACAACACAGTTCATGTTTTTCATTTCTGTAAACATTGTAAAACAAGACCGCAAATAAATAATTAAAATAAGTAATAGTAAATTTAAGGTTTAGTATATTCTCATAAAGAAATCATAATAGAGAAGTTCTCCTTGTCCTAAGAATACTTGTAATATGTTGGCAACAGATTGTTGGGACGGCTTAAGATCTACTACACTGAAATTTAACTCTTGATTTGAAGCAAGTCTGATGTCATTCAGAGTTTAATATACAAGGTGTCAGAACTTGATCAGGGATGTGTGTAGTGATACCTTCCACCCCCTTCCCAGTGGGCAGTGCCGTGCTGATTGTGTTGGTTGAAGTGTACACGGCAATGTCCAATCCGGGACTAGAGAGGGTATCAGGTTATGTCATTATCAGCACAAACTGAGAGTATCTTGTTACCCTCCTTTTGTACATTAGTAAACTTGGGAGATTGTCCAGATAAGGTATCAACTGGGATTTTGTGATAGGCCTGGATAAGATAAGGATGAAACGTAAGTGGTTAAATGATGCTTGCAAATTCATGACCATTCTGCATTTTGGATGCTGTTTTATACACAGAGAAGCAAAATAAACTCTACTCTCAGATTTTATCATATGTTAGATTTTCAAATGAAAATATCTTAAGTTAGCGATATCATATCCAAAACATGAACTGTACTGGTGCTAGGTCAGCACTCAAAGAATATGTATAAATTAAGGCTGGGACGGGTAACTCAGGTACTCGGGGGGTCGGATGGGTCACATTTCTTTCTGACTATGCACCAAGACTTTTATATGTTTGAATAAAGATAAAACTTCAGTCAACGTCAGTGTATGCATGTGCAGATCGATTCATACGTGTATCTAAATACATTTTGTCCAGGGCTACAGTCAAACTATTCCCACTCGGACATTAGGTACCTATTTCTTGAGACCAACAGTGGGTACCCGGGTAGGGTCGGGTAATAGGCGGGTGGGTACCCGGGTAGTAAATTTGGACTTGTCCCAGCCCTAGTATAAATGTTTTTATTTTATTAAATATAATTTGATTTAAAACTTTAAAAAAACATTAAATAAATATCCCATTATATACAACTGCTGATGGGTATCTTAGACATCTTATCTTTGAAAATCAATAAATTTGCTTTGTTTGGGCACAAATTTACATTTCAAATATGGTAGGGGCAATGTGGTTGCAAATTCATTCTTATCCCCATATTCTTTTTACACAGAATTACCCAACCTCAGATTGAGAGATGGTTAAATGGAATTAATCAAATTAAAAACAGTTCTTAATGTTTAATTACATAAAAAAACAACTTCTTATACTTTCTTTTGCCCCTCATTTTTTTTAAGAACAAATATTTTGCATACATGTAGTTCATCAGATTTGAAGATCATTGTGATATGGAGTTAACATTTGTTATTGTAAATAATATTGCCCTAGTGTGCTACAGTTGTGTTGTACATGACTGTGCATGTCATTGGGTGATACCCCAGTTCTTAATTACCTCATTACTTATCTTAATTATGTAAATTGTCACTTTGAAGTTCACTTTGTCAACAATTCCCAAGTGCCCGAAATGACTTAATCAAGTACAGATTTAGCTTAGATAACTAATTATCTGGACTAATTGAATAATTATTTTATGTAAACTATCTGGTAATTTTCAAGGGTTAACAGATTTGTAGGTTTGACCTGGGGAAGGTAGAGTTAATCATCAAATGAAGATATTAGATAACCAAAATAAAATCATCATTACATTGTGAAATTAAGAGATGTTATGTTATGTATACTATGCTTTTGTGGATTATACCCAGTAGAAACTTAATTATTTCTTGTATGCTGAAATCTTTTCTGCAACCAGCGAGACAACAAACTTAGTCAAAACATCAGTGTTACTGTACATTTTGCAAATATGTACATAGAATATTACAAACTGTACTTTAGCCATGGTTATAACATAGGTTAGTGGGAATTTAGTGTACACCACACATGTTGTAGCATAGGTTAGTGTGTAACTACACTGTACACTACGTCCTCGCTGTTGCGCTCTTTAATATAGCGCTAACACGGTTATAGCATGCGATAAAGCATTGCTCCCAAAATTTACTTGCATTTTTAATAAACTCAAGTTTTCCAATGACATAATGTTTTCCCCATCTAAAAAAACCATTACCAGCTGATCAGGTAACATCAGAAATACCAGTCAACAAATCTGAACTGAAATACACAATTTAATCCTATTATTATATTTGGTTATAAAAAGTCGTTCATTGTTTATCTGGACTTATGTTTTGTTTTGTTGGTCATCCACCCCCTACAACTCCACCTCAGTTAAACCGCAGATCATCCATAACGCTCATAAATTATTTGGATCCGAAGGGATCACTGTACATATTATAACATGTGAACTAACTAACTGTACATTACACTTGGTTATACCACAGGTTAGTGTTAACTAACTGTACACTACATATGACCTGGGTTCGTGGGCAGTAACTGTAACTGGGTTACAAATACCTGTGTAAGAGATATGATGGTCCCTCCTCCGATGACATGAATGGTCAGCTGTAGTATCCGGTGTCCCTTCTATTGTATTCTCAGTTTGTCTAGAGCATGTTGGGGCTGAGGGTGTCATGTCAACATGGTGGAGATTGATAGGGGTGTGATCAGAATCAAGTTTCACAATTACATCTGTATCACTATGTGCCCCTGCCTAGTCTATATCTCATGTCTGGAGCTTCATAGACTTGTTTGAAGGCTATCTTTTTAGCTGGCTTTCATTTCATCAGATCACTATATTTTTTCCTGAATTATAAGAGCAGCATAATTAAAATACAGAAATGAAGGTTTAAAGGTTGTATTAGAAGTTTGAAGAGATTGAAATAATATTTTCATCCCTTTTTTCTATGGTTAATTCAACTCTACATTACAAACTACTATTAAATTTATCCATCACGAGCAAACTTTAATAAACTATTAGCAACAAAAAATGTTAAGCTCATTAAAAATATTGCTTTAAATTTGAAAAGAAATCTGCCTGTGTAATGTATCATAAATATTGTATTGAGATAGTATAACATTTGTCCCACCTGTAAAGTTTTATCTCATGTATTGAACTTTTGGCCATGTGACCTTTGTTACAAAATAAACTTCTTATATATCTACAAAAGAAAGCATAAAATTCAAATGGAGACCAGAACAATACTTAATTTCATAACTGAGGCAATCTAGACTTGCCATTTCATTCTAGACTTGAGATGGATTCATTTTGTAATTTATTGTAGTGTTTGGGAGACAGACTGATATTTTACATGTATTAAACTTATGATGTGGTTGTATTATTTTAATAATTTTTCCAAATGATTGTTTTTCACAGGTGCGTGATAACAAAGCCTCTATTGACCAGCTGAAGAATGTCCCAACCTCTGTAAGTATACACTTACTGCTTAAATAAGGTTCAAAACAGTATGTCATGAGGGACGGCTGAACATTCTAACTAATTATATTAACTGTAATTAGAGATGCAAATGTTTAATGGCAGTATATTGTTGAAGTAAGTAGGTATTTTGGTCATAGCTTGTTTTCTGTGGAGATTTATTAGGATTATGGAAATGGTTTTGTTGATGTGATTAAGTAACAGGTCTAGCAGATAAATGAGTAGACAAAAACTAGACAGAACATTTGTTACAATCAGGACATGGTGCATACTACTCATATTTCCTTTATAACTTTTCATCACATTATTATGTCACCTCTGTCATTTTGTTACGTACTTTTTTGTTCTCCCAAAATATTGATATTTAATTGTTCTCCCAGCATGTTGTTATGTAATATCACTTCTAACATATTGTTATGCAAGTGTGACCCAACATATTGTTATGTAATATCACTTCTAACATATTCATATGCAATAGTGCCCCAAACACCTTCTGGTGCAATAGTGCCCCAAACATTTTCTTATGCAATATTGCCAAAAACATATTCTTATGCAATAGTGCCCCAACATATTCTAATGCAATGGTGCCCCAAACATATTCTTATGTAGTAGTGCCCCTAACATATTCTTATGCAATAGTGCCCCTAACATATTCTTATGCAATAGTGCCCAAAACATATTCTTATGCAAAAAATCCCCCATACATATTCTTGTGCAATAGTGCCCCAAACATATTCTTATGCAATATTGCCCCAACATATTCTTATGTAGTAGTGCATCAACATATTCTTATGCAATAGTGCCCCAACATATTCTTATGTAATGTTTTCCCCAACATATTCTTATGTAATGTTTTCCCCAACATATTCTCATGCAATGGTGCTTATCTTCTGTGTACAGATTCCTGACCAAGTGGCGACGGAGATCACTCAGATCAACAACCGTCTGAACAACCTGCAGCCAACAGGAGAGGTCCAGACTCAGCTGACCTCACTCGGGACGCGGTTGACCACTGTGGAGACCAATGTAAGCCCACTGCCATGTTAGGCCTGCAGGCAAGGTTCCCTATTGATTGTGTACATCCCTCCTGGGTTTGATTCCCAAAAGGGTAGAACATATGGAATTCCCTGCCTTAACGGCATTGGAAGAGTATGTGAAGCTTCAAGAATCTCACTCACTCGCAATTCATGCTCTCTGTTTTTAGGCGCCGCCGAATGCAGTCACACGTCTGACATCGGTAGAGGGTCGTTTGAACAACCTGCAGCCTACAGGTGCTGTCCTCACACAGTTCCAAACAATCACAAATCGGATATCGACCGTTGAATCAAGGGTAAGAGAAGTAACTGTTTTTTGTCTGCCAAATAGGAATATGAGTAAGTGCTTAATTTCATATTCAGTATTTAGGGAAAAAGTGACTTCTTTCCCACAAACATCTGGGATTCTTAGATCTGTAAATAAATGAATGAGATCATATCTTTTAACCACCTCTTCTTGACACTGGATATCATATTTGTTTTTGGGTGAATTACATGTATTATATAAACAATACAAGTAATAAGGAATATATATTTAATTAGAATTTAAACTTGCAGAATTTATTATTTCCAATACAGTGTAATGAGATCTTTGTAGAATTCCAAAATAAATTTGGCCCGCCTAATTTCAGCCACAGGTGGCCCAGTCGTCAAGACATTTGCTTTGCAGAGTTGTGTCCCTTGGGCATGCCATGGATTCAAATCCTGGTTTGACATGATTGTGTCTTGGGTTTTTTAAATACTCATTTCAAATAAGGCTAAAAAAGATATTGGTCTTGGTTCTCAGTTTACTGCACGTTTCATTTTTTATTTCCATTTTTATTAAATATTCAAAGGCCAACTGTAGTCGAATACTGTATTCCAGTATTTTACTCATCAAGGAATACATTTATGTAGGGAGGCCCTTTCCCAGGTTGATTGTTTATTTGGCTACACAACTGTTCATTTGGTTACATACTAGTTGGAACAACGACAATAACAAAAAATACACCGCCCACCCACACTATATTTTCAAAAGTCTTTGCCTGAGAACCAATTCTTATATTTTTGAAGCCTAATTTGAACTGTTTGTTGCTAAAATGAAATAAAAATCACATGAGTTGCAGTGTCTCATAGCACTCACCAAATGGTGTGTTCTCATTGTCCCAATCACATTATATCTGTGTGTGTGTGTGTGAAGAACTGAGGACATCTTCATACAAGATCATGTCAATAGGCTGAGATACATAGGTTTTTGGGCCAATGATTTGACTTCTTTTCTCTAGCTTGAATTATACTATTATAAAGGACAAGATATCTATTTACCATCGAATACAAGTCATTTGTTTGTGATCCGTGAAGATCTGGGACCCATGCTTGTTGTAAGAGGCATCTAACATGATCAGGTGGTCAGACACGGTGTCTTCGTACCCGGATGTTGTGGAACGTTGCTCACAGTGTCAATCAGTGTATTGTCTGGTCGATTATTTACAGACCGCCGTCATATATCTGGAATATTGTTGAGTGCGGCATTAAACAACAAACAAACAAACAAGCAAAATCATGTGTTTGTGGAGTTTGGCATTTTATTAAAAGACATGTAAATGTTATAATATATCTGGTATCCTCACTTTGCTGGGCTATGTAAATATTTGAATACATAGAATATAATAAGATGTTTTCTTAATAAGTCATCTTGAAATTGGTTTATTTGAAAGTTTTCTTTTGGTCCCTTCAACTTTGAGTTGACTGTACAGTGAAACCCTGATAATCTGGAACCTGTTAATCTGGAACTCTGCATTCCAGCAATTACTGTTTGGAACATCTATGTAGATGTATTAGTAAAGAGACCTTATGCATGATTCAATAATGTAGAAGCTGTGGGGGTTCTGAGTTAGAATTGGTCCCCTACAATCTATGCTTGTCATACGAGGCGACTAAATAGATCGGGTGTCAGGCCCAGTGAGTTTATGACATTGCACCCCAACAGTGTGGATCGTTGTTTGCAATATTAATCACTGGATTGTGTTGAGACTGGAATATTTACATGCTGCCGTCATATTGCTGGAATATTGCTGAGTGCAGTGCTAAACAACAAACAAACAAACAAACATTAATCCAGAAATTTGTTAATCTGGAATTCACCGGGAATGGTACTGTCTGGAGTATCAGGGTTTAACTGTATTTGCATGTGTGCATGATTTTAACAGGTGACCGTTTTGGAATCAGGGACATCCATCACGACTCTCCGCACAAAGGTAGGATACTCACAATAACCTTAATATGTATGTTCATATTTCAGATTTACCTACCTATCCATTCTTGCTGATTTAAACCAGATGTGCAATATTGTGTCATATACCATCCTTGATTATCAAGGGTATTTATGGTTATTATTATGATACCTGGACCCATTTGCCTCCATAGCTTCATTTCAGAAGTGTCATAACCACCCCTATCGCTGCTATTTTTAACTTAACACAGTAGTTGTTGCACTTATTTGATTGGCTGGCTAACTTTAGTGTTGGGCTATTTAATTCGGGCACAAGACAAAGCTTTGGGTGTGAATTCGTCCAGGGTACATATCCGAATGGACAATCAATTCCCTTGATAATAGAGGGTGAATACTTGGTACAAAACGTTGATATTTACAACTGCTGATAAAAAAATGAAAAAATTTGTTCAAGTGCCAACTAGAGAATCTTGAGAAATACAAATTTTTGTTATCTTTGGACTGAAAAATCAAAATCAAAATCATTATGCTACAAAATTGCATATCTGAAATCAGCATGGATGAAGTTGATGTGAGCAGACGGAGCAGCTATTATTTTGTGTCTCTAATGCTGGAACTGGTTGTGTTCATTAGGTCAGGAGGGCAGGTAGGAGAGGCTCAGTGAGAATAAGAAACCTAAACAGCAACTCACAGTTCAGGAGACTTAAGACAAGGGTAACCAGGGTTACGGAGGGTGCATGCTGGTGCACGTTCACGTAGATCCCAGTCACTTGGATGATGTTTACGGGCACTCACGATGTTGTTCTGGAACACGTTCCATTGCATTTGACTGGTTCTGCTTCATTTGATGTTGTCTTGTTCTCTTAGTGAATGTTCCTGTTCACTTTGCAAATGTTCTTGTTCATATGGTGAATGTTCTTGTTCACTTCAATAATGTTCTTGTTCACTTCAGTAAAATCTTGTTACATAGCTAATATTCTTGTTCACTTAGCTAATATTCTTCATTTGGCTAATGTCTCGTTCACTAGCTTATGTTCTTGTTAACTGGGCTAATATTCTTTTCACTAAGCTAATGTTCTTTTCACTAATCTAATGTTCTTTTCACTTAGCTAATGTTCTCATTCTCTTGACTAATGTTCCTGTTCACTTAGCTAATGTGCTTGTTAACTAGGCTAATGTTCTTTTCACTCTGGCTAATGTTCCTGTTCTCTTGACTCATGGTGTTGCTCACTAAGCTAATGTTCTTGTTCACATAGCTAATATTCTCGTTCACTTAGCTCATGTTCTTGCTCACTTTTCTAATGTTCTTGCTCACTAAGCTAATGTTCTTGTTCACATAGCTAATATTCTCGTTCACTTAGCTAATGTTCTTGCTCACTTAGCTAATAGTCTTGTTCACTTAGCTAATGTTCTTGCTCATTTAGCTAATGTTCTTGTTCACATAGCTAATATTCTTGTTCACTTAGCTAATGTTCTCGTTCACATAGCGAATAGTCTTGTTCACTTAGCTAATGTTCTTGCTCACTTAGCTAATGTTCTTGTTCACGTAGCTAATATTCTTGTTCACTTAGCTAATGTTCTTGCTCACTTAGCTATTGTTCTTGTTCACATAGCTAATATTCCTGTTCACTTAGCTAATGTTCTTGCTCACTTAGCTAGTGTTCTTGTTCACATAGCTAATGTTCTTGTTCACTTAGCTGATGTTCTCGTTCACTTAGCTAGTGTTCTTGTTCACATAGCTTATGTTCTTCATTTGGCTAATGTTGCGTGACACTTCACCAATGTTGTGTGGCACATTTTGTGTGGTACCCAACCAATGTTCCCATGTTGTGTGACACATGTCTAATGCGTGACGCCCTGCCAAGTTCTGTATCACTTTTGCATGAAGTTGTCTCACTGATTACTGAGTAGAATGACGATGCATGCCTAAATGCATGACTAAATACCATCTTATATTGCTTGTTGTTTAATTTGAGTTAAAAATATAAACATTGGTTAACAATGTAGATTAGATGAGGATTGCTTGTGTCAGAGCATGGTAGGATGTACAATGACAATAATTTGCTTTGGGTTTTAATTTAATATAGTTTGTGTCAGCAGTTTAGAGCAACATTGACTTAGATATGAAGTGTTTAGAATTTCTGTGTGTGAATGCACATTCATATAACCGTTATTTTGCATTTTGTAACCTCTAATTGTAGGTATAATTATTTAAATACGCCTACCGACAATGCCTGAAAAAAGTACTATTCTATGAATATTTGCTTCCCCGGTGATACGGCGGTCAAACCAGCTGTTTCAATCAGAGGGGGTTTATTGTGATTTAATAGCCCCTGATTGACCTATCAAAGTCGAGTAATTTCCAAATTCATGGTAGAATACGTATTATGCAGTCTACTATATAATCAATGTTGATTACCTGATTGCAATCTTACTTTTTTTCTTTATAACTTTATAACAGTGTTATTCTTAAATCTTTTATTGAAGTAATCAGTCCAACTTGAATGGATCATTCTCTTTATTTTCTCAAAGTTTCCCATTCAAAGTATTATATTTTTGTATGAAACCACGTATAGTAATAACTTTTACTTTCATGACTTCTGGAAATATGCTTCAGACAAATTGGATATTGAATTTTCAAGGTTTAACAAATCTTTCAATTTTCAGGTTCAGACACTGGAGACGCAGATGCAAAATCTTCAAAGAGTAAGTGATGCAAAACCATCTTAGAATTCATGATTACTTGTGTTCCCACAATTCACCTTGCATAAGTGTTTCCTAACAACTAGTCTTGATATTATAGCATCATAAATAAGTCATTTTATATGGAATTTGGAACGAATTTTGTTACAGTTATGTGGACACTGTGTCCTGATGAAGATCTTTTGTTTATACCAAAAGTTATCTATTAATGTTACCCATAGGGGCAATTACATTGGTGGAAATATTTACAGAATGTCTGACTGTGTGTCATACATGCAAGTTGTTTGGGTATCAGCCCTGACGTCATCACTGTACATTGTCGCGATACCTAAAGATGACGCCATCTGTGGTTCATGATGTCACAGACTGCCTGTGTGGTCTAGTGTTAGAGCATCTGCCTGGAGAGCAGAAGGTCGGAGGTTCGATCCCCAGCCGCATTATACCAAAAGACGGTAGAAGATGTTAATTGTTGTTTCTTGGCTTGGTGCTTGGCATTAAGGGGACAAAACAAGGACTGGTCGTCTTGGAATCTGTATACTGTGTCTGAGTGGGCTATTCATGGTAAACTGCAGCATGGTATCTCGGAGGGATAGCACTGAAAAACTGTCATTACTGCCATATGTTAGCACTATTTTGTGGACAAGTTCAAAATTTCAATTTCAGATTAAAATATTAATTCCTGCAAGGTTCCATTTGACAAAATCCTACTTTTCTCATAAGCTGTTAGGATGTGTCATTAAATACATTTTCACAAGCTAGGGATTTGTCATTGTCAGCGCTAAAGTAAGTTCTTCTTGTTCAGTGCTTATACAGAATGGAAGATTTGATCTATAAAAACTCTGCGAATGATTTTCAACACCTACTAAACATATTTCAGTTGATAAATGTGTGATAAAAGTGGTCACTCAGGAATTTACCATTTTCATAATTAAGTTTTTGGGTTTGGTATTTGGGGTATGTCTCAAAACATAAGGAATAAAAAATTTTATGTGATATTGAACTTTTGAACGGGTCCCTTAGTGACATTTGATATTCGAGTGTTTTATTTTCCTATTAAAAATAGAATAATTTGTTCCAGGAATAAATAATATGTCCTAAGGTAAACATATCCAGCCCTTTACAAAAAGGCATCACAGAGGGTCCTGATGTCTTATTATGAAGAGGGGCGGTTGGGTAACCTAGTGGTTAAAGCGTTCGCTCGTCACGACGAAGACCCCGGTTCGATTCCCAACATGGGTACAATGTGTGAAGCCCATTTCTGGTGTCCCCTGTCGTGAAATTGCTGGAATATTGCTAAAAGCAACGTAAAACCATACTCACTCACTTATTAAGCAGTTTTATATGTGCTGTTTTTTGGTGTTTTATTATTATTTTATTTCTTTTTGGAGTACACAAACAATAAGTTTACAGAATATAGTTCACATGCAATGCTGTTTCGTTTCAGTTACTAACAGCAAATGAGTGTTCTACAAATCCCTGTCATAATGGAGGCACTTGTGTTGATCTTTTCAATGGTTACTACTGCCACTGTCCGACCAACTGGCAGGTAAGTGCTTGACACACAGAGACAGTGGCCACTGGTAGGTTGACAGTTTTGAACATGTTTGTAATTTTATTAGCGTCTCTTCAGGGAATATTTCAACATCTTTCAGACTTCAGAAGCAATATGTTTATTTTCAAAGGATGTCTGCTTCCTTATTTTTGACAAAAAAGCACACAGTGATCAGTCAAAGCCATATTTTATATATGTTTTGAATTTTTGTGAATTTTTATATATATACAGTAAACTATTTGCTGTATATATGCTTATGACAAACTACGGTTATTACAAACTAAAATGAATGGTCCCTTTGGGTTCGTTATAAGAGCAGTTTACTGTACTCAGAGGCAAAAGCAGCCTTGATTTGTAGAAGCAGCATCATTCAGATGAAGATGGATCTGATCTATCTGTAAATATTTTTAAAAATTTAAATATAAGCAAATTCAAATTTTTATTCTGCTTTGTAATTTCTTGTTCATTACTCAAGTTGTGGAGAAATGCCACAGGAATTTGTAACTAAGAATTCAAAATGACCCAATGATATAATAGCTCTGACAAGAATGCCATGCTTCTGCTATGGGATAAGAAATGACTTGCAATGTCACAGTTATGATGATTATTGTGACGTTGAATTGTTCGTACTTTGTGTAGGGGGCCACCTGTGACACGGATGTTAATGAATGTTCTCTGTATGCTGGAACTGACCTTGGTTGCCAGAATGGTGGGACATGCATCAATTCACAGGGAAGCTTCAGGTATGCTTGTGTTTGGCCTGCATCACTCAAGGTTTTCCTCCCACATCATAGTATCGTCGGATGATCGGTTTTCGGACGGCCACGTTAATCGCGATAACTTGCACTATTGGGGGAGTGAAGTGTCACACAGACATTGTAAATACTTCCATGACGGCTTGTTTAAGAGAAAGTTGTTCTTTTATAAGTGAATAAGATGTTTTACAGTTGTTCATGTGATTAGCGAGAAAACTATGCATGTACCTTAAGTGTCCGAAAACCCATAACACAGGGATATTGGTGGACAGGGGACTTGTCAACTCGTCACCGTAATGCATCCCTCTATTTGGTGACCAAAGTCTAAACTTGCATTTAATTGTTTATTTCAAATAGTGACAACCCGTGAGGATCCGGGTTGAAAAGGTCTTCAGCAACCCATGCTTGTCGTTAGATGCAACTATACTTGTTGTAAGAGGCAACTAACAGGATCGGTGGTCAGGCTAAGTGACTTGGTTGATGCATGTCATCGTATCCTGATTGCGTAGATCAATGCTCATGTTATCAATCACTGGATTGTCTGTTCCAGACTTGGTTATTTACAGACCTCTGTCATAAAGCTGGAATATTGCTGAATGTGGCGTTAAACAACAAATAAACAAACAAAAAATCAAATGCTGACCTTAGTTAATACACTTTTGGTTAATGGCCCCAAAAATGACATCTAATGAAGTTGACCTTGGAGTAACCAAGAGTATTTGGAGAAATGACCGAAGCATATCATAATCGAATAATTAGTAGTTTGGAAACTGAAATTTAAGAAGTATTTTTGTTTTAATTTTCAGTTGTCAATGCCCAGCTAACTGGCATGGAATCCGATGTCGGGAGACACACGATGACTGCACCGGAGCTTCTCAGTCGGAGCTGTGTGGGCACGGAACATGTATCAATGTGCCGAGAACACAGTCCAACATGGTGGGTGGGGGATAGTGTGGTGCAGTGGGGGATAGTGTGGTGCAGTGGGGGATAGTGTGGTGCAGTGGGGGATATTGTGGTGCAGTCGGGGATAGTGTGGTGCAGTAGGGGATAGTGTGGTGCAGTGGGTGAGTGAGTGGGGCAGTGGGGCATAGTGTGGTGCAGTGGGGGATAGTGTGGTGCAGTGGGGGATAGTGTGGTGCAGTGGGGGATAGTGTGGTGCAGTGGGGGATAGTGTGGTGCAGTGGGGAATAGTGTGGTGCAGTGGGGGATAGTGTGGGGCAGTGGGGGATAGTGTGGGGCAGTGGGTGAGTGAGTGTATAACTGGTTGGATGTGTGTGCATATAGTTGACTGAGCATATAAATGGATTGATGCGTATGCATAGAGTTGACTGAGTGTATAAATGGATGTGTATGCATATAGTAGACTGAGTGTATAAATGGATTGATGTGTATACATATAGTTGACTGAGTGTATAAATTGATGTGTATGCATATAGTTGACTGAGTGTATAAATGGATTGATGTGTATACATATAGTTGACTGAGTGTATAAATAGGTTGATGTGTATACATATAGTTGACTGAGTGTATAAATGGATTGATGTGTATACATGTAGTTGACTGAGTGTATAACTGGATTGATGTGTATACATATAGTTGACTTGAGTGTATAAATGGTTGGATGTGTGTGCAGCTAGTTGACTGAGAGTAAAACTGGATGGATGTGTTTCCAAAGCAGCTAAGCAGATGATTACATGAGTGAATTAGAGTGTATTTAGAGACTGAGCTGTCACTGCTCCTTGTACCTGCAGCCCAAGTTCACCTGTATCTGTGACGATGGCTGGACCAAGGTCTCCGACTCCAGCCCAGCGTGTACTGTGGATGTTAATGAGTGTACGTCCAGCAATCCACCATGCTCCCAGGATCCTCCGGTCCAGTGTACCAATATCCCTGGATCATTCGTGTGTGGCAGCTGCCCAGCAGGTATGTGTTCACTGCCGGAATATGGGGGGAAGGGTGTAGTGATCCCCATGTTCAGTGAGTGAGGGGGATGTGTCAGGGAGGGGGGAGTAAGGGAGGGTCAGCATTGTGATTGGTAGAGTAGCCAGGGTTGGAAGTGAGAATATGAGGCTTGTGTAAGGGAGCTGGGAAGTCGGAAGGGTACAAAGGGTGAGAGTTTTGAGGGGTAGGGAGTTGGGAAGTTGGTAGGGTACAGGGGAGGGTGAGAGTTTTGAGGGGTAGGGAGTTGGGAAGTCGGAAGGGTACAGGGCAGGGTGAGAGTTTTGGGGGGTAGTAAGTTGGGAAGGTGGAAGGATACAAAGGAGGGTGAGAGTTTTGGGGGGGAAGGCGGATTGGCATAAGTAGGTTGTGGACATGTAACACTGCTGATTCTTATTGTAGGCTACACTGGCAATGGTGCCACCTGCATTGATGTGAACGAATGTAGTACAAACAACGGGGGTTGCTCCAGGACCCCCCTGGTGGAGTGTATCAACACACGCGGCTCCCGCAGATGTGGACCCTGCCCCTCAGGTAGGTCTGTGTTCAGGTTCAAGAGTGGTTATACTTTAATGCTGCTGAAAAGAGCAGTATTTCAGTTATATCATGGCTCCTCAAGAGGTATGTTGCCAACAAGCTGAGGATTAAATCAGAGCAAAACATGGCATTCAGACCTAAAAATCAGTGGAACAGTTAAGGGAAGGAAATCCGCACAAGGATTTGTGTCAGTACAGATGTAATGATGTAATAAATATATTTTGATATTTCAAATTTTTTATATAACCTGGGAGTAACCAAATGGGAATAATAAAATGTGATCCCTGCCTACGAATAATAATTAAGATTGAAGAATATCATGATATTATTATTTTTAATAATTATTTTGCAATTTTTAGGCTACCAGGGTAATGGTGTGACATGTATATTTGTTGGCGTCTGCGGTGTGAGCAATGGAGGCTGTTTCCCGTCTGCCACCTGCTCTGAGTCTCCAGGTGAGTTTCTGACAAATTATCTATCCGTATGGATATTAGGGAAGTTTGGTTCAGTGATTCTGACTGAGAAATAGATCTCTCTCTCTTTTCTTTTACAGCATGATATAGGCCTATTGTATTTTTTTAGCTCACCTGACTGAAAGTTAAGTTAACTTATGTCTTGCCTCTTTGTCAGTCTTTCCTCATACGTCATCTGATCATGCATCATAAAAATCGTCTACTCCCAAATCACTGCTTTGATGAAGCTGAAACTGCATACTTTCTTTCGAAATGTAAGAAATTTGGTATGTGTTTAGTTAATAGCCATATCATCAGTGTTTTGTAATACAAAAAAATAAATGTATTTAAGTTTTGACCTTGTTTTCACCAGGCTATTAAATTCTCTCAAAATGCATTTTGGCTCTGTAAACTGACAGGACATCTTCTCCTCTGAAATGACGAACTGAGGAAGCTTTTATGTGGATGTTTCTCCACATGATGACATATTTTGTTTAAATCATTAGAATTTTTGTTTGTGCTTTTTTTTTTGCTCCATATATATACAGAAGATATTTGAAATCAATGCTGACAGCAACTTTTGTAAATAGGCTGTCTTTGTTGATATTTCATACTGTTGACTCCACATCCAGGTGAGCTACAGTGCCATACATGGCACTACGTTTCTCCATATGCATATAGAAAAAAATCTGTCTATACTTGAAAAAGTCATAATTATTATGGGGTGTTATTTTGTGAGATTAATTTTTCCTATTATCATCTTCCCAAAGCAAGGGAATTAGTTCACTATAAAAGTCCAGTTTCGTCCCTTGCCAAACTAGGCTGGAATTTCTGAGTAATGTTTTGGCAGGACTAATGACTCTATACATAGTCCAATCAAAATTGTGTAACAAAATCAACATCCTGTTCATATGAAACATGGCAAGTGCCATGCTGATTTTGGTTGATTGACGATTTGCAAAGCATCAGTACCATCAACTGGGTGTCGACAATTTGTCCAAATCTTTTCATGTTTTTAATCAACATGCTCAAATGTTGTGCTACATACCACATGCACTGGGTGTCTCTGAGCCAGGGAATGTGAAACTTTCCTTCAATTAACGTGATCTGATCGTCTTGACTGGGAGACGCCATTTCGTCCGAAGCAAATTGCAAGTGATATGAGAGGTGGAACCTGATTGGTCAATAGGATGGACACTGAAGGGAAATAACCCATTATAGCCACTGGTGGCGCTATGATCGATGTTATCCATTATACTTAGTTATATTGCATGCTGCTATGAGAACTGACTGTTCCCCCAAGGTTGTTTCCTATTTCAGGTCTGAGTGGTCGAACTTGCACATGCCCGTCAGGATATGTTGGTAATGGTGTTGGCTCCAATGGCTGTGTTAGATCCGGATCCACTACTGGAGCCTGCAGTAGTAGCCCATGTAGGAATGGTGGAGCTTGTTCAGTGAGTGTGTCACTCAATAGTCTTTTATGTCTAGCAGAAGTTTTCAAATATTAAAATATCCTACTTGCCCATTTCTATTGTTGAAGACATCACTTACTGGTATGAAGCAGAATTTGAGCTTTGATTCACTCATCCTGGAAAAATATCAGCTGTTCTTAACTGTTCGAAAATAGGGTATGTGAGGATACACAGGATTATCGAAGATGATGGAGGTGTGATGTTTGTCATCCATATTCATTTTCAGAACTCAGGCAGTTCGTACTCCTGCTCCTGTTTGAATGGCTACACAGGGAACCAGTGTGAGACGGACATTAATGAGTGCACAAGTAATCCATGTCGAAACGGAGGCACCTGCAGTAACAATGTCGGCTCCTTCAGCTGTCAATGCACCGGCTCATACACAGGACCAACCTGTGAAACGCCACAGAGCAGTAAGCACACAAACATGGATCATACCGACCAATATTGTTCTGGACTAATCCCGATCTCTGTCAATACCGGACCAATTTGCAGTCATTATAATTTTTCATCAAGTAAAATCTCTCGGACTGAGTTAAAAAGAATTGATTTTGAGGTTTATCAAAGATATGTTGGTATGCTTCTTCCATTATTTGTAAACATCATAGATACAGGAGATGGGGTAGCCTAGTTGTTAAAGCGTTCCCGGGTCACGCTAGGCCCGGTTTTCAATTTCCTATTTATGGGAACAATGTGTTAAGAAACAGGAAAAATGGAGGAACATTGCTAAAAACGGCGTAAAATCATACTCACTCACACTTCCCCAAGTGTCTTGGGCCAGTTCTATAAAGCGCTCTGTGATCGTTATAACTCTGATAGCCCAATATTGACTTCATCCATCATAGTGCTCCATGGTATAGTGGATGCACGTCTGCCCTGAGTGTGGAAGCTTGGTAGTTCGATCCCCTGGGTGCATTATATGTTAAAAGCTGGTCCTTGTTGTTACCCTGCCTGGCACTTGGCATTTGGGGATGAAACAAGGACTGGTCGGCTCGGACTCAATAAAATATGTTTGATTAAGATTTCCATGTTAAACTGTTGCATGGTACCTCAGTGGCCTAGCCCAATAGAACCATTCCACACAAGCAGTCACACACACACGCTCTAAATAAGTGAAATAATCTCAAACATGGCATTAAGCCCCATTTCCATTCACCAAATGTTGTTCTTTGTGGATCGGGAATCCTGGTCAGCACAAAGCTTCCAATGTTGTTAATGACCAAACCATTTCTGAAACATTAGTCCTAGCAATCTCTTGTATTTATCTGTAGCTTGTGGTGGAGCATTGCGAGGCACATCGGGGTCGTTCCAATTCCCGACCCAGACTGGAACTCAGTATCCCCATGGAGCCAACTGTGCCTGGACCATCACTACCACCCGGGACAAGGTAGGTGCTCACCATTAACATGCTGGCTGTTCAGACTCAGTCACTGGACTCTAACAGTCGGACCGCCTCCATGGTCTAATGGTAGAGCGTCTGCCCGGAGAGCGGAAGGTCCGGGGTTCGATCCCCAGCTGCGTCATACCAATAGACGTTAAAAGATGGTACTTGTTGTTACCCTGTCTGGCACTCGGCATTAAGGGGCTAAAACAAGGACTGGTCGGCTCGGAGTCAGTATACTGTGTCTGAGTGGGGTATTCATGTTAAACTGTGGCATGGTATCTCAGTGTGCTAGCACTATAAATCAGCATCAGTCCGGACTAGTACAAGCAGCCACACACACACATATACACGTGCATGCACGTCGATATATAAGTGCAATAATCTTGGACGCAACATTAAACCCCATTTCACCTCACCTCACCTCACAGTCGGATCCTGGATTTTGTACCCTACTCAAGTCATTTATCATGTAGTGTCAGTATTGTCATTATTACAATTATTAAGATTATGACAAATGTTATGTTTGTTATTGGTAGTATTATTGTCATTATTAACATTATTGAAATATTAGTAAATATTATTGTTTGTTATTGGTAGTCTTGTTGCCATTATTACAATTAGTAAAATTATGATCAGTATTATAATTTTTATTATAGGTGATAGTTATGTCATTATTACAATAATTATTATGATAGGAGTATTGTCATTCTTATAATTGTTAAAATCATGAAAAAAATTATATTTATTATTGTTGGTAGTATTGTCATTATTACAATTATTAAAATAATTATTATAATTATAATTGTTGTTATTGGTAGCAGTAATGTCATTATTATAATTATTAAAATTATAATAAAATTGTGATAAATGTTAATAATTATTATCAGTAGTAGTATTTTCAGTAGTAGTATTGTCGTTATTGTAATTATATTATTGATATAATGTTATCTGTATGTTGCTGTTGTTATAAGCATCATCACTATTATTATTATTATTATTATCATTGTTATGTAGATTTTGACCCTGACCTTCACGTCCTTCAACCTGGAATCTCACAGTACCTGCAACTATGACTACCTCCAAATCCATGACGGACCAACTGCATCATCTCATATGCTCGGCAAGTGGTGTGGCACTAATCCACCAGGGGGCGGCACTCTCAACACTACCAGCAACCAGGTGTACCTGTGGTTCTACTCCGATGCATCGATCAGTGGCGATGGATTCGCCGTCAGTTGGACAACCAATGATCCAGGTAGTCATATGACTGAAGATTTATCTATGATTCAATCTCATCATAATCAGACCTTAGTGCTCGATACCATTTACAAAGATCTGTGGACATACTATTACAGGTCAAGTCAGAACAACCTTTCTTCTGACCAATCAAAGAGTCGCTTACCACATTCAGGAAGGTGACAGTCGGAATGGCTTTTTCTTGTCATGTAACCTAGAAAAGGTTAACACTGGTATTACAAATGACTGTTAAAGGGATGTACAACTGATTCCATCAAAATCTTCGTCTGTCTCTCGCTTCGGCAGCTTGGCTCCTGAGAGTTTCTTGGGCTTCGGTCCTGCCCCACACTGGAGCACATCTAACACATGTGGTGTCTCCTTAGGCAAGTGACTTTGTTCGAAGTGTACCTCTATTCACCTAACAGAGAATGGGTACCCTTCTAGCGCCTCACAGTCAACTTGGGTTGTATACTCCCTAGGGAGCTGAGAATGATTGTTGAGTGCACACTGATCCATTGCCCGGGGTAATAAATGTCTAAGCACTTTGAGCATGCTTATGCATGGAGTACAGCGCCATATAAATAACTATTATTATTATTTATCCCAGTTAATGATGAAAAATATTAAGAATTTGCCTAATAGTATAACTGCATTGTCAACTTCATTTTTTTCTGAATGAAATTTTTACCAGTTTGTGGCGGTGACTTGACAACATCATTTGGCACCATCAACAGCCCTGGGTACCCCGGCAACTACCCCCACAACCGAGACTGCGTATGGACTGTGGAAGTAGCACCAGCTAAAAGGATTATCTTCACATTCGCTTCTCTTGCCATTGAAACCCACCCGAACTGTAGCTACGATTACTTAGAGGTATGTGTCGGCAACAGTACGGGCAATTTGGAAAAGAATTAACAACCAACATATAATTTTAGAATATTAAGTAATTTCAGATTAATAATGCTTTTAATTTGTGGCATGATTTTGAACACAATCAACCTTGGGATTTCCAGAATGTCACAATCCTTTGAACCTACTGCGGTTATTGGGGTAAATCTGGATGATCAGAAAGAGACTCAACTTTTCTTTTTTTTCTCTTTTATTGTTTATAAAAAGAAGAACCTGTTCCATAATATGTGCGTCTGCCCAGGGTAGCAGAAAGCCCATGACATGTATCGCAACTTAGCAGTACATCTTAGATTTTTTAGATAACATACTTCTCACTCACACATTCACTCTAGCAATACAAATATAATGCATATATCAAGTATGCATAAACTATTAAAACTTATATATCATATTGAAGTGCAGGAAATTACATGGTCTCAAACATTAAAGTATTAAGTATAAAACTAAAATGAAAACTCCTCATTTTTTAATACAGGTTTATGATACAGCATCCAAGCTCCATAGAATTTGGATATCTATTACTATATAGAATTTTGCAATAAGTCAAATTAAATTGAACACTTTATCTGTTTTGATGTTTTCTTTAACTCCAAAAAGTATCAATTCTGTACAAAATGTCATATCATTAACATGAACACACTGGTCTATCCACATTGACACTTCATCTCAAAATTGTTTTATTACATCACAGTCCCAAAACAAGTGAGTAATTGTTGACAGAAGAAGCGCAGATTATTTTGAACATCGTTAAGTATAACAAATGTTATATTTGGGATAACACTTCTTAGTAAAGTACAGATTCTCATACTTTTTGGGGGGTTGAGTCCCGGCCGGGATTCGAACCCATTTGTGGTGAATATTCTGGGGGTAATTTTGTATTGAAACCAATGCAGTTTTACATCCTGTGTTGTACTGAATAGTTTATTACAGATATTGTTCCAAATTAAGTTTTTTAAATTGTAATTCCCACTTTTCAGTTTTTACTTCTGTAGAAACCAATGAAAAATAAATATACTTTGAACCTGACTTCGAACTTCAAATAGTTTTAACCACACAGCGCTGGTCCTCCACAGAATCTGTAGGAACTTTAACTAAACTAAGACATTTAAGGTATTGTTTAATGCTGCTAATAACACTATAAAATTACAAATAGGATAAACAGATATTATACATTTCATTAAATTCCTCATATGATGAAACTCCTTATCTGCCTTGACCAACAGAGACTACTTTTGTTAACTCTTGATTAACCCTTAGACCTAGTGGCACGACAATAGTCCCACAGGCCTTATGAGTACAGCAATGCATGTTGTGACAATTGATGCCAGGAAACTGGAAATTTGCAAACCCATATTCAGCAGAGGCATGTCAATTACCATTGCTTTAGGAGTCAAAACAAAGACATATTCCAATTAACAAAATCACATGCATTACAATGATAAAACATTATCAAAATTGGATGGATTTTTTAGATATTGGCATGGATTGACATTGCAAAGCTTTATTGTTGGAATTATTTGAGTTTTGTTTTGACGTTTTCATTCAGTTGGGAAGATACTTATGATAATGTTCTTGCTTCAGCTCCGAGACGGGCAGTTGGACTCCTCGACCCTACTGAACCGTTACTGTAGCACAACAAGCCCCGCCCCTGTACAAACAACAGGCAATGCGGCCTGGGTCAAGTTCCACTCCGATCAATCCTTGAGTGACAGCGGCTTCCACATCACTTATGCCACCATTGATGGTGAGGAAAATAAGTCTCATACAATCATGTCACCTCACATTTAGCTATCTGGAAATGTGAACAAAAGCCACTTGGAAATATTGTCTTGTCCAACTTGAAATATCGATCTTGGTCATTTTTAAATATCAAGTTCTGCTCACTGAAAATACCTATATTCTCAGCATGCAACTTTGCCTATGACCAGTTCACAGAAGCATCAAACTTGGCTTTTGTTGAAATGAAATTCTACTGCCTTGAAATACCTTTTTCCTGAAATAGCACTTCTCTCTATGACTAATTTGCAGAATGATCTTATAGCCTGAGAGTATGTGATTTTGGACAGCAGTCTCAATTTCTAAATATCACATTTACCGTATGTGGAAGGCTAAGACGTTATCAAAGCTGTGATTTTTTTGCATTATACCACTTACAAGTAATGGTTTGAAAGCACCTTAATGCAAACAAAATATGTAAGCAAAATAGGTATTGTCATAAGTAGAACCAAAAAAAAGATTGGTTTTACCATCAAAATCAATGGGGTTTGAACCAACCTTCGAAAATCACATATGGGCCCCAGTGGCATAGATCAAAATATAATACCTTAAATTAAATTAACATTTTTGAATTCCGGATGAATTTATCAGTATGTCTGACTGTTCTTTTTGTTAACCCAGGTATGCAATCTTAGCTTTGGTTCTATCCTAGTTAGTTGTCTTGTATACCACCTCAGTGGTCTAGTGGATAGAGCATTTGCCTCAAGAGCGAAAGGCCAATGTTTGATCCCCCAAAAGTGTCATACCAAACACTGTGTCTGAGTGGGGTATCCATGTTAAACTGTGACATGGTATGTCAATGGTCTAGCACAATAACCGGTATTACAAGCAGCCACATGTGCATGCACCATGCTATGTAAGTGCAATAATATTGAATGAGACGTTAAACCCCATTTCATCTCACCCCGGGGCGGTCGGGTAGCCTAGTGGTCAAAGCGTTTGCTCGTCACACTGAAGACTAGGGTTTGATTCCCGACATGGGTACAATGTGTGAAGCCCATTTCTGGTGTCTCCCGCCGTGATATTGCTGGAATGTTGCTAAAAGCGGCGTAAAACCTTACTTACTCATCTCACCCCATCTTATGAACATGTAACTTTGATGTATTTAGGTCCCTGTGGAGGATCCTACACCACTGATGAAGGAACGATCCAATCACCAAACTACCCACAGCCTTATACCCATAATGCACAGTGTGCTTGGTTGATAACTGTCAACACCGGTGACACCATAACCTTGACCTTTAATTCATTTGACCTTGAAACTGCAAGCTCTTGCCAATGGGACAAAGTAGAGGTAAGAAACTTTAATCTATTTGAATATTTCTCAGAGTGTTTGTTAATTTTGAGGGACCATCTCCATAGTGTAGTGGATAGAACGTCTGCCCCGGAGAGTGGAAGGTTGGTGGTTCAATAGCCTGGCCACGTTTATACAAAAGGAAAATAAATATGGCACTATATCTTTTTACTCCCTTAGGTCCAGCCCTGGTTATTTTTACGACAATCAGTAGATTTTTTTTTTAAATTCTGCTTTAAATGATGACTTCTAATTTCTATCTGTATTGCCCTATATGACATGTCGCATAAATTCACGAGAGTAATATGCATGTCTAATTAACAATAGTGACGACATGACCTCGTTTCTATGCATTATTCACTGCAGTAGGGTTCATGTGTGTGTAAAAAATCTGTGTGTGTCTTAAATCGAAAAGAACAAAGTGTGGTTTATTTCATGATAAACATTGTTCAATCATGTCGTCATTTCTGGAGATTCAAACGTGTACCCAACTTGATGCTGTCGTATATTGGATGATGTTGTTTTTGAGAAGTTGACATGGATCAGTGGGTAATTTTGCAGATGGTTATATTATTAGTTTGTTTTTTTAAATTTTTGTGAGTAGTTGTATGCAAGCAGCACAAAATTTATTTAGTAGTGACTTATTTTGTGTATTTTATTTTAAATATACAGCATCTTGAGCTCTGTTTCCTTAGGTTCGAGATGGCGTCGATCAGACGGCCTCCCTGTTGGGGCGATATTGTGGCAATGACTCGCCAGCCCCTGTCAGATCTACGGGCAACACGATGTACGTTTACTTCAAGTCAGACTCTTCCATCAGAGGAGGAGGATTCCAGGCCTCCTGGACAGTTGGTGAGTGAGTGGATGGATAGGTGGGAGTGATGCTTTGAACTTACCGTATTCACCATGTTAAGTGCCCTGATACAATAAGCATCCCCCTGACCAAATCCTAGACCACTACTTGTACACCACGAAACCATGAATGTTTTTTACATCACAAGACTCATTCAACAAATTTATCATTACATACAGACTTATTTTCAGTGAAAAATGTTTGGGTGACAATATCAGATCAACCAGTGGTTTGGTATGGTTATACAACAGGTGACCAGGGTCAACCATGGCGTGACAAGCAGATAACGTCATAAGAAACACTTTGACGTCATGATGTCGATTGGCCAATTAGATAGCTGAAGTTTATTACAAGTTTGATGCTGGGTTTTTTTCAGCTTGTGGTGGAACCTTCAACGACCCTACAGGAACAATAATGTCTCCGTCCTTCCCAAATGCCTACCCCCACAACAAGGAGTGCATCTACATTATCAACCAACCAACCAACAATCGTGTCACCTTGACCTTCTCAGCGTTTGCCCTTGAGGGAAATTCAGCATCAACATGCAGCTTTGATTATCTCGAGGTTTGTTTCTCTGATTTCTGAAGATGAATTGTGTTGTTATTGAGCATCAACCTTTCTGCATTCTTAGAGTTTATCTTACTGTTTCGGAAGTGGTCCATGCATACAACAGCTATATACTGATGGTTGAAAATAAAGCAACATCAGAACCGAACAAATTATTCCCCTTCGGTGAAATGTAGTTTCTCGTATGACTGTATTCATGAATTATCATAAGTCAAGCCTTATGTTTACAAGTCTTCCATCTAGCCCTGTTGACAATCCATCCATCTGGCCTTATGTTGACAAGTCATCCATCTAGCCCCGTTGACAATCCATCCATCTGGCCTTATGTTGACAAGTCTTCCATCTAGCCCCGTTGACAATCCATCCATCTGGCCTTATGTTGACAAGTCATCCATCTAGCCTTATGTTGACAAGTCATCCATCTAGCCATATGTTGACTAGTCATCCATCTAGCCTTATGTTGACTAGTCATCCATCTAGCCTTATGTTGACAAGTCATCCATCTAGCCTTATGTTGACAAGTCATCCATCTAGCCTTATGGTGACAAGTCATCCATCTAGCCTTATGTTGACAAGTCATCCATCTAGCCTTATGGTGACAAGTCATCCATCTAGCCTTATGGTGACAAGTCATCCATCTAGCCATATGTTGACAAGTCATCCATCTAGCCATATGTTGACAAGTCATCCATCTAGCCTTATGGTGACAAGTCATCCATCTAGCCTTATGTTGACAAGTCATCCATCTAGCCTTATGGTGACAAGTCATCCATCTAGCCTTATGGTGACAAGTCATCCATCTAGCCTTATGTTGACAAGTCATCCATCTAGCCTTATGTTGACAAGTCATCCATCTAGCCTTATGTTGACAAGTCATCCATCTAGCCTTATGTTGACAAGTCATCCATCTAGCCTTATGTTGACAAGTCATCCATCTAGCCTTATGTTGACAAGTCATCCATCTAGCCTTATGTTGACAAGTCATCCATCTAGCCTTATGTTGACAAGTCATCCATCTAGCCATATGTTGACAAGTCATCTATCTAGCCTTATGTTGACAATCCATCCATCTAGCCTTATGTTGACAAGTCATCCATCTAGCCATATGTTGACAAGTCATCCATCTAGCCTTATGTTGGCAAGTCATCTATCTAGCTATTTGTTGGCCGATTATCTATATAGCTGTCGAGAATTTATGGATGTCAGCTTCTTTATTATGAGGAACACAACGTTTCGGAGTATAAACTTACTCCTTCATCAGGTGATATAAATTCTTTGAGGCAGAGAACTTATGTATGTGAGCTGTCTGTTGGCCAGTCATCGATCTGGTTGAGCTCTTGCCTATTATCAATCAATTCATCCTCTGGGTAATCATCAATGTACCTACCTATTGGGACAGCATCCACTGACCTATCTTCTAGGTTTCTACTGATCAGTTTGCCATCATTGGTCATGTCCATTATTATTGCTTTGTTGTTGTGAATGCTCCATCAGTATAAAGCACAATGTCTGTGGTGTTTGTCCAGATCCGTGATGGCGGCACGTCCTCAGCCCCGCTCTTGTCCCGGTCATGTGGTTCTCAGTTGCCAGCAGTGCAGTCATCTAGTCAAAACCAGATGTGGATCAAGTTCAAGACAGATGGCTCTGTGACCAACACTGGTTTCCAAGCAACCTACGCAGCAGATGAAGGTTTGAAACTCATCCTTGTACAATGAGGCCTCGTCAACTCCTAGTTCTGGGGACCATAAAAACATATCGAGTTAACCATAGCCGTAGCCATAACCATAGTTCTGATAAGAATACTCCTGTATCATGAAGTTACACATCTTATCAATTTTAAAGGGTTAAAATTTGTCTGGAGCAACCCATGCTTGACTCAGAGGCAATAACGGTATCGGGTCATCAGACTTGCTGACTTGGTTGATGCATGTCATCGTATCTCAAATGCCTAGATTGATGCCCTTGATGTCAATCACTGGATTGTCTGGTCCAGACTCGATTAATTACAGGCTGCCATCATATAGCTGGAATATTGCTGAGTGCGGCGTTAAACAACAAACAAACAAACAAACACAACTTGTTAAGGGGACTAGAGTCAGCTATTTGCCAGTCCCAGCATATTTGATTCAAGTTATACAAACACAACTTTCTTTGGCTAGTAGAAACAGTTTCTGAGTTTCGTACATGATATTATTTACAAAATTAAGGACCAGACCATGAAGGACAGTCATCCTTTAAACAATATTTCAAAATAATGGAGTTCACGTGACAGTTTCACCATGTATGCAATATGGGAACTATCTAATGTGCAGGCTACATACTTAAAGTAATAGTTCCAAATATATTCCTTATATTTTTGTTTTTCATTAACACACACACACAAACACACACACACACACACCACCACACCACAACACACCACACCACACCACACCACACCACACCACACCACACCACACCACACCACACCACACCACACCACACACACACACACACACACACACACACACACACCGCACACGCACACACACACACACACACCACCACACCACACAAACACAAACACAAACACCACACCACACCACACCACACCACACCACACCACACCACACCACACCACACCACACCACACCACACCACACCACACCACACCACACCACACACACACACACACACACACACACACACACACACACACGGTGTATGCACATCAAGTTCAATATTCTTGAATGCAGCGTTAAACTCCATTTCACCTCACCTCACTCTTGCGTGTTTCAAGGTTAATATTAATGGCTAATTGCTTTGTAGGCTGTGGAAGACTTCTGACAGGCACGACTGGACAGTTCCAGAGCCCCGGACACCCGAATGTGTACCCACATGGCGCCAACTGCACATGGATCATCTCGGCACCAGCAGGATTGGTCATCAGACTTACCTTTAATACTTTCAGTTTGGAAGCTCATTCAAGATGTGCTTTTGATAGTGTCACAGTTTACGACAACTCTACAATCAACAGCGGCAGTCAACTTGGAAGGTTTGTTTGTTTGTTTGTTTCTTAACTCAGAAATATTCTAGCTATGTGACAGCTGTATGTATTAAATCGAGTCTGGACCAAACAATCCAGTGATTGACATCATGAGCATTAATCCAAGCAATTGGGATACGATGACAGACAATCAAAAGTCAATGAGTCTGACCACCTAATCCACTAAGTCACCTCATCATCATCATCATCATCATCATCATCACCATAGGTTGTTCTGGTGTCCCCTGCTGTGATATTGCTGGAATATTCCTAAAAGCGGCATAAAACCATACTCACTCACTCACTCATAGGTTGCTGGGGGCCTTTATTCCTACCCAAAGAGTCTCAGCTTGGAAGGCCATCCGTATTATTCAGCATCAGAGGAAACAGTCTTTTGGTAGAATACTAAAAATATTGATTTGTGCAACAGTTAGTGTCTTGAGGAAAGGGTTAAAAAAAGGAAGAAAACAAGTAATAGTCAGAGTTAATTCCCTTCTTTGACTTCTTACAATAATAGATAGCACAGATTATGAGGTTTGGTCAGTAAGCCTGGCTTCAATCAAAGTGTTAATTTCAAACAGCCAACATGCATCATTTTAGGATTTCATCCCACATGCTAACATGACTTCATAGAACTGAAATATTTTTCGTTTATAATTCATTTCATTCAGTTGGCTCAGTTATCAATATGAGTGATATGTCAAATGGTCTTTTGTAAAACCTTGGCAGAGATTGCACACCTAAGGCTGAAAAAAATAATAGTCTTGGTTCTCAGGCACCACCCGCATCATCATAAAGTCTGACGCATGTTTCGTTTGATTTCCTTTTTCAAAACCCCCCAAAATAATCCTTCAATATTCCAAGTCCAATGGTAGTCCAATACTGTATTCAAGTATTTTACTCATCAAGGAATTCATTTATGTAGGGAGGCCCTTGCCCAGGTTGATTGTACACAGTTGTTTATTTGGTTACATACTAGTTTGAACAACCCCAAAAAATAAAAAAGACACCGCCCGCCTGCACTATATTTTCAAAAACCATTGACTGAAAACTAATTAATTTTTTTTAAGCCTAAATACAATATTTGATGCTTCCATGATAATGTCTTGAACAGTGCTAGTGTAATAGTGAATATTATCCTTCCCTATTTTCTACCCCGGGGATTAAATTCTCGTGTCAGGATGATACTCTCAAGTGAATTTGAACCCATACCAGTGTGGCACTAACGTAGGATACTATACTCAAGAGAAAAACTTCCCCCAGGATAATATTTAGGTAGGATATAATCCTTGCTTACACTAGAAGCAGTATAAAACCATGTTCACTCTCTCTTGGGATAATGAGAAGCAGAATATGCCAGACCTTAAGTAGAAAGTGAAGAGTTCAACACAAAGTCCTTTTACGGATGCAAATGACAGTTCTGTCTTAGTCTTATGGTTGAGTTGTCTCCCCTAGGTACTGCGGCTCCACCATCCCGCCTGTGCAAACTTCCAGCGATAATGTGATGACCGTGGTTTTGAGATCAGACAGCAGCATTGCCCATGAAGGATTCACGGCCTCATACACCACTCTCAATGCTTCAACATGTGAGTAGGGCAGGGTCAAAGAAGGTGACCACAACGTGGGTATGGGTTTATCATGTGACCGGAATTTACTTTACGTTTGTAAACAAACACACTGAAACAAGAACGGACAAGCGTAATGGAGCCTTTCGGTCTGCTTTACATATTGTTTTGCATAGTTATGTAAATGTAGTGGCCATAAAATTTCCGAGTCCCGTGATGGGATTCGAACCACGGACCTTCTGGTCAGAGGTCGGACGCCTTGTCCACATGACCAAAGAGGTTAACCCTGTCAGTAAGCTGACAAGGTAAGGATGTCATCTGTGGGATGACTTCACGCCCTGCTACATCAACATGCTACTCAAACTGTGACAGTGAGGTGCATGCCAAAATAGCTTCACACATCAAAGTGACCATCATCGCTCTCTGTAGGGCTTTCATGACAGTACTTCGATCCGAACTACCAATGTAAACAAAGGATAAATATACAAATCGAAAGAGTTTTCCATGTTTTAGGATATTTTCTGCCTTAAAGACTCAGCCATGTTGGTTTTGTTAAGATGGTGTAAGAATCTGTTCCCTAATTTGTTATGACAGTATGTGGAGCAGCGCTGACGGGTATGACCGGCGTCGTGACCAGCCCTAACTACCCCAACAACTATCCTCATCAGCGTGAATGTGAATGGACAATCACAGTGCCATCTGGAAACCAGATCCTCCTCAACTTCACAGACTTTGCCATGGAATACCATCCCAACTGCAACTTTGACTACGTAGAAATCAGGTACTAAGGCCACACTTTATCAATGTTTCTTCAATCTCATTAAAATCAGAGCTTAGTTCTCGCTGCCGCTAAACAAAGATCTCAGGACATCTCATTACGGGTGATGTCATATTGACCTTTTGCGAACTCTGACCGACCAATGGACCAGTCGACATTAGCCAATCAGAAGGCAGCTTTCTTGTACTTTAGGGCACTAATTTCAAATTGCCGACTACGCTTCGAAACATATTTTGACAAATTCTCACTTAAAAATTTGAAACCTGAACAAAAGAACATTCTGGAATGGCTAATATATGGTCTAGATTGTATAGATTCAGTCGTTAAGCCCGTAACTATCATTTGGAATACCCTGTTTTAAAGTTTTCGAGGTTGCATGATTAGAAATCACATTCTGACCGTCACTTTCATGATCTGGTAAGCGACGCTCTGATTGGTTGGATGAAAGGTCGTTCTGACATGACCCATAAGGGGATGTCCTCAGATCTTTGTTTGTAGCGAGAACTAAGATCTGATTTTAATGAGATTGATATTCTTAAAAGTATGGTTTAAAAATTTGGTGCTAGCCAATTTGTTTGGGTAGGTTGAAAGAAAAATAGAAAAGAATATGTAGTTCCAAACTTTTTTCATTAAATTTTTTGGCATAAAGTTGTGAAAAACAATTTAAACTATTTTTTTTTTTTTTTATTGTGTTTTTTTTAGTCCAGTCGTGCAAATCCAAAAATAAAAAAAGTGTTGAATCCGAGTGTGGGGAGTTCTAGAGTGGAGAGACTTGGGCTAAATATATCTTTTGGTAATGGTCCAATAACATATGCATTGTCATAATGAGATGTCTGATTTGTTGCAGAAATGGAGGATACAGCACATCCCCTCTGTCTGGCAGATACTGTGGCTCTTCGACACCTCCCAGCATTGTGTCTCATAGCAACCAGATGTATATCAAGTTTAAATCTGACGCGTCTTTCTCTGCTCGAGGTTTCATGATATCCTACGATGGAACTGCTACAGGTTTGTATGGATTTCCCCTACATGCCTGTAGTATGTGGAAAAATAAATGACTAAACCATTTCCATAATCATAAGAAATCTCTGCTATAACCGGACTTCACTGTACAATGCCTACCGTATCATAAGCATGCGTCCAAGAATATCCATCAAACAGTGACAACACCAGGGTTTTGGTTGTAATTGTACTGGTTTGTCTAAGAATAGCTTTGAAAGTGGATATATAGAGAATCTCACCCGAGTGTCTTTTGATATCAAATTTATCAACACGAGTTGATAAAAGTGGAAAAACTCAAAGGCTTGACTACGAGTTAATCCACTTTTATCAACTAGTGTCATGGTCACCAGTGACATCACAATGGTCTACAAAGCATTGTGATGCAATTTCGTTGCAGTGATATCTACAATGTAGATATCTCTTGATCTCACCCAAGCGATATCTCCTTTTAGAACCAGTTTTGGATGATACATTTCCCTTCGCTATGTGTTTTAATATAGACAGGCATTATTTTCTCCCTGTGGGCTGGTTGGGTTTTCCAGGATTTCCATGTTACTGTTTCCAGGTTGCGGTGCTGATCTAACCACTCCTACCGGCAGCTTCATATCTCCAAACTACCCGATGCCATACGGCCATAATGCCGAATGTTTCTGGACTGTGACCACCTCTCTGGGAAGCACAATTACCTTGACCTTTACAGACTTTGACATTGAGTCTCACACTACATGCGGGTTTGACTATGTCCTGGTAAGTTCAGCTCTTGTCATCTTCTCACACATGTACTCTCTCACCCTCTTCTCCAACTCACATTCCTATCCAACTACTCACATTCCCACCCAACTGACATTCCCACCCAGCTCACATTCCCATCCAACTCACATTCCCATCCAACTCACATTCCCATCCAACTCACATTCCCACCCAACTCACATTCCCATCCAACTCACATTCCCGCCCAACTCACATTCCCGCCCAACTCACATTCCCAACCAACTCACATTCCCGCCCAACTCACATTCCCACCCAACTCACATTCTCACCCAACTCACATTCCTGCCCAACTCACATTCCCACCCAACTCACATTCCCACCCAGCTCACATTCCTATCCAACTCACATTCCCACCCAACTCACATTCTCACCCAACTCACATTCCCATCCAACTCACATTCCCGCCCAACTCACATTCCCACCCAACTCACATTCTCACCCAACTCACATTCCTGCCCAACTCACATTCCCACCCAACTCACATTCCCACCCAGCTCACATTCCCATCCAACTCACATTCCCACCCAACTCACATTCTCACCCAACTCACATTCCCATCCAACTCACATTCCCACCCAACTCACATTCTCACCCAACTCACATTCCCACCCAACTCACATTCCCGCCCAACTCACATTCCCACCCAGCTCACATTCCCATCCAACTCACATTCCCACCCAACTCACATTCTCACCCAACTCACATTCCCGCCCAACTCACATTTCCACCCAACTCACATTCCCACCCTTGTAATCACTCAGTCTCTCACCCATGTACTCTCTCGCCCTCTTCTTGAACTCACATTCTCACCCAACTCACATTCTCACACTATTCACATTCTCACCGATGAACTCTCTCACCCTCTTCCCCAACCTACTCACATTCCCACTCTACTCACCTCTCACCTGGGGGCACAAGTGAGCCAGCCACAAAGGCGCCTACCCATCCACCCACTCACTCACTCATCACTCACTCACTCACTCACTCACTCACTCACTCACTCACTCACTCACTCTGTGTTGTAGGTCCGTGATGGGGACTCTGGGGGCAACCAACTGGCCAGGCTCTGCGGCAACACTATCCCCAGCCCGGTCGTATCCACCAACAACACAATCTGGATTAAATACAGGACCGATTTCTCCGTGGCTGGACGTGGCTTCCAGGCTGTTTATGCCTCAAGTAGGATGATATTATATATTGTCTCATGCTTTCACAATTCCATCAATTCTCAACTATTAATTTCTGTTGTCTGTCTTCCAACTGTTTTTACCAACTATTATGATTGTATATTATACATGATGCTCATTCATTGTAATAAGTATCAACACTTGTCACCCTTCTGTTTTGATAAAAAAAGTTCTCATCTTGAAAGGTTTAAATCCTAATCATAAGTGTTGAAGAAAAAAATTAAAAATTTTAGCTTGATAGTTGACCTTTTTCAACCTTAATTCACTGACATACATCTGTTTGAATATTTCAGAACTTATTTTTAACGTTAAGTACATTTTATTTATCAACATTTATGTAATTCCTTTTAGATATTTTTGTAATATTATTACAAGTATAGCTGAACTGTAAATGTTTGTGTAATTCAGCATGCAACAACCGACTGACCGCATTCAGTGGGGTCATCGAGAGTCCAAACTTCCCAAACCCCTATCCTCACAGGCGCAACTGTACCTGGATCATCGACACCACTCTCGGCAACACCATCAACGTCTCCTTCTCCAACTTTGACATCGAATCACACAGTTCATGCAATTATGACTATCTTCAGGTTGGTGATTGAGTTTTGAGGAGGCACCAATGGCACAGTAGGCTAAGGTGCCACAAATCCCTGCGCAGTGAGTGAGGAGGGTTTTGTGCCACCTTTTGCAATATTTATGCAATGGGGTCACTGTGCAGAGTTGCATCCCTTAAGCAAACCAGGATCCAATATTTGTTGGCTCCAATCCATGTACCATACAATTTTTAAATCTAAACAAGCATGAGATACCGGTAATGTTCATTCTGCCTGAAACCCTTCAAAGTTGTGAACTTCTAAGTAATATCATTCAATGTATATATATTTGTTTGCAACCATCTTCCCAAGACAAGGAAGTTAACTGACTATAAAAGCCCAGTTTCCACCGCCGAACAGGCTGGAATTATGGAGTTATATTTGGCTGGACTAACGAGTCTATGCATAGTCCAAACAAAATCGCGTGACAAAATCGAAATCCGGTACGTAAACTGCCATTGAGATATCTGTCCATTGCAGGATTTGCAATGCATGTGTACTGCCAACTTAGCATCAACAGATATTTTCCAAATCTGTTCCTGTTTTTAATCAAGATGCTCACATGATTTGATGAACTTCGCAAAATAACGTCTTTTGAGTGATATGTTTTTCCTTTTTAGATCCGCGATGGCGACTCTCCCTCTGATGATCCTATCGGAACCTATTGTGGATCTTCTTTGCCACCAATGTTTGCCTCATCTGGAAGCAGTCTCTGGATCAACTTCTTGTCTGATTCGTCCGTGGCAAGGAATGGCTTCCGCCTGCAATGGATGACAGATGGTGAGCGGAGATCAGTATTTTGTTAAATAAAACAAGTGAACATATTTTCAGATTTTGAAATAACATTTCCAAATTGGACTAGCATTATTGAATGTTGCTTTTCCGTTTTGACTTTTATATGGAATAATTGATTAGTTTGGGTTGTGGGGCAGCCTAAGGCTTAAAAGGGATTATTAGGATTTTTTTTATTTAAAAAAAAATATGGAATTATAAAGGAAATATGCGGCAGACTTTATGATGATGCAGGAGGTGCCTGAGAACCAAGACTCCCTCACTAACCCACCCACCCACCCACTCAGAATAAGATGGCAATAAAGTAAGATGGTCACCTCTAGGGACGATTGATCATGAACTGTCCTCTTTAGGTTGTGGTGGCGATTTGATTGGAACATCAGGCACATTCTCAAGTCCCAACTTCCCCAATGCTTACCCCCACCGGCGCCAGTGTGACTGGAGAATCAGCGTTCCCACAGGAAGTGCTGTCCAGCTCACCATCTCTCCGTTTGACCTGGAGTCTCACACACAGTGCCGCTTTGATGTGCTAGAGGTGAGAATTTGCTATGTTGTTCTTGAGAAATTCTTATGATGTCCTTGACATGAGGAATTGTTATGATATCTGAGATGTGAGAATTTTTGGTGGTTACAAGGCTTTAGAGGTGGGAAGTTTTAACGTTATCCTAGAGTAGAGAACTTGCTACGATGTCTGAGATGTGAGAACTTGTAACATTGTCCGCGTGTTGAAAACTTGCTACAATGTCTTAGAGTTGGAATATGATGTCCTTGGGATGAGAAATGGTTACGATGTCTTAGAAATGGAAACTGTTTTACATTTCCTAGAGAAGAGAACTTGTTTTGATGTCGTAGAGTAGGAACGTGACATCCTAGGGATGAGAAATGGTTACAATGTCTTAGAAATGGAAACTGTTTTACATTTCCTAGAGTAGAGAACATGCCACGATGTCTTAGAGTAGGAACGTGATGGCCTGGGGATGAGAAATTGTTATGATATCTCAGATATGAGAACTGTTGGTGGTCACGAGGTCTTAGAGGTGGGAATTTTTAACGGTATCCAAGAGTAGAGAACGTGTCTTAGAGTAGGAACGTGATGTCCTGGAGCTGGGAAATGGTTAAGCTGTTTTAAAAACGGGAACTTTTTTACATTTCCTAGAATAGAGAACTTGCCAAGATATCTTAGATTAGGAATATGATGTCCTATTGATTGAAAATTGTTTTCTTGTCCTAGATGTGACTTATTGTACTACAAGTGTGACATTTTTAATTGTCACGTTAAGAGAAGCCCTATAACATACAACATCCAGCAGGTATTCCATGGTATATGGTAATATGTTCCAGGTGTATGGGGGCCCTGATGAGTCTGCTAATCGACTGACTCAGCTGTGCCACACTCAAACAACACCCCAGATCCTCACCTCCACCGGCAACACCATGTTCGTCAGATTCAAGAGTGACTCCAGCGTCAGCGGCACGGGCTTCAATGCTACCTTCACTGCGATCCCAGGAGGTAAGACACCAGGTGTTCACTGCGATCCAATGAGGTAAGACACCAGGCGTTCACTGCAATCCCAGGAGGTAAGACACCAGGTGGTTGCTGCAATCCCAGGAGGTAAGACACCAGGTGTTCACTGCGATCCCAGGAGGTAAGACACCAGGTGTTCACTGTGATCCCAGGAGGTAAGACACCAGGAGTTCACTGTGATCCCAGGAGGTAAGACACCAGGTGTTCACTGCGATCCCAGGAGGTAAGACACCAGGTGTTATGTGATCCCAGGAGGTAAGACACCAGGAGTTCACTGCAATCCCAGGAGGTAAGACACCAGGAGTTCACTGCGATCCCAGGAGGTAAGACACCAGGTGTTCACTGCAATCCCAGGAGGTAAGACACCAGGAGTTCACTGCGATCCCAGGAGGTAAGACACCAGGTGTTCACTGCAATCCCAGGAGGTAAGACACCAGGAGTTCACTGCGATCCCAGGAGGTAAGACACCAGGTGTTCACTGCAATCCCAGGAGGTAAGACACCAGGAGTTCACTGCGATCCCAGGAGGTAAGACACCAGGTGTTCACTGCAATCCCAGGAGGTAAGACACCAGGAGTTCACTGCGATCCCAGGAGGTAAGACACCAGGTGTTCACTGCAATCCCAGGAGGTAAGACACCAGGAGTTCACTGTGATCCAATGAGGTAAGACATCAGGTGTTCACTGCGATCCCAGGAGGTAAGACACCAGGAGTTCACTGTGATTCCAGGAGGTAAGACACCAGGAGTTCACTGCGATCCCAGGAGGTAAGACACCAGGAGTTCACTGTGATCCCAGGAGGTAAGACACCAGGAGTTCACTGTGATCCCAGGAGGTAAGACACCAGGTGTTCACTGTGATCCAATGAGGTAAGACATCAGGTGTTCACTGCGATCCCAGGAGGTAAGACACCAGGTGTTCACTGTGATCCCAGGAGGTAAGACACCAGGAGTTCACTGTGATCCAATGAGGTAAGACATCAGGTGTTCACTGCGATCCCATGAGGTAAGACACCAGGTGTTCACTGTGATCCAATGGGGTAAGACACCAGGAGTTCACTGTGATCCCAGGAGGTAAGACACCAGGAGTTCACTGTGATCCCAGGAGGTAAGACACCAGGTGTTCACTGCGATCCAATGTGGTAAGACATCAGGTGTTCACTGCGATCCCAGAAGGTAAGACACCAGGAGTTCACTGTGATCCAATGTGGTAAGACATCAGGTGTTCACTGCGATCCCAGAAGGTAAGACACCAGGTGTTCACTGTGATCTCAGAAAGTGATACACCAGGTGTTCACTGTGATCTCAGGAAGTGATACACCAGGTGTTCAATGTGTTCCCAGGAGGTAGAACACCAGGCATTCAATGTGTTCCCAGGAGGTAAAACACCAGGCATTCAATGTGTTCCCAGGAGGTAAGACACCAGGCGTTCACTGCAATCCCAGGAGGTAAAACACCAGGCATTCAATGTGTTCCCAGGAGGTAAAACACCAGGCATTCAATGTGTTCCCAGGAGGTAAGACACCAGGCGTTCACTGAAATCCCAGGAGGTAAAACACCAGGCATTCAATGTGTTCCCAGGAGGTAAAACACCAGGTGTTCAATGTGTTCCCAGGAGGTAAAACACCAGGCATTCAATGTGTTCCCAGGAGGTAAAACACCAGGCATTCAATGTGTTCCCAGGAGGTAAGACACCAGGCGTTCACTGAATCCCAGGAGGTAAAACACCAGGCGTTCAATGTGTTCCCAGGAGGTAAGACACCAGGCGTTCACTGCAATCCCAGGAGGTAAAACACCAGGCATTCAATGTGTTCCCAGGAGGTAAAACACCAGGCGTTCAATGTGTTCCCAGGAGGTAAGACACCAGGCGTTCACTGCAATCCCAGGAGGTAAAACACCAGGCATTCAATGTGTTCCCAGGAGGTAAAACACCAGGCATTCAATGTGTTCCCAGGAGGTAAAACACCAGGCGTTCAATGTGTTCCCAGGAGGTAAGACACCAGGTGGTCACTGCAATCCCAGGAGGTAAAACACCAGGCGTTCACTGCAATCCCAGGAGGTAAAACACCAGGCGTTCAATGTGTTCCGAGGAGGTAAAACACCAGGCGTTCACTGCAATCCCAGGAGGTAAGATGTTCACTGCTGTTCCCAGGGGTTCACTGCAATCATAATAGGTGAGATAAATGTGGTGTCTACATTGATGACTGCTATGCCTATTTAAAAAAATCTGAGGACAAGTTATTTTTTTAAGCATTTTCAGAACCATGATTCAAAAAAGAAAGAAATCCGAATCCAAATGTTTTCAGAATAGGAAATGATGAGCTCATACTAAGGGGGTATGTGTTTTAATAATAAATATTTCAGTATATCCATCAATCTCATTAAAATCAGACCTTAGTTCTCACTACCGCTAAACAAAGATCTGAAGACATCCCATTAGGGGTCAGGTCAGAATGACCTTTCATCCGACCAATCAGAGCGTCGCTTACCAGATTATGAAAGTGACAGTCGGAATCTGATTTCTAATCATGCAATCTCGAAAACTTTAACATTGGGTATTCCGAACGATAGTTACAGGTTTAAAGGCTGAAACCTTACAATCTAGACCATCTATTAGCCATTCCAGAATGTTTTTTTGTTCAGGTTTCAAATTTGTAATCGAGAATTTGTCAAAATATGTTTCGAAGCGAAGTCGCCAATTTGAAATTAGTGCCGTAAAGCACGAGAAAGCTGCCTTCTGATTGGTCATTCCATTGGTCGGTCAGAGTTCGCGCAAGGTCGGTCTGACGTGACCCGTAATGGGATGTCCTCAGATCTTTGTTTAGCGGTAGCCAGAACTAAGATCTGATTTTAATGAGATTGGTATATCCATTACAATATATCAGTTCATAATGTATTCCAACCAGGTTTGGAAATGTTGTTTGTAAAAGAGGTCACTGTTCACATTGTACAGACAAGAGAAAAAATAAGCATTGTTTTTGTCCTAGGTTGTGGAGGGTTTTTCAGTTCCCGCACTGGCTCAATTTTCTCCAAGAACTACCCCAATGCCTATCCACACAACACCGACTGTCAGTGGCTGATCCAGCTGGAGGAGAACCGCCCCGTGGAGCTCACATTTGTAGACTTTGACGTGGAAGGCTCCTCAACATGTAGTTTTGACTATGTTACTGTAAGTGTGAAGGTTCTGCAAATCCTTTTGATGTTCATCCCCTATATCTCCAGGGCTCGCATTTTGGTAAACCTACACTAACCCCTGGATCCATTCCTGTACGTGTGGATCCATTTTCTGTGGATCCATTCCTGTACATGTGGATCCATTCCTGTACATGTGGATCCATTTTCTGTGGATCCATTCCTGTACATGTGGATCCATTCCTGTACATGTGGATCCATTCCTGTACATGTGGATCCATTCCTGTACATGTGGATCCATTCCTGTACATGTGGATCCATTCCTGTGGATCCATTCCTGTGGTTCTCGTGATCTCAAAATACCCGCCCTAGATGTTCAGAGATGTAGAGGATGCATGCGTCTGTCTGTCTGTCTGTCTGTCTGTCTGTCTGTCTGTCTAGGACATATATTCATTTCCACTAAAACATGATTGAGCATATGATATGACATTTCCTTGTTGAGTAAAATACTGGAATACAGTACTGACTACCATTGGACTTGGAAAATTTAAGGATTATTTTGGGTTTTTTAAATGGAAATAAAAAAGAAATATGCGGCGAACTTTATGATGATGTGGGCGGTGCCTGAGAACCAAGACTATTTTTTTGGCCTTATTGTTTGTTTCTTATTTTGATTAGATGATGAAATGTTGATGCATATAAACGTTATGTGGGGTAAAGGGAGATTATCACCCTCACGTCTTTTGATCTGAAATATACCAACTCTCATTGGTGGAAGTTTAATACTTTTATTGATGTGTGGTCTATATAAATTTACCCGTATATACGGAAATTCAGTTTCCGGAACCGGATGGTCATTTTCATATGCAAAACACTGAAATGCACACAAAATTGTCTCACTTACCCGGACAATACACTTCTGCTGGTGGTAATCCTTCGGCTGGTGGTAATCCTTTGAATCGTGAAAAGTCAATTAACCAAGTGACACTGAGTTACGTTTGAGACGAGCTTGTTGATTGGCTTTATTGTACTTGGCTTAACAAACAGAACATTTTTTAACTCTTGAAATTTGTTTTTGATTGAGTAAGGTTTAATGCCGCTTTGAAAAGTATTTCATCTATGTCCAAGCCTATGATTACATAGAAAACTATTGTGCCTAAGACAGGTGGGCCGACCAACTGTGTCCCCAGTTAGTTAGTATATCAAGATGTTGATACATGATTTGTTTTATCATTATTTATGATTTATTAACGGCAGGTGAATGATGGGGACAATGATAACTCGACGGAACTACTGAAACACTGTGGTAATGCCCTCCCTACTCCAGTCACGTACAGATCCTCCAGCAACCAGATGTACGTGCGGATGAGAACAGACTTCTCTGTTTCCGGCAGAGGCTTCAAGGCTAATTACGTCTCGGGTATGCTGGCGGCACAAGTCTGGCTTGGTCATCATCTGTGTTCACATCTGCTCCGAACCCCATTTACAACACCATTTGCATTCAACAACCTCTCTGAACCTCATTTACAACATCTGTGTTCACAACCTCCCTGAACCCCATTTTCAACACCATCTGTGTTCACAACCTCTCTGAACCTCATTTACATCATCTGTGTTCACCTCTCTGAACCCCATTTACAACACCATCTGTGTTCACAACCTCTCTGAACCTCATTTACAACATCTTCTGTGTTCACATCCTCTCTGAACCCCATTTACAACACCATCTGTGTTCACCTCTCTGAACCTCATTTACAACATCTGTGTTCACATCCTCTCTGAACCTCATTTACAACACCATCTGTGTTCACATCCTCTCTGAACATCTTTTACAACACCATCTGTGTTCACATCCCCCCTGAACCTCATTTACAACACCATCTGTGTTCACATCCTCTCTGAACCTCTTTTACAACACCATCAGTGTTCACATCCCCCCTAAACCTCATTTACAACACCATCTGTGTTCACATCCTCTCTGAACCTCATTTACAACATCTGTGTTCACATCCTCTCTGGAACTAGCAATTGTTTTAGGCTCCTAGCCACCTGATACAATGTCTCAAGTGCGAGTATTCTAGCTGAAACGTTCATTCCTTGTGTCTACAGCATGTGGCGGTGTGAAGAACGCCGAGACGGATGGCGTGCTCACCTCCTCCAACTACCCCAGCAGCTACGACAGGAACAGCAACTGCACATGGCTGATCCAGGCCGACCACAACAGTAGGTGTCCATGTCATCTTATGGACCTGAATGTAAATTAACATGTATGGGTCTTTACAGGGTCACAGAATTGAACTTGGAGGGAAGATGGGAATTGGAAAAGAACATATTACAGGAAATTTAATATTGTTCAATTCGGGGACAAACAAATATTTCAATATGATAGGAATCTTGTGTCATCTTGTGTTGAGGAATCTTTGTTCAGTTCCTGCCAGAAGGCAACACAATCATGTTTTGTAAGACTGACAATACATTAATGTGTTTTTATCAATCCTGCCAGGTCACATTGCTATGGAAAATGGGTGGTGGGGTAGCCTAGTAGTTAACGCATTCGAAGGTCTGGGTTTGATTTCCCACATGAGTACAATACGTAAAGCCCATTTTTGTGTCGCCCCCAGTGATATTGCTGTAAGATTGCTTAAAGTGGTGTAAAATCCAACTCACTCACTCAGTTGGCAGATAAGACCAGCATGCATTGGTAACACAAACATCCAGGTTATGATCCCATTTCACATGTGTATCTTACCCGTGAAAATCCGGGGTTGAATAGGTCTTCAGCAACCTATGCTTGCCGTGAAAAGTGACTATGCTTGTCGTAAGAGGCGACAAAAGGGATCGGGTGGTCACGCTCGCTGAGTTGCTTGATGCACGTCATCGATCCCAATTGCGTGGATCGATGCTCTTGATGTCAATCACTGGATTGTCTGGTACAGACTCGATTATTTACAGACCGCCGTGATATAGGTGGAATATTGCTGAGTGCGGCGTTACACAACAAACAAACAAACAAACAAACGATGCTTCATCTCAGTCCATCAAGTGGTTTGAAAGAAGAATTGGAACAGGTTGTTTTTGTGACATTGTCTACAAGTTTGTTTGGCGATCATGATGTGTATCTAAATCTGATGACCTTCTGTTGACAGGTGATCGTGTGACCTTGACATTCACACACATGGACGTTGAAAGTCGAGGCAGTTGTTCCCGTGACTATGTGAAGGTGCTTGACGGTAACGATGCCAACTCCCCAGAGCTTGGAACATATTGTGGCAACACAGTTCCAAGTCCAATACAATCACAAGGATCGGCCATGTTTGTGATTTTCATGTCAGACGCTTCCATCCAAGGAACCGGATTCAGAGCCACATACACCAAATCATCCTCCAGTTAGTAATTCATGAATTCATAATACGTGAGAAGATTTGATATTTAGGCAATATCATTAAAACGAAGACAAATGAACATTTGACAAAATTTAATGGAAACATGTCTCATACCTGACATAAATGACATGAATTAGATCAAATACAATGGGGTGTTTTAGTTTTTTTTAGTTTTTAAAAAATATAGTTTTGTAATTTATATCATTTCATTGTTGAAATTGTGCATTTTATGGAGAGGATTTTAGATTTATTGGAAATGTAAGCTAATCTAATATGAAATTGATCAGTGTGGTTCCCTGATGATTGCCATTCTATAATCCTCACCACTTGAAATAGAATCACGAAATATTGAGATGATATTCCTCACCACTTGAAATAGAAGCATGAAATATTGAGATGACAGTCCTCACCACTTGAAATAGAATCACGAAATATTGAGATGATATTCCTCACCACTTGAAATAGAATCACGAAATATTGAGATGATATTCCTCACCACTTGAAATAGAATCACGAAATATTGAGATGATATTCCTCACCACTTGAAATAGAATCACGAAATATTGAGATGATATTCCTCACCACTTGAAATAGAAGCATGAAATATTGAGATGACAGTCCTCACCACTTGAAATAGAAGCATGAAATAGTGAGATGACAGTCCTCACCACTTGAAATAGATGCACGAAATATTGAGATGATAGTCCTCACCACTTGAAATAGAATCACGAAATATTGAGATGACAGTCCTCACCACTTGAAATAGAATCATGAAATAGTGAGATGACAGTCCTCACCACTTGAAATAGAATCATGAAATATTGAGATGACAGTCCTCACCACTTGAAATAGAATCACGAAATATTGAGATGACAGTCCTCACCACTTGAAATAGAATCATGAAATAGTGAGATGACAGTCCTCACCACTTGAAATAGAATCATGAAATATTGAGATGATATTCCTCACCACTCGAAATAGAAGCATGAAATATTGAGATGATAGTCCTCACCACTTGAAATAGAATCATGAAATATTGAGATGACAGTCCTCACCACTTGAAATAGAAGCATGAAATATTGAGATGACAGTCCTCACCACTTGAAATAGAAGCATGAAATATTGAGATGACAGTCCTCACCGCTTGAAATAGAAGCATGAAATATTGAGATGATATTCCTCACCACTCGAAATAGAATCACGAAATATTGAGATGATAGTCCTCACCACTTGAAATAGAATCATGAAATAGTGAGATGACAGTCCTCACCACTTGAAATAGAAGCATGAAATATTGAGATGATAGTCCTCACCACTTGAAATAGAATCACGAAATATTGAGATGACAGTCCTCACCACTTGAAATAGAATCATGAAATAGTGAGATGACAGTCCTCACCACTTGAAATAGAATCATGAAATATTGAGATGATATTCCTCACCACTCAAAATAGAAGCATGAAATATTGAGATGACAGTCCTCACCACTTGAAATAGAAGCATGAAATAGTGAGATGATATTCCTCACCACTTGAAATAGAATCACGAAATATTGAGATGATATTCCTCACCACTTGAAATAGAATCATGAAATAGTGAGATGACAGTCCTCACCACTTGAAATAGAATCATGAAATAGTGAGATGACAGTCCTCACCACTTGAAATAGAAGCACGAAATATTGAGATGATAGTCCTCACCACTTGAAATAGAAGCATGAAATAGTGAGATGATATATCAATGAATATAGCTGCCTATGTGCCAGTACTTATAAAGTGAAAAGAAAGACTGTATAGATCTGTCTACGTCTTTAGTGAAAACAAGTCATTCAAGCGATGAGGAATATTACTTATTATAAATATTACAGTAATGACAGAAATGGCAAAATGTGTGTTTCAAGAAACATGGTCATTGAGTTTTGATCACATGGTTACAAGCAGGAATGACTTGTTTTCACTTTATAAGTAATACCACACTATCTTACTAACACAATATTTCATTATTCTATTTCAAGTGGCAAGGACTATAGGACTAGAAACAATATTTTTAGTAAAATATGTGGAACAGCGACAATGTCCCTGTGTAATACGATTAATTGTTAACTACCCAATACTTATATCCTGAAATGACAAAGTGAGTTTTAGGTAACTTGTTTCAAACTAGTAAGTACTGTGAAATGACCCAGGCGTCATCTAGTTCACTGTGCAGAGTTGAATCACTTGGGCAAACCAGAAATTGAGGGTTCAAATCCCGGTACCCCCGATTATGTTTCTAGGTTTGTCAGCACCATTCCCATGTTCATGGATTTTACCAAAGTGGTAAATGTCTGAGACCTACATCACTTTGGGTTTTTCCCCACCTTAAGCTGACAGACTGTGATATACCGGGGTAATTGGAATACCGTTCAAATCGGCACTAAAATCAACTCGCTCACTAACTTATTGTCAATTGGCCCTAGTTTCATTGGCTGCAACCTTCACCTTACAGGTTGTGGTGGAACGTACACTGCGCAGAGCGGATCCTTCACCAGTCCCGGCTACCCCAACAGTTACCCCGGCAACACGGAGTGTGTGTGGACCTTTCAGGCCGCACCCGGCAACAGTCTCATGGTGTCATTTAGGTAGATAGACAAAGATGTTTCAACATGGGGAATTATTGCTGGATAGGTTTTCGATCCTGGATCTGTCTCAACATTGGGAATTATTGCTGGATAGGTTTTTCGATCCTGGATCTGTCTCAACATTGGGAATTATTGCTGGATAGGTTTTTCGATCCTGGATCTGTCTCAACATTGGGAAGTATTGCTGGATAGGTTTTCGATCCTGGATCTGTCTCAACATTTGGAATTATTGCTGGATAGGTTTTCGATCCTGGATCTGTCTCAACATTGGGAAATATTGCTGGATAAGTTTTCGATCCTGGATGTGTCTCGAACATTGGGATTCATAGCATGATGGGGCTGGTACACTACATTCAACTTGTGGTGTCAAAGAGTATCTGTTCCTGTAGTGAAATTGTTCCTTTGTATTAATTTTCTCTTGGGGACCTATTCCCTGGGAACCTGGGAACAGCTTTCACTAGGAACATTTTTCTAGAAAGCATTTACACTGGCAATATTTCTTCTGGATGTAACTATTTCCATGTGGAATTGATTATCGTTGACAGTTGCAGATGTGCTGTCTTCCTAGGATTTTTGTTTGTTTATTTATTTGTTTGTTGTTTAACGCCACACTCGGCAATATTCTAGCTATATGTCGGCGGTCTGTAAATAATCGAGTCTGGACCAGACAATCCAGTGATTGACATCATAAGCATCGATCCATGCAATTGGAATACGATGACATGCATTAACCAAGTCAGCGAGTCTGACTACTCAATCCCGTAAGTCGCCTTATATGGCAAAAATGGGTTACTGAAGAGCAATTCTGACCCGGATCTTCATCTTTTTAGGCAATAAACTAGGTTCCAAATATGCCCCTTGGGGTGTATACTCCCCAGGGAGAAGAGAATGAAATTTGAGAGCTGTAGTATGTTTAGTTTCATATTTATGATGAGTGATCACTACATCATTTTATGTTAGTTTTGCTATATTATTCCAAAGCTTTGTTGATGATGACAGAATTACTGATGTGAATATTAGGTATAGGTTCATGGTGATGAAACATTTTTTGAATTTTTAAGATTGTATGTAACGCTCCACCAACAATAGTAGGGAAAATGTCTGATAGATCATTCGTCAGCTGAACTGGTAGCTAAATGGTCCCTTCTTCTAAAACCATTGGGGGAAACGGGTGGCCCAGTCGTTTAAGGTGCCACGATTTGCTGTCCAGAGTTGCATCCCTTGGGCACGCTAGAAACCTGTGATTGTGGGTTCGAATCCCGGTTCGCTCCGGTTATGTTTCTAGGTTTGTCAGCACCATACCCGTGCTCGTGGGTTTCACCGAAGTGGTAAACGTCTGAGATCTGCATCTCTTCGGGCTTTCCTCCATAATTACACTGACACGCCATGATATAACTGGAATAATGTTTAAAGCGGCGTTAAACCCAACTCACTCTAAAACCATTGATGCTTTATGTTTCAGTCAATTTGCTTTAGTTCGATCCTCCAACTGTTTCTCTGACTACCTGGAGATGAGGACTGGAGGCGCCAGTGGGGCTCTGATCGGTCGCTTCTGTGGAAGCAGTCTCCCTAGCAACATGACTGCTGCAAATAGTATATGGATAAAGTTCAGGTCCGACGGCAGTGGAACATCAACAGGATTTTTGGCCCAGTATAACTCTGGTGAGTGAGTGAGTGAGATTCTGGTGAGATGTTACACAGCTTTGTGCCTTCAGTGAGTGAGTGAGTTTGATTTTATGCTGATTTTAGCAATATTCCAGCAATATCACGGTGGGGGACACCAGAAATGGGCTTCACACATTGTACCCATGTCGGGAATCGAACCCCGGTCGAACGCTTTAGCAACTAGTCTACCCGACCGCCCCTTTATGCCTTCAGCCGATAATATCTCCCCAGGGAGCTGAGAATAAAATACAAATGCACTCTGATGCATAATTATTACTGCTATCATACAAGCCATGAAAAAATTGATTGATAGATTAATTATGTCATTATGGCCTATGGTTATTTCGGTACAGATATATCAGTCTAATTTTTGGAAGAGATAAATTTAATAAAGCAGTTTCATTACTGAGTTTAGGGGCATGGAAAAAATGGGTATAATGGTGTTAAAATTTGACAGTTTGTGCTTGATGTGGTGGTCTTTTCTGAACCAAAATTTATAATGTTTAGTGTAATAAGCATCCAGTATATTTCGTTATGTTATTTTTCTGATTTTACTTAATAACTACATGCAATGCAATGCTGTGTTTTTTTCAAAAGTGTTTGGAGGAACCATCACGGGATTGTCTGGTCAGATTGCCTCCCCAGGCTATCCTGGTCAATACCCCCATCAGGTGGACTATGCCTGGACCATCACCACCACAGTTGGGATGAGGATCAGAGTCAACTTTGTCTTCATTGATATAGAAGTGTCATTCGGGGGAAACTGTTACTATGACTACATTAGGGTAAGGTATTTTTTCATGATCCCAAAATATGATACATGTAATCCTGCAAAGTTGAAATATATCAGAAATTATCAAGAGCATCCCCAAGCGTCTTCCACTATTTTACTCATCAAGGAATACATTTATGTGGGGAGGCCCTTTCCCAGGTTGATTGTACAAAGTTGTTTATCTGGTTACACAAGTGTATATTTGGTTACACAACTGTTTATTTGGTTACGTACTAGTTTGAACAACAACAAAAAAAAAGAAGAAAAAAAAGGACACCACCCGCCCACACTATATTTACAAAAACCATTGCCTGAGAACCAGTTCTTTTATTTTTTGAAGCCTTATGAATTAGTTAAAAGAGATATGGAGGTTGGAGCCCTCGTAGTTAACCAGAGCTGCATCTGACATCGTAATTAGACATTCCATGGAAAACAAATGTAATATGGGAATTTTGTTTGCACACAAAAGGGTTACATGTATACAACACAAATAATTAAAAATAGGGGGTGCCATTGATGAGGATGGAGTACATTTAATTATAAAATAATTATAGATTTTTAACAAATATTTTGTACATCTACATTTTTACAAAGGGCAAGATATGAGTGCCCTTTTTTTACCAGCGTGATATAAGGGCCCTTTTTTACCAGCAAGATATGAGTGCCCTTTTTTTACCAGTGCGATATGAGAAGGGTCCTTTGTTACCAGGACGATATGATAAGGGCCCTTTTTTACCAGCAAGATATGATAAGGGTCCTTTTTTACCAGCAAGATATGATAAGGGTCCTTTTTTCCAGCAAGATATGACAAGGACCCTTTTTTACCAGCAAGATATGATAAGGGCCCTTTTTTACCAGCAAGATATGATAAGGATCCTTTTTTACCAGCAAGATATGATAAGGGCCCTTTTTCCCAGCAATATATGATAAGTGTAGGGTCCTTTTTTACCAGCAAGATATGATAAGTGTCCTTTTTTACCAGCAAGATATGCTAAGGGTCCTTTTTTCCCAGCAAGATATGATTAGGGTCCTTTTTTCCCAGCAAGATATGGTTAGGGTCCTTTTTTACCAGCAAGATATGATAAGTGTCCTTTTTTACCAGCAAGATAAATGATAAGGACCTTTTTTCCCAGCAAGATATAATAAGGGTTTTTCCCAGTAAGAAAAATGATAAGGGTTTTTCCCAGTAAGATAAATGAAAGGGTTTTTTGCCAGCAAGATAAATGATAAGGGTTTTTACCATCAAATTAAATGATAAGGGTTTTTACCAGCAAGATAGATGATAAGGGTTTTTACCAGCCAGATATGCATAGTTTAAGAAATAAGCAAAACCTCAGCAAACTGGTCTTCAGCAACCCATGCTTGTCTCTCTCAGTGAAGATCTGGGTAAGAATAGGTCTTCAGCAACCAATGCATGTCGTAAGAGGCAACTAACGGTATCAGGTGGTCAGACTCGCTTATTTTGTTGATGCATGTCATTGTATTCCAATCGTAAAAATTGATGCTCATGATGTCAATCACTGTGTTGTCTAGTCCAGTCTTTATTTTTAGCCTGCCGTCATAAAGCTCGAATATTGTTGAGTGTAGCTTTAAACTACAAAAATGTAAGCAAAATCTAATGGATGAAAACTAGGCTTGGTTCAATTCAAGTATGGCATGTTTGGAATTTAAATAAAACACTGAATGCATAGATGAGGTTAAATTGTGTCGAAAGGGCTGATTTCAAACTTTTTCAGGAATATTTCTAATATTTCAACTTTAGTAAATCTTTGCCCAAAGCTGATTTCTTAGTAGAAAAAAACAAGTACAAACATATTATAACACGTACAATCCATCTTGTCATACGTAGATTTACTCTTGAAGTGAGAAAAAGTGGCCTTTTTCACACGTTTTAGTCATGCAGATGTATGTCATCATATCAAAGTAAGGGAGCAAAAAAGGCTAGCTGTTGGCAATGTCTGATAATTTTCATACCAGTATTTCTAACTTTCAGCTTTAAAATTTCCTATTTCCAGCAGGTCAAATAGGTCATGCCTAGTCCTTTCTCTGTATTGTTATTTTAGAAATTGCATTAGCAAAGGCAGATCCATGGTTTTGAAGAAGGCGAGGTGAGCCTAATAACCAAGTCTCCAAGGGAACAGTTAACGTGAAAGGTGTCTGAAAAAAAGACAGGGTGCACACCCGCCTCTGGATCTTCAAGTGTTGATCATGGTTAATGTTCCTCTTCTTGTAGTTAAGGGATGGTGCTTTAGCCTCAAGTCCTGTCCTGGGAAGATTCTGCTCCTCGTCGCTCCCGTCCTCTGTCCTAACAACATCCAATCAACTGCGAGCTGAGTTCCACACAGACTTCTCCTCCAGTGGAAGTGGTTTCCTGTTTAACTGGACTGCGACCAATGAGAATCCAACTGCTGGCACCACGCCAGGTCCAACTGGAGGTATGTCCACCATGGGTTTGATGATATTCCCGGACACTTAAATAACATTCGTTGTTTTCACTCTTTTAAAGACAACTTTCTCTTAAAAACCAGCCATCATGTCAGTTTGATGCTACAGCCCCCACCCCACCCACCCCACCCCAACACCCCCAAATATAGTGCAAGTAATCTGGATAAAACATACACGTCAAGGGTGGAGAACTTTATCTGATATTCACCACTGTCAACACTGTTGAACCGACACAACCAGTCCCTGTCTTCTTCACTGACCACTTCCTGGTGTGGGTGAAGATGTAGCAGGTTTGTAAACCCATGAAGCATAACTTGACTTGCAGAGAAAAATGTTCCACCGAAACATTAAAATGCTTTTAAATTTCAGGGAGGGATATTGTTTAATGCCTGAAGTACTTGTTGGTTTTGAAGGGTTTGAATTGAAATCCTTTCTTATGAAGATATTCTATATTGTCACATGAAATCACAACTTCCCGTTTTAGATAAAAGCAATTAAAAGTGGTGTAGGTCAAATTTTTGTGGATATCATGGAGAAAAAATGTGTGACTACTTTACTTAAATTTAAGGAAATTATGTACGTTATCGTTTTGTAGCGGCGGGGCACATTGTCACACTGTGATAAATACTTCTTATAAACCAGAAGTTGTTATCCATAACGTTGTATGTCCTCTTGTAGTCTCACATTCAAGTTTAGTTATTATTTCACTGTTAAAACTTAGAATGGATTAATTCACAGAGACATTTTACACAGCTTATATGACAAGATATAATGTATGTCAATAAACTTTGTTTACTTTTTAATTACTTTTTCTCTAAGCCTGCAATTTTTAAATTTCAATTTTCAAATGAACAGCTGATGAAGGAGCAAGAAGTAGCTCTGAAACGTCGTACGAAGAATAAAAGAAGTTGATATCCATAAAAAGTGTCATTTATTCATGTTCTCCATGCTTCTACAGTATCCATTTTAATAGAAGAGGTGCAGTCAAAGACTGGGCAGTTTTAAGTTTAATTTTAAGTAACAATTCTTTTTCTGTCTTCATAATCACTACATTTATATCTTTACTTTTTACAGTGCCAGGTTGTGGAGGAAATCTGGTTGCCATGGATACCATTCAGAGTTTTGCCTCTCCTGGATTCCCCAATAGCTACACCAACAGATTGAACTGTATCTGGAGAATTACCTCCCCTGTTGGCACTCGCGTTGCTGTCAACATCACAAGCATTAATCTGGAATCTCATAGCTCATGCAACTATGACTCTGTTAAAGTATATGACAGTAAGTAGGAAATTGAAAATGATTGATAGCTTATAAATTACGCTTATTGTGTTTTGGAACCGAAATACATCGGACTCAACCCATGCTGTTTCACTCAATATCTGACCATCTCCATAGTCTGGTTGATAAAGAGTCGGCACGGAGAGCAAAAGGTTGGTGGTTCTATCCCATGGCAACTTCATACCAAGATATGTTAAAGATACTTGTTGTTACCCTACCTGGAGATAAAACAAGGAATGGTTGGCATGGAGTCAGTATGCTGTGTCTGAGTGGGGTATCCATGCTAAACTGCAGAATTGTATCTCAGTGGGCTAGCACTATAAAACCAACATATCCAGACCAGTACAAACAACCACACACATGTGCATACACATCACTATACAAGTGAAATGATGTTGAACGCAACACCTCACTCAGTAACTACAAGTTATGTTTATTTGGCTAGCGACCAGTTATCGCCGAGGACCAATTATCGACAATCTTGCTCGTTTTCATTAGGAAAGATTATCCGAAAATGATAAACAAAACTGACACTTGTTATAAAATATTAACAAACACACCATTTTAGCACCTTGCTCCAATGAAGTTTAACAAAAAAATATATAAGACGATATGAAACCGCATGGAAACGAAACTGATGTAATACGTAACGAACTACAGATAGCAAAACTGCCAAGATACCGGGATAAGAAATGATATGAACCATCCAGACTCTGTGACTTTGCTTAAACTGATGGATCGAAGCTCGTGCTTTCACTCACTAGTTTTTCTGGTCCAGACTTAATTATTCATGGCCTCTCATAATATGGCTGAAATGTTTATGACTGCTGTGTTGAAACGACTTTCATGCGCTTTGTAAAAAGTGACTGATTCTGCATCATCCTGCTCTGAAATGTGTTGTTTTCTCCAGACCCGTCTGCCAGTGGCACCCTTCTTGGAAGATTCTGTGGACGCACACCAAACTCGGATATCTTGTATTCCAGCAGCAACCGAATTACTATTCAGTTTAGGACTGACAGCTCTGTGACCAGAACGGGTTTCTCTATGACGTATCAAACAGGTGAGTACCAAACATCAGCCTAGTCGTCAAAGGCGCTGTGATTCGCTGTGCAGAGTTACGTCCCTTGGGCACGCCAAAAACCTATGATCTTGGGTTTGAATCCCGGTTAGGCCCGATTATATTTCTAGGTTTGTCAACCCCATACCCGTGCTCGTTGGTTTCACCAAGGCGGTAAATGTCTGAGACCTGCATCACTTCGGGCTTTCCTCCCACATTACGCTGACACGCCGTGATATAACTGGAATACTGTAAAAAGCGGTGTTAAACCTCACTCACTCACTCACTGCAAGTAATCTTTATGAGCTCCTCGTACTAAGGGACTGGTAATTTATTACAGGTGGAGGGTGGGAAAGAGGGATTGCCAAAATTTATCATGACTATAAGTGTGGGGGGCCATGAAAAAAAGACAGTTCTATCTTTTACAAAAACTTTGTTCAGAAATTTGAACATTATTTAGAGACTGGTCATTTATTATATGGAGGGGGTTCATAAAAAAATGTAACATAAAATGGGGGGGAGGGGGGTCGGCAAAATATAATACAGTCCTAAGTCCAATCCCCATGGTATCTCAGTGTGCTAGCACTATAACACCAGCATCAGTCCGGACTAGTACAAGCAGCCACACACTCACGCACACGCACACGCACACGCACACGCACACACATACACCCTCACTCACATACATGAACGTCTCTATATCAATTTAATAACCTTGAATGTGATGTTGACCCCCATTTCACCTCAGCTCTAAGAACACTCTCCTACCCAGAGTTCCAAGCGGGCGGCAGCCAGCCAGTATAGTACCTCTGCCCCAGGCCAGCGTCAGAGTCCATTCAAGATATTGCATATGCTTTTCATCTGTTTCATGTTTGACAAGTCTACACATTTTCATAAACAAATGTCAAAGAATGGTTACGGTTCATTAAGAAAGTATCCTTATACATGAACATCTACTTGTTTTTGCGTAGTTAACCTTTGTTTACATTGGTGGTACGGCTCCACGTGCTGTCATCGAATCCCAAAGGAGAGCTAGAGATACGGTCACTTTGATGTATAAATATATATTGTCATGCAACTCAAGCGCATTTGTTTACAAACAAGAGAAAAGTCTGGTCACGTGATATGCAAATTAGCCTGTGGCAGTGGTGTTATGCTGAGTCACCACTGCGCCGGAGTGTGCTCTATGAACTCAGGGCACTTATCCTGGCAAATACTATAAGGAGAGGACAAATTTTCTTATCGTTTTCACAAGAGTCCAAAAACCATCAGTTAAATAGTAAACATTTTTGTTTCATTAACCCAGTTCTGTCTATCCCATGTATCCATATCTGTGCAGCTTGTGGTGGCGTGTTTGTGGCAACAACAGGCATGATCCAGAGTCCCAACTTTCCCAGTCCCTACCCTGCCAACGCCAACTGCTCTTGGACAGTTTCGGTCCTCAATGGACGTACCATATCTGTCAACTTCAACCAGACGTTCAACATCCCCAGTACAGCCGCCTGTGACACTGACTATGTGATGGTAGGTCAAGTTAACACACTTCAGACCTGGTTGCCGTGTTTCTTTCCTTTAACTGTGTATTGCTCAATACACTTTTCCTTTTCCATCATCAAAACATAACAGGTCGTGTACATAGAGATTACTACACGAGTGACTGACAGAGGCCATTTATCTTACCAGTTGCTTTAAGATTTATCTAATAAGCGAAAGAGTTTTAAGATGAATTATAGATGCCAATTACAATCAAAGTCAGAAACTATGTAAACTTTCATGCATTACATTATTATGAAGGGGACCTACTGTCCTTTGAAGGCTGTGGTATTTTGTTTGAATTGTTTGACTGATCTTTGGATTTGAGATGATGACGATGATGATGATGATAAGGGTGATGATGATGATGATGATGACAATGATGATGATGATGATCATGATGATGATGATGATGATGATGGCTGTTCTGTGGTGCTCAAAACCTGCTTCTAGATAGCATGACATAATTACCAAACTTTGCAATATTACTGGCATAGTCAAAATACAATACCAGTAATTATTTTATTCATACATTAAATTGTTTTATAGCTCCTGAATGGACAATCAGCCACAGCGCCTCCTCTCGGCAACGGAACCAACCGTGGCAACCAGCTCGGCCACTACTGTGGCGCCACTCGCCCAGCAGCCCTGCAGACATCCAGCAACCGTCTTTTTGTCAACTTTGTGTCCGACAGTTCCGGTAGCGCCAATGGCTTCCGATTGATCTTTTCCGAGGTGGCCATAACCTGTGGAGGAAGCATCACCCTCACCAATGCCGTGAGGAACGGCTACATCACATCCCCCAACTACCCTGCCAGTTACCCCCACAACGTGGACTGTGCTTGGATCTTCACTGCTCCAGCAAATGAGAGGGTTATGCTACATTTCGAGGACCAGTTCAACATTGAGAATAATCCTTCGTAAGAGAACATTTATACCTGTATGACCATTCCCACAATTTAATGAGATTGCTTTTATTATTTTACTTATCCTAAATTATCATTAATTGTTTTAAAATTATAAAATCTTTGCGTGAAATTGTCAGAATTAATACTCTTCAAATAATTCAAATCTTCTTGAGGACATTCCCTCATTATTGATAGGAACAAGCATACCAAGTTTCATATTGTTTCATCCTGTAGCCCCGAAGTTATTGTTGACATATTTATTTATAATAATTAACTTTATTACGTAGTTGTGATCATGGAGGTCTGTGGATTTACAAAGTATGCACACCATTTTTTAATTGTAAATTATTAATTATCATTTGTTATCATTTTTAGGTACCCAGTATGGTGGGCGAATTCAGGTAGTTAGCTCTCAGGTAGTCGATTTCCAAAATGAGAAAATCTTTGTGTGAATATGTCAGAATTAAAACTCACTATGGGTGCAATCAGATATGCCAAGTTTCAGGTTCTTGGGCCCAGTGGTTTTGAGGGCAATCTCATTAAAATCAGATCTGAGTTCTTGCTACCGCTAAACAAAGATCTGAGGACATCCCATTACTGGTCACATCAGAACGAACTTTTGCGAACTTTGACCAACCACTAAAACGACTAACAAGAAGTCGACATCAGCCAATTAGAAAGCAGCATTGTCAAGCTTTACGGCACTCGTTTCAACCTAGCATCTTCCATTTTAGACAATGCTTGAAAAAAATGTTGACACAGTTCTCGATTACCGATTTGAAAACTGAGCAAACAAACATTCCGGAAGGTCTAATATATGGTTGCGATTGTATGGCAGTGCTTCCCACGTACTGTGCAATGCCTCCTCCGTTCAAATGTTTATCCCATGGAAGCGAGAGATAGACGATAATTTTGACGGAATCAGTCGTATGGACCGTAACTGTTGCTTGGAATACCCCGTGTTAACCATTTCGAGGTTGCATGATTAGAAAACACTTTCTGACTGTCACTTTCATGATCTGTTAAGCAACACTTTGATTGGTCGGATGAAAGGTTGTTCTGATGTGACCCGTAATGGGATGTCCTCAGATCTTTGTTAAGCGATAACGAGAACTAAGATCTGATTTTAATGAGATTGTTTTGAGGGGGAAATGTTTTAAGATGACCATGATATTCATTAGTTTTCAGGTTAGCTAAAACTTAACCTGACCCTACATCCCTTAACTTGAATTTGTCTGCAGATGTAGATATGACTACATCGAAGTTCGTGATGGTGGAGCAGTGACGTCCCCACTGTTGCAGCGAGTCTGTGGCACCACCCTCCCCAGCACCCAGGTCTCCACAGGCAATGTGATGTTTGCCCGATTCCGAACTGACAACAGTGTCACACGTGTTGGCTTCAAGGCTCGATACGAGATAGGTGAGATTGTTAAGTATGTTCAGTCTTGTGCAGAGTTGTCATCCCTTGGACACGCCAGGAACCTATGATTGTGGTTTGGGGGGTTTATGGTGTTCATGATAAAATCGAACAATTGTTTCAACCTTGGTATATTATTAAAAAATACCTTTTGACAAACAGATTTGAGTACGTTTCTTAAAATACCTTAAACTATATTTTGAAATGTTTTACTTTTATGTTTTAATATGTTTTGTAATGAGTGAGGGAGTGAGTATGGTTTTACGCCGCTTTTAGCAATATTCCAGCAATATCACGGCAAGGGACACCAGAAATGGGCTTCACCTATTGTACCCATGTTGGGAATCGAACTGGGGTCTTTGGCCTGATGAACAAACGCTTTAACCACTAGGCTACCTGACCACCCCCTTTTGTATTGAACAAGCAGTCATCTCTTGACAAACAGATTATGTGATTGTCCTAGCAGACCTTCGTATACCTTCATTTTCGTAAAGTTCATACATGTATAAGGGGGCATGGGTGGCCCAGTTGTCTAAGGCACCGCTATTTGCTGTGCAGAGTTGTGTCCCTTGGGCACGCCAGAAACCTATGATTGTGGGTTCGAATCCCGGTTCGCTCCGAATTATTTTTCTAGGTTGGTTAGCACCATACCCATGCTTGTGGGTTTCACTGAAGTGGTAAAGGTCCGAGAGATGCATCACTTCGGGCTATTCTCCAACATTAAGCTGACATGCCGTGATATAACTGGAATACTGTTCAAAGCGGTGTTAAACCCAACTCGCTCACTCACTCACTCACTCATACATGTATAAGGTTCATATGTGCTGCTTTTTTATACTTGTATACTTACATGCTTCAAATATTTTGTTCCTAAGCAACTTGTGGTGGCAGGATCAATGGCGCCAATGGAACCATCACTAGCCCGAACTATCCCCAGAATTATGACGCAAATCTGGATTGTGAATGGTACATCTTTGCACCAGATGGCCACTACATGACCTTCACCTTTACATCCTTTAACCTTCAAAGTTCAACCAACTGTGCTTCAGACTCTCTGGTGATCAGAGAAGTCAATGAAACTGGTTTGTTTGTGTTGACCTTTTTTAGAAAGTGTATATGGCATGGGGAGGAGATGTGAATGTGCCCAAACATATATGAATGTGCTGATTAACATGTGAATGTGTCCAAACTTATGTGAATGTGCTGATAAACATGCAAATGTGCCCAAACTTATGTGAATGTGCCCAGCCATATGTGAATATGGTGATTAACATGTGAATGTGTCCAAACAAATGTTAGTGTGCTGATGAATATGTGAATGTGCCCAAACTTATGTGAATGTGCTGATAAACATGCAAATGTGCCCAAACTTATGTGAATGTGCCCAAACTTATGTGAATGTTATAATAAACATGTGAATGTGCCCAGACATATGTGAATGCGCTAATAAACATGTGAATGCGCCCAGACATATGTGAATGTTGTGATAAACATGTGAATGTGCCCAAACTTATGTGAATGTTATGATAAACATGCGAATGTGCCCAGACACATGTGAATGTTATGATAAACATGTGAATGTGCCCAGACATTAGTGAATGTGCTGATAAACATGTGAATGTTGTGATAAACATGTGAATGTGCCCAAACTTATGTGAATGTTATGATAAACATGCGAATGTGCCCAGACTTATGTGAATGTTATGATAAACATGTGAATGTTGTGATAAACATGTGAATGTGCCCAAACTTATGTGAATGTTGTGATAAACATGTGAATGTGCCCAGACATATGTGAATGTTATGATAAACATGCGAATGTGCCCAGACACATGTGAATGTTATGATAAACATGTGAATGTGCCCAGACATATGTGAATGTTATGATAAACATGCAAATGTGCCCAGACTTATGTGAATGTTATGATAAACATGCGAATGTGCCCAGACTTATGTGAATGTTATGATAAACATGTGAATGTGCCCAGACATATGTGAATGTTATGATAAACATGTGAATGTGCCCAGACATATGTGAATGTTATGATAAACATGTGAATGTGCCCAGACATATGTGAATGTGCCCAGACATATGTGAATGTTGTGATCAACATGTGAATGTGCCCAGACATATGTGAATGTTATGATAAACATGTGAATGTGCCCAGACATATGTGAATGTTATGATAAACATGTGAATGTTGTGATAAACATGTGAATGTGCCCAAACTTATGTGAATGTTATGATAAACATGCGAATGTGCCCAGACACATGTGAATGTTATGATAAACATGTGAATGTGCCCAGACATATGTGAATGTTATGATAAACATGCGAATGTGCCCAGACTTATGTGAATGTTATGATAAACATGCGAATGTGCCCAGACTTATGTGAATGTTATGATAAACATGTGAATGTGCCCAGACATATGTGAATGTTATGATAAACATGTGAATGTGCCCAGACATATGTGAATGTTATGATAAACATGCGAATGTGCCCAGACTTATGTGAATGTTATGATAAACATGCGAATGTGCCCAGACTTATGTGAATGTTATGATAAACATGTGAATGTGCCCAGACATATGTGAATGTTATGATAAACATGTGAATGTGCCCAGACTTATGTGAATGTGCTGATAAACATGTGAATGTGCCCAGACATATGTGAATGTTATGATAAACATGTGAATGTGCCCAGACTTATGTGAATGTTATGATAAACATGTGAATGTGCCCAGACATATGTGAATGTTATGATAAACATGTGAATGTTGTGATAAACATGTGAATGTGCCCAAACTTATGTGAATGTTATGATAAACATGCGAATGTGCCCAGACATATGTGAATGTTATGATCAACATGTGAATGTGCCCAGACTTATGTGAATGTTATGATAAACATGTGAATGTGCCCAGACATATGTGAATGTTATGATAAACATGTGAATGTGCCCAGACATATGTGAATGTGCCCAGACATATGTGAATGTTGTGATCAACATGTGAATGTGCCCAGACATATGTGAATGTGCCCAGACATATGTGAATGTTGTGATCAACATGTGAATGTGCCCAGACTTATGTGAATGTTATGATAAACATGTGAATGTGCCCAGACTTATGTGAATGTTATGATAAACATGTGAATGTGCCCAGACATATGTGAATGTGCCCAGACATATGTGAATGTTGTGATAAACATGTGAATGTTGTGATAAACATGTGAATGTGCCCAAACTTATGTGAATGTTATGATAAACATGCGAATGTGCCCAGACATATGTGAATGTTGTGATCAACATGTGAATGTGCCCAGACACATGTGAATGTTGTGATAAACATGTGAATGTTATGATAAACATGTGAATGTGCCCAGACATATGTGAATGTTATGATAAACATGTGAATGTTGTGATAAACATGTGAATGTGCCCAAACTTATGTGAATGTTATGATAAACATGCGAATGTGCCCAGACATATGTGAATGTTGTGATCAACATGTGAATGTGCCCAGACACATGTGAATGTTATGATAAACATGTGAATGTTGTGATAAACATGTGAATGTTGTGATAAACATGTGAATGTTGTGATAAACATGTGAATGTGCCCAAACTTATGTGAATGTGCTGATCAACATGTGAATGATCCCAGACATATGTGAATGTTGTGATAAACGCGTGAATGTGCCTACCAGGCTGTAAATGGGGGAAATATGCATTTGGCATAAAGTGCTAAAAAATATTATAGTCTTGGTTCTCAGGCACCGTCCACATCATCATAAAGTTCGTCGCACATTTTGTTTCCATTTCAATTAAAAAATAAAATTAAAAAATCCTTGAATATTCCAAGTCCAATGGTAGTCAAATACTGTATTCAAGTATTTTACTCATCAAGGAATTCATTTATGTAGGGAGGCCCTTTGCCAGGTTGATTGTACAATACTGTTTATTTGTTTACACAACTGTTTATTTGGTTACATACTAGTTTGAACAACAACAACAAAAAACACCACCTGCCCCATTATATTTTCAAAAGTTATTGCCTGAGAACCAATTCTTTTATTTTTTTCAAGCCTAATATAACTGATCCAGTATGTTCTTCATAGGGTGAAATTTCTTCCACAGGAAATGTACTGTTCAACAACTGTGGCTCAAGGACTGTTTCACCCATTGACACATCAGACAGCTTTGCCTATGTCCGGTTCAAGACTGACTCCACCATTGCTGCCCAAGGCTTCAGTATATTCTTCCAGGCCAGTGTAGAAGGTTTGTTTGTTTGTTTGTGCAACTGGGATACGATGGCCCACCATCAACCAAGTCTCCAAGTCTGACAACCTGATCTATGGTTTTTCCTCTCACGACTAGCATAGGCTGCAGAGATGACAGGGTTTTAAGGAAACTGGTCATTTGTGTCTGGGGTCTGGGGGTGTTCAGATACTTTTAATGTGCTAATGTACTGAAAATAGTGCTTGTCATACTTTTTATTATCCTCATGTTCTTGACTCCTTTTCATTACCTACCCTGAAAAGACCAAATTTAAAAAAAATTCATGACCCTCCCCAAATATGTGTACTATTTTTATAGCCCTCCCCTGATTCCCTCTGAACCCCCTCCCCTGATTCCCTCTGAACCCATTCCCATGACTCCCTCTGACCACCCTCCCCTGATTCACTCTGAACCCCCTCCCCTGATTCCCTCTGAACCCTCTCCCCTGATTCCCTCTGACCACCCTCCCCTGATTCACTCTGAACCCCCTCCCCTGACTCCCTCTGAACCCCACCCCTGATTCCCTCTGACCCCCCTCCCCTGATTCCCTCTGACCACCCTCCCCTGATTCCCTCTGACCACCCTCCCCTGATTCCCTCTGACCACCCTCCCCTGATTCCCTCTGACCACCAATTGTATGAATGGCAGTTGTACCAGTAGAGCAGGACATGCGTATACTTTTCGTAAACACCAGGTGTCATCACTGATTTTCACCAATGGAATCTATTAAAGGAAGTAATCAAGACTGAATATTCTCTGGGGTTGACATTTAGACTTCACATTGATTTACTGTTTCTATTTACAGTTTGTGGCGGTGACCTCGTTACACCATCAGGTGTAATAACGTCACCTAACTACCCAGGACTGTATGCTCATAATCGCGTTTGTGAGTGGAGAATACAGGTACCGGCAGGCCGAAAGGTGACCTTGACCTTCACAGATTTCCGACTTGAAGCCTCAAGAACATGTAGCTGGGATTACATTGAGGTGACTTTTATCCTACCCATCTCAAATACAAACATACCGTATTCACCATATTAAGCACCTGCTCTTAATTGTTCCCCCTGACTAAATAAGTAATTTTGATAATCGCCCCATGCTAAGACCGATAATTCATATTTTCTTGTGTACATAACAAAAAAAGTTGCTGTGCAAAAAAGAAAAATACTTGTATCTAACTTAGTTATACCTATCATGTCCTCATTCCCAACTTGACTATTTCTCAGACGACTTGGCCACCCCTGCCCCCCCTTTGCTAGTATTATACATATGATTCTATCAGAAATGTATGGATATTTTTTTTAAAAATTGAGAACAGGTATGCCTTGGAATGAAGCACATATTGCTTATTTTGACGTCCATACAGATAATTAATTGAAAATATTTCTCTCAAGGCTTACAATGGTATCCTATCCAACTCTCCGAGAATCGGTCGTTACTGTGGTGACACCCAACCTGGCATTATCGAGTCGTCAGGAAATTACATGCGTATCAAGTTCCGAACTGATGGATCGGTCACTAATGGCGGCTTCAGGGCATCCTACACTTCAAACACTGAAGCAGGTAACACAATGTTTCATTTATTTATTTCTCAGTGTGTAAACCCCACATATATGCTACTCAAAAGAAGTAAAGGGACACACAATCGTTTCATATGACTATAGTTAATCTATGATGCAAAACAAATTAAATCTTTCAGCTTTTGGCATCATATCATTTAGATTTAGATTAACTACCAATAATATTACACTTACCAATATTAACTTGACCAAAAGAAATCTTTTTTATTTTGGAGCTTGGACAAGACACTAAGGTCGTAGACTGATAATTTTGTTTGTTTGTTTGCTGGTTTGTTTGTTGTTTAACGTCCAGTTCTATGATGGCGTAAATAATCGAGTCTGCACTAGACAATCCAGTGATTGATATCATGAACAACAATCCACACAATTGGGATATGATGGCATTGATCAATCAAGTCGGCGAGCCTGACCACCCAATCCCGTTAATCCCCTCTTAGTCACCTCTTACGACAAGCACGGGTTTCTGAAGACCTATTCCAACTCTGACCTTCACAGCTAGGTTGTTTGCACAAAAGAGACCTAGCGGTTAAAGCGTTTGCTGGGTTTGCTGGGTTACCTTGGTTTGATTCCCAACATGGTAGCAACATGTGACTCATATTATTGTGATAATGCTTGAACCTTTGCTACAAGCACCTTGTTATTGTACTCCCTCATTCACACGTAGATTGTGGTGGCATCATCAACGGGGCCGGCAACATCACCTCACCTGGCTACTTTGAGAACGGCAATTACACCAACAACCTGGAGTGTCTGTGGACCGTCAACAATCCAGTGAATGTGAACTCTTCCATCAAGGTGATCGTCAGGGACTTGGAACTGGAACAGCATGTGCAGTGCCGATTTGACTTCATCAACATCAGAGAAGGTACACGGAGACTTGGTGCAGCATTTGTAGTCATCATGCTCCTCAACACTTCCTCAACCTCCTCCTTGTTACACTTCCTCAACCTCCTCGGTACACTTCCTCAATCTCCTCCTTGTTACACTTCCTCAACCTCCTCCTCATTACACTTCCTCAACTTCCTCGTTACACTTCCTCAACCTCCTCCTTGTTACACTTCCTCAACCTCCTCCTTGTTACACTTCCTCAACCTCCTCCTTGTTACACTTCCTCAACCTCCTCCTTGTTACACTTCCTCAACCTCCTCCTCATTACACTTCCTCAACCTCCTCCTTGTTACACTTCCTCAACCTCCTCCTCGTTACACTTCCTCAACCTCCTCCTTGTTACACTTCCTCAACCTCCTCCTTGTTACACTTCCTCAACCTCCTCCTCGTTACACTTCCTCAACCTCCTCCTTGTTACACTTCCTCAACCTCCTCCTCGTTACACTTCCTCAACCTCCTCCTTGTTACACTTCCTCAACCTCCTCCTTGTTACACTTCCTCAATCTCCTCCTTGTTACACTTCCTCAATCTCCTTGTAACACTTCCTCAATCTCCTCATTACACTTCCTCAACCTCCTCCTCGTTACACTTCCTCAACCTCCTCCTCATTACACTTCCTCAACCTCCTCCTCATTACACTTCCTCAACCTCCTCCTCATTACACTTCCTCAACCTCCTCCTCATTACACTTCCTCAACTTCCTCCTTGTTACACTTCCTCAACCTCCTCCTTGTTACACTTCCTCAATCTCCTCCTTGTTACACTTCCTCAATCTCCTTGTAACACTTCCTCAATCTCCTCGTTACACTTCCTCAACCTCCTCCTCGTTACACTTCCTCAACCTCCTCCTCATTACACTTCCTCAACCTCCTCCTTGTTACGCTTCCTCAACCTCCTCCTTGTTACACTTCCTCAATCTCCTCGTTACACTTCCTCAATCTCCTCCTTTTAACATGACATAGGTAGTACCATTGTTGAATAATTGCAAAAAATCTTTCCAGACTGCCGGACAGGCAACTCTCAAGTGTTACCGACCCAGTCAGAAAGTTTTATAATTTGAATGGACCAACTATTTGCAAGTGATAACAAAATCAGTCAGCATATTGGTTTAATATCAACATACGATTTCGGTATAATGTTTTATCCTTAACATCATCATGTCAGTTGTAATGAGTTGTAAACCAACTTTTATTCATATCTTTGACATATGGTTTAAAAAGTCAACACTTCCATCAGGCATGCGTTTTCAAAAGATTAACTGCCCAAGACAAAACCAGCCTGTATCAAGACATTCGGGCTGGTGATATCGTTGTATCCTGTTCATGTTGAGCTAAATGTCTACAAAATAATACCATCTTTCTTCCAGGAACTGGTCAAAACGCTCCGCTCCTGACACAGTTCTGTGGCAACAACACAATTCCAAGACCCTTTGTCTCTCCAGTGCCCTCCTTATGGTTGAGATTCAAGACTGACTATTCCATTGTAGGACGAGGCTTTTGGCTGGATCTTGAAACAACATGTGAGTCAATATGAATCAACCCATTTAAGCTCACATATAGGTTTTATATTTTATTCATGTTTATTTCAAACAGAGATCTGTCTCAGGCAGTTGAAAAATTTGTTTATATGACTACATGTGATTTCTGGAATGGATAACGGAAAACACAAATATTTTCATTGCTTTCAGCATGCGGAGGTGTTCTGACGCAGCGCTCTGGTACAATCACCAGTCCCAACTATCCAGCTACGTATAACCATGGCGACGCCTGTGCCTGGCAGATCCTGGCTCCAGAAGGCACCAGAATAAGGGTAATACCCACTACGGAGAAATCTTCTGAATTATGATTTGTGAGCTTAGTGTACCATGTAGGTGATGAAAATAGTGGGTGAGATATTTACGAGATATAAATTGTCAACCGATCTTGAGGGGTATATGGTATTGTTTTGTCCTGACCTTCATTCATATAAACCATAAATATATGTTCTACGTTTGTCAGCACCATACTGGTGCTTGTGGGTTTCACAACAGTGGAAACACCCGAGGCCCGCATCACTTTAGGCTTTCCTCACACTTTAAGTTGACACTGTGATTTACTTTCTTTGTTTGTTTGTTGTTTAACACCTCACTCAGCAATATTCCAGCTGTATGATGGCGGTCTGTAAATAATCAAGTCTGGACCAGACAATCAAGTAATTGACATCATGAGCATTGATCCATGCAATTGGGATAAGATGACATGCATCAACAAAGTCAGCGAGTCTGATCACCTGATCCCGTTAGCCTCTTACTGCAAGCAGAGTCGCTTTTTATGGCAAGCATGGGTTGCTGAAGACCTATTCTAACCCAGATCTTCACGGGTTACTGTTATATAAGTGGAAAATTGTTTAAACTCAGCTCCCTCTGTCACTCAACACTCATTTGGTCATATGTTTTCAACACAGTTTTACTGAATGTGAATTGAAATTTAAACACAAAATTCACCCCTTCTTTTCAAGAGAGCTGTATCCACGCTTGTTCCATGTTACAGCATGGGGGAAAAAAAAGTCTTCATGATTGCCCATGTGTTGTTCTCAGGTCCGCTTCGTGTCAGTGAACCTCGAAAGTTCCCCAACTTGTCAGTATGACTACCTTCAAGTTTTCAATGGCGGCTACGGCGACTCGCCACTGATTGGCACCTACTGCACCAGTACACCTCCTGACTTCCTGTCCCAGAGCAACTCGGTCCGACTCGTCTTCCTGACTGATGCTGCTGTTGGAGGAGGTGGATTTAAAGTGACGTATAGTTTTGAAACAAACGGTAAGAATCTCCACCTTAACAATTGCCATGCTTTAATGATAGATACTCTCCATCTCTATCTCTGGCTGGTGATGTATTATAGGTGCGTGCATGCGTACGAACATAAAAATGTTACATATAAAGGGTGTGTGTGTGTTTCAGCTGTATGATACGTACAGTCCTAAAGCCAGTCTCCCTGCCCCATACTCATCCCTAATAAATGACCAGTCCCTGACTTCCCACAGAATTTCTGTCGCTTGTGAAAGTAATTTGATTGGACATCTATGTTTAGTGTTGTGCCATTGAAATAGGACACAAAATAAATCTATGGTATTTGTACAGTTTTTTATATTATTATTACTTCATAAAAAATGACAGGAATGACAAACTGCCGGGTAGAAGAAAGCCTACAACCAAACAAGAAACGATTATTCAGTAGTGATGTATTGGATGGGGTATAATAGTTGTGCCTTGCATTTTAGTTTTGCCGTGTTTTAGTGACTGTTCCCAGCCTGATGGGGGGCACGGGTGGCCCAGTCATCTAAGGCGCCGCAATTCGTTGTGCAGAGTTGCGTCCCTTGGACACACCAGAAACCTATGATTGTGGGTTCGAATCCCGGTTAGGGCCCGATTATGTTTCTAGGTTTGTCAGCACCATGCCCATGCTCGTGGGTTTCACTGAAGTGGTAAATGTCCAAGACCTGCATCACTTCAGGCTTTCCTCCCACAATAAGCTGACAAGCCGTGACAAACTCACTCACTCACTCACTCACTCTCAGCCTGATCACTTTTTCGTAACGTTTGTAAATATTTTGTCAAATCCAAGGGTATATTCTTTTGCAGGCAGTTTACTAGAATGAATAATATGTATATTGATATGCTAGATACACGAGGATTAACCTCGGCCTGTATTCATTGGTATAAGATTCTCAATATGGGCAAAGAAATGGTTTTGTTTCAAATACACTTCCTAGCTTGAACACCTGAAAATAATCCTTGTCAGTGAACCATTTCTTTTTTCAGCCAGTATATTAGTCTTAAAATGACCGCTCTCTTGACCCTCTTTATTTTCAGGATGTGGAGGTCTGTTCCATAGCAACCAAGGGACTTTGATGAGTCCGAACTACCCTAATGCATACCCACACAATACACAGTGCGAGTGGGACATTAATGTGGACAGTGGGTACACTGTTCAGATGACCTTCCAGTCCTTTGACCTTGAGGCTGGAACCAGATGTCCATATGACTATGTCCAGGTGAGTTGTTGCCAGATGACCTTGAATACAAGGTCATGAAGCACCAGTAGGAAGATGAGCTGCAAATTGTTTGTGCGTTCCATTGGTAAAATTTGAGTGACTAGAGTCAAATGATGTCACAACATTTCGGGCAAGCAGGGTTAACTAGATTTAACCTGAGTTAACCAGAGTTAACAAGGGGACGTTAGGGCAGTACCCAACATACAATGCATGAAACACAGCTTTGGTTATAGTAATGGCTGCCAGGAGCATGAGAAGAAGGAGAAACACTACAGCCAACTGTGAGAGGTTAACAAGTGCTTCATTGCTCGACAAATTGTCATTGTATCTTTTCTATGTAGTGCATGTAAAATGACAAGAAAATTTGAAATAACATGTAGAAAACCATGCTGTTTGTACTTATGCTAATTTTATAATGCTAACCCACTGAGATACCATGCTGCAGTTTAACACAGTGTATTGACTCCGAGGCAACCAGTCCTTGTTTTAGCCCCTTATTGTCGAGCGCCAGGCAGGGTAACAACAAGTTCCATCTTGTGACGTGTTTTTGGGATCGAACCCCCAACCATCCGCTTTCTGGTTGGGCGCTCTACTTCTAGACTTCAGAGGTGGTTCAATCAATAAACGAAACTAATTAGCTTTAACGATGACGTCACTTGGAGGCTCCTAACCAGAGTTCGACACCCCAGTTGTTCAGTATGTGTGGGCAACTTGGGTCAACTAAAGCATGACTTAAATCAGTTAACATGAGTGAGTGAGTGAGTGAGTATGGTTTTCTCAATATTCCAGCAATGTGACAGCAGGGGACACCAGAAATGGGCTTCACATATTGTACCCATGTTGGGAATCGAACCCCGGTTCTTCGGCATGATGAGTGAACGCTTTAACCACTAGGCTACCCCACCGCCCCTCAGTTAACGGGTGATCACATGGGTCAATCAAGGTTAACGTGGGTTGGGTTGTCCAGAATTTTTTAGTCAAACACAGACAGTAGTAAGAGCAAGTAGTTGAAATGATGTACTCCCGACTCAGTAGTGAGGTGATACAGTATATTTTATAACTTATCCTATCTCACACTATGCATTTCTCCTTCTTTCGGGGTGGGCACGGTCGGCCCAGTCATATAAGGCGCTGCGATTCGCTGCGCAGAGTTGCATCTCTTGGGCATGACAGAAACCTATGATTGTGGGTTCGAATCCCGGTTCGCCCAGATTATGTTTCTAGGTTTGTCAGCACCATAGCCGTGCTCGTGGGTTTTACCGAAGTGGTAAATGTCTGAGACCTGTATCACTTCACGCTTTCCCCCCACATTAAGATGACACTGGAATACTGTTAAAAGCGGCGTTAAACCCAGCTCACTCACTCACTTCTTCTTTTGGTCTTATTGTGAAAATGCCCTAGAAGAAAGTTTCCAGCTTAAAAAAACATTACACCTGAACACATCCCAGCATCGCCATGGTCACTACCCCAACAAATTGGTCACACACACATAGTCCCGTGGATATCAACTAAGCCAAACTGACCCCCTGACACAACATAACACATGATACTCTTTCTTATCACTAATGTTTGGGAACGTGTTTTGAATGCATAGTGTGAGATAGGATAAGTTTATTTAAGAATTGACTTTCACTTTGTGCGAGTTCTTTGGAGTATGAACCTTCATAGAGTGAGGGCCAAACTGTATGAACGTACAATGTTGCATGGCCCTCACATGCTTAACAGGAACAACTTTTGTAGTTTCTGTAAACAATGTACTCGAATAATATCCTCATTAGATGGGAAGGGTCTGTTAAGAACTACCTCAGTAAGTCAGTCACAATAACAGCGCGTCGTGATACATTTACATAAAGTCCAGAACGTCAAAATGGTCGACACGATAAAGATGACGGGAGAGATTTCCGAAGTTTTTGATGAACCTGTGGCTATTACAAGTGTTAGTCATCACTGGTCAATTGGCCCGTCACTGAAAGGTGATTGTAGAGATATGTCAAACAGATGCTAAGGAACATTCACATATTGCTGTAGACTGTCACTGTAGTCTAGACATGGATCGAGTCGATACCAAGGTAGTTTGAATGTGCTTTTCTTCCTTTTGTTCTTTAAGAAGGGTTGTAGCAAGGATATCCTTGAATGGACATGCAAACAAACTCGCTGACTTATCCCAATGTATGCTAAAATGCTAAGTTCAAGATTAAGGGGTCTTAATGATGAGAAACAATGCTTCTGTATTTATTCATGCTCGGGAATTCCCAGGGGTTCCCCCGAGAATGTAGTCCGTCCGTGTTGGTGTCATATTTCAAGGACACGGTCTTGTGAAAAACATATGAAGGTCAAATTGTGTCTTTCATACACTTATGAATGTCAATATCGCGGTCATGTGACCGACCTCTCGTCCAATGAAAAAAGCTGTATATCATGTAAACTTCAAATTACAAATTATAAAAATATTATTCATTTTAAAATTTTCAATTTTCTGTGTCTGTAATGAAGGGTTGCATTATTTATTCTTCATCTGTATTGGAGTAATGTTGTGATTTGTGAGGAGTGATTTATCATGTGTTTCTGTTCAGATGAGCGATGTTCTGACCAATGGGACACTAATTTCTGGTCAGCGTTGGTGTAGCACTATAGTGCCGGACCCATTTACTTCAATGACCAACCGTATGAAGGTCAAGTTTAGGTCAGACTTCAGTGCCAGAGGAGATGGATTTGCAGCCAACTGGACAACATGTGAGTTGGAGCAGATGGAATAACAATTACCCTTATTTTCAACACCTTCAAATATACAAGTATATGGTTAATGTAAATGTCAATTATTATAGAGGGAGATTGGTCAAGGACTGTTTAATATTCTGCTGACAATCCCCCACCATTTCATGTCACAGTTTTTCATCTCAAACCCGTCCCCCCATCTGACCCCTCCTGTGATAAATGCCCAGTCCCTAATATAAAATGCAGTTATGACTAATAAATCATTAATAGCCCCAAAAACGAAATGCTTTAATATTTATCCCAAGAAAAAAAGTAGAATATATTTTGAATTTTTCACAATCTATAATAGATATTGGGAACGATACGTTTAGTGCAGACTTGAATAGGTCCAATCTCATTAAAATCAGACCTTTGGTTCTCGCTACCGCTAAACAAAGATCTGAGGACATCCCATTACAGGTCACGTCAGACCGACCTTGTGCGAACTTTGACCAACCAATAGCATGACCAATCAAGAGGCAGCTTTCTCGTGCTTTACGGCACTAATTTCAAATTGGCGACTATGCTTCGGAACATATTTTGACAAATTCTCGATTACAAATTTGAAACCTAAACGAAAGAACATTCTGGAATGGCTAATACATGGTCTAGATTGTATGGATTCAGTCGTTAAACCTGTAACTATCGTTAGTAATACCCTGTGTTAAAGATTTCGAGGTTGTATGATTAGAAATCACATTCCGACTGTCGCTTTCATGATCTGGTAAGCAACGCTCTCATTGGTCGGATGAAAGGTTGTTCTGACGTGACCCCTATTGGGATGTCTTCAGATCTTTGTTTAGCGGTAGCAAAGACGTATGTATGTACGTCCGTGGCGGTAGCGAGAACTAAGGTCTGATTTTAATGAGATTGGAATAGGCCCTACAAAAGTATCGGGTTATATCTTTGTCTTGGTGCCTGAAACCATGGTACTATGGACGCCGTGCTTTATGTAGATCATGTTTCTAATATAATACTGTTCAAAGAGGGTCTGGATGAAGGGGAATACATATCAGTGAAATTTGGAGCCTTCAGTCAGTTGTCAGTATTTTTTCAGCTTAGTTTGTGAAACAAACACACAAATAGCAGACAAGCTGACCAGTTGAATCTGAAGGGGCTACTAATTTTAGTTTGTTATAACCGTAGTTCGTTATAAGCATATATACAGCATATATACAGCAAATGGCCAGGACTGAAAAATAAGTTAGTTATATTGGTCAGTTCTTTATAAGCGTGTTCGTTATAAACATAGTTTACTGTAGTTATATACGCCTTTTATGAGATTATGGTTACAGTAAACAGTAAAGTTTGTAATTACGCAAAGCAGTTCTTTATTGACGTTTTATAGTAATCTTTTATGATGAAAATTTGACTTATCTCATGTTGACGATAGTATTTTTAGTTGTATTGCTTTAACATTATACCCCTTCCTGACCCTATTGGTGTTAAACCAAAATCACTCACTCACTCTGATGCGGTGTTTTAATTTCCTTATTTTAGCTTGTGGAGGAACCTTCTTTGGAGACACAGGGATGTTCACATCACCCGGGTACCCGTCTACGTACCCAAACAACATCCTGTGCAACTACACCATTGTTGGAGATCCAGGGAAATACCTCTCTCTCACATTTGACAGCTCTCTCTTCCGACTTGAAGGACGTAAGTGGCCCATGACTTCCTGGTCAGTGGAATGTAGGACCTCTGTGGGCATTTCCATGAAAAATGGGTCCTATGTCTAGTGTAAAGTGTGACTGAGAATGTCCGCTAGTGGGATCACTGTACAACCTGAGCTGTCATGTATGGGGTGTTGTGACGAAAAAATATTGTCATGTCAGAATGTTGATTGGTTCACGTGATCTTGAGGGAAATATATTCCCGAGCAGGAGAATAAATCCCTTTTACCCTACCATGAAGAAAACACATGGATTTCTGCACATAGATTTCTGAGTGGGACAATAAATCTCTAACACCCTGCCAAGTAGCAAAAGGCTACACGTTGTTCACATGTCAGTGAAAGTCATGTGACAAGGTAATATCAGCTCAATAAAACGAAACCCATGTAAGAATTCATGTATAAACCTTGCTTTCGCTGGGGAAATATGAGAATTCTGACACTCATTTTGTAAAAACATGCTCGTATAATAATCTTTCTATGATACATGCTCACCCTGTTTTAAAATCATTTCAACTTAGCGATACCATTTGTTCATTTCAGCAACATCTTGTCGGTACGACTCTGTTACTGTCTACTCTGGCAATGACACCAGTGGTAATCGTCTCGGACGTTTCTGTGGCACCACAGCTCCTCAAACTATCACAGCTCTGGGAGGAATGTACCTTCAGTTCGTCACTGATGGGAGTATAGTTTACGAAGGCTTTAAAGTTAATTATGTTGCTGAAGGTAAGCAAACGTCTTCATCCATATAAAAAATTTGTTGATGAACTTTGAGAATATATGTGTGCTATAGTGGATGCAATTTATGGATAACAACTTCTTCTTTTTTTCACCTTTTACGCTAATTGGGACATTTCGAGATGGATCCTTCTACCGTTGTCAAGGACCATCAATGTCATTTTAAGTCTGACCTTTCATACATTACTTTCAGAATGTGGTGGTATTTTCAACAATGCGTACGGTACCTTCAGCACCCTGGCCCACCCCAACAACTACCTCAACAACCACAACTGCACTTGGATCATCAACGTGGCCGCAAACAGGATTGTGGAGCTGAAGTATGTACAGTAACTGTACAGTCGAACTTCGTGGTGTCCCAAACTCATTGTCCAGTCCCTGCAAATCCTTCTATTTTTATCATCATTTCGACTGCATGTTGACTTGAACTCATTTGGGAGTTGAAAGTATCCAAATTAAGCATAAAATTACTCAAATGATTCATAACATGACGTTTGGTTTTCAGAAATTCACTTTGTTGGTTGTCTCGAACCCTGGATAACTCTAACTTGTTAGGTCCCTCTGAGTTTGAAATAAAGAGGTTCGACTGCATGTGATAAATGAACTCTTGATATACAGCATAACACTTTAGGCAGACGGCATTGTTTGTTTGTTGTTTAAGCCGCACTCAGCAATATTCCAGCTATATGACTGCTGTCTGTATATAATCGAGTCTGGACCAGACAATCCAGTGATTGACATCATGAGCGTCGATCAAAGCAATTGGGATACGATGACATGCATGAACCAAGTCAGTGAGCCTGACCACCTGATCCCATTTATAATCACCTCTTACGACAAGCATGGGTTGCTGAAGACCTATTCTAACCCGGATCTTCACGGGTGCATGAACACAACCCTGATCTTCATGGGTCCAGATGGCATTGTAGGATGTGTGTGAGATGTATCATCATTCCTCCATCCATCTTCCATATATTACGCGACCAATTTGCAGTGTAGTTGCAATTCAGAACCAACCAATCAAGACAAGGCCTGACTCCAGCATGAGGGAAACCTGCCTCCCCACAGATCAATCAGCACGTAGATACATTGCATGTTCCTGGCACAGTTGTATAGACTCAATATCATTTAGGCATTTAACATTACAGTAAACCATGTTTAGAACAAACACGCTTATAATGAACTGACGGATATAACGAACTGGTTTTTTGGTCCTGGCCATTTGCTGTATATATAATGTATATATGCCCATAACGAACTACGATTAAGACAAACTTAAATAAGTGGTCCCTTTGAGTTCATTGTAACTGTAGTTTACTGTGTGTGGTTTCAGAGTGGTATATGTTATTGCGTATTCAATGCCTGGGCATTTCATTTGTTTATCAATGGGCGGTGGGGTAGTGTAGTGGTTAAAGTGTTCACTTGTCACACCATAGGCCTGGGTTCGATTCCCCACATGGGTACAATGTGTGAAGCCCATTTCTTGTGTCCACTGCCGTGAAATTGCTGGAATATTGCTAAAAGCGACTTAAAACCATATTCACTCACACACTAATGTAGTATCCCTTTTGCCAAGCCGAAGGTTATGATTTATCCAAATTTTGGATTGAGCAAAAATGATACTTTTCTAGAAAAGTGTTCATACAAGGTTAAAAGTCCAACAGATTTCTAGGATCCAATCCAATTTAAGTATGTTTTTAATTTAATCAGATTGCAGCACAGACTCCTGTCCCATAGTTATGTTCGAGTGTTGAAATAACCACTGTTCAGAGGTCCCAATTATGGATTTGTTCAGAGCTGATGAGAATTTTTTTAAATTGACAAATGTCAGATTTACTCCTTTCTTTTTTTAAAAGACTTGCTCTGATTTCAGATTTACAAGATTTGAGCTGGAGGCTCATTCACGGTGCAGGTTTGATTATGTAGAAGTACGAGACGGTAACAGCTCCAGCTCTCCTCTCATTGGTCGATACTGTGGCACCACCTCACCAAATTTCATTCGATCAACTGGTCGCCAGATGTTTGTTAATTTCATCACAGATTCATCTGTTACAAGAGATGGTTTCTCTGCCGCCTACAGACAGACATTTGGTAAACTATATTATTTTAACAAATTATTGACTGAGATATGCACATCAAGCCATATGATCAAACCTTGTGACATATTAAGCCTCATGACATTTGAAGCCATCAGACATATAAGCCTTGTGACATCTGAAACCATCAGACATATTAAGCCTCATGACATTTGAAACCACCAGACATATTAAGCCTTATGACATTTGAAACCACCAGACATATAAGCCTCATGACATCTGAAACCACCAGACATATAAGCCTCATGACATTTGAAACCACCAGACATATAAGCCTCATGACATTTGAAACCACCAGACATATAAGCCTTGTGACATCTGAAACCACCAGACATACAAGCCTCATGACATTTGAAACCATCAGACATATACGCCTCATGACATCTGAAACCATCAGACATATACGCCTCATGACATCTGAAACCATCAGACATATAAGCCTCATGACATCTGAAACCATCAGACATATAAGCCTCATGACATTTGAAACCATCAGACATATACGCCTCATGACATCTGAAACCATCAGACATATACGCCTCATGACATCTGAAACCATCAGACATATAAGCCTCATGACATCTGAAACCATCAGACATATACGCCTCATGACATTTGAAACCACCAGACATATTAAGCCTCATGACATTTGAAACCACCAGACATATAAGCCTTGTGACATCTGAAACCACCAGACATACAAGCCTCATGACATTTGAAACCATCAGACATATACGCCTCATGACATCTGAAACCATCAGACATATACGCCTCAAGACATCTGAAACCATCAGACATATAAGCCTCATGACATCTGAAACCATCAGACATATACGCCTCATGACATTTGAAACCACCAGACATATTAAGCCTCATGACATTTGAAACCACCAGACATATAAGCCTCATGACATCTGAAACCACCAGACATATAAGCCTTGTGACATTTGAAACCACCAGACATATAAGCCTCATGACATCTGAAACCACCAGACATATAAGCCTTGTGACATCTGAAACCACCAGACATATAAGCCTCATGACATCTGAAACCACCAGACATATTAAGCCTCATGACATTTGAAACCATCAGACATATTAAGCCTTATGACTTATCAAGCACTGAGCCTCAAGACAAATGTGTCGTGTTTACCGGTAAGTACAGTGAGTGTGCTTAGTTTGGTGCAGCTTTGAACAGCACTCCAGTGTCAAATTAATTCAAACAGCGTGTAAATTTTTACCAACTCAGTGAAACCCACAAGCTTGGTACATGTATATAAGAAACATGACTTGCCTTGTAACATTCTTCCCATCACATGCTACTGTCTGTCTGACTAATTGTAAGTGTGACTTTCTGCCACCCAACACCACATAGAATATTCAGCCACCAAATGTCGGTATCATTAAAATGTTTGTGAAAAGTGTCTTCCAAAACAGATAAACAAAAAACATTGAAAGACTGTTTAACCAAGTAATTGATCACTAGCTGATGTATCGATAATGTCAATACATGTAATAAGTCATTTAGACAGTAGTACATTTGAACATGTGTTGATCATGTTGATGATATAAATGCACAGTGAGTAGTGGCTCTTTTTCCGTTAAAAAGTAGAATATTACATGTTTATTTGCAATGGCATTGTCAGTGAACGTATGAAGGAATTTAAGGAATGAACAGCATAAAATTATGAATATTTCATTTTTAATGATTTTATTACAATGTACCTGTTTTGTTATCTGTCAAGTAGATTGTCTATCACGAACATTGATTATACTTAATTTTGTTTATCCAATATAATCATACCATACCATATCAGATTAATGGGACTTGACTGTATATTGTTCATCTGTATGTATATGACTGTATATGCAATAAATTTAGAAGGCTTTAAACAACATTCACACTCTCACTTCATTCAAAAGTTTCCAAGACAAAAACATATTGTTTACTTGTTTTCTATTTTTGTTGTCATAGGTGTTCAACAGGGATGTGGAGGTTTCCTCAACAACACCGCTGGTGGAACCGTCACCTCTGTGGACATTGACAACAACGGCCTGTATGAGAATGACCTGAACTGTGCTTGGACCATCATGATGCCAGACAACAAACTGGCTACTTTCAACATCACCAGGATGGACATAGAGACAGGCTCCGCTTGTAGTTATGACGCTCTTAAGGTGATTCTTCAAGCTCATAACTTTGGGACTACCAAATCTCTTTTTTTTAATTTGTGGATTATTTTGGGGAAGGCTGCAGTATTTGGATCCCTAAACTGGAAGGAGCATTTATCGTATTTATGGAAGTTCAGGAATCAAACATGTTCAATGCATGTGTGTTAGTTATTTACAGTTGAAGCGAGGAGATTTTAAGGGGGCCATTTTTATTTCCTTATGCTGACGTCATATTTCTTTTCAAAAGCTTGGGACAGTGGTGGATATTAATACAAAACTAGATCCTTCTATTATCGTTTTTTTAAAGGCCCAGTAAACTAATGTAGTGATTGCATTTTTGTTGCAAGTATCAATTTGCCTTGATACATTTAGTGAATTTCCGAGAGAATAAAATTCATGATATTCATAGAAAGTATTTAAATGTCAAAGTGAAATTGTTGAAATCACACACTCGGTACTCGGCTTTCAAAACAAACCTATAAAATCAGCCAGTTTAAGGCCACGACAAATCGATTGATCGATTAAGCCCTGGAGGTTTCCCATTTTTATCAACTTGTTTTGATATATTTGATATCAAAAGACACTCGGGTGAGATTCTCTATTTATCACACTTTTAGCGCCAACTAGTAATTCATGTCCATTTGGGAACTTCTTCAAACAGTTTCTGAACTTTCATCTGTTTCAAACAGTTTATCTGAAATGTGGCAATAATTGAAATATATAGAATCTCACCCGTGTGTCTTTTGATATCAAATATATCAACACGAGTTGATAAAAATGGGAAAACTCAACTCGTGGTAATATATTTGATATCAAAAGACTCTCGGGTGAGATTTTATTTATCATCCAACATCATTCTTCCACCTTTTTTCAGTTTGTAGACAGTAATAAGCAGTGTCTTAAGTGTAAAAAGTACTGCTGACAGCTTCAGTAGCAGAGCCATTAGTGATTTCATTAGATTGTGACGTCATGGTAACCAATGACATCACAATGGTCTGCAAAGCATTGTGATGCTGCAGCGATATCTACAGATCTCTCCCAAAGCGATATCTCCTGTGGGAGCCAGTTTTTGGTGATAACTCATAGTGGACAAGATATGTACATTGCTACATGTGATTATCATGTTTTGACCGTTTCTTTCCTTTAGATATATGATGGAATCAGCACCCAAGACCCGCTGATTGGAACATACTGTGGCAGCGCCCCTCCCCCAATCATCAAAGGTTTATCCAATGCCCTCTATGTTACGTTCACGACAGACAGTAGCGTAACACGTCCTGGCTTCACTGCCACCTACGGACAAGAAAACGGTAAGTCTTTGTTGCTTCAATCTCATTAAATCAGATCTTAGTTCTCGCTGCCGCTAAACAAAGATCTGAGGACATCCCATTACGGGTCACGTCAGACCGACCTTTAGCGAACTCTGACCGACCAATGGAATTACTGACAAGAAGTTGATATAAGAAAGGCAGAAGGCAGCCTTCTTGTGCTTTACGGCACTAATTTCAAATTGGCGACTACGCTTCGAAACATATTTTGACAAATTCTCGCTTAAAAAATTGAAACCTGAACAAAAGAACATTCTGGAATGGCTAATATATGATCTAGATTGTATAGATTCAGTTGTTAAGCCCATAACTATCGTTCGGAATACCCCGTTTTAAAGTTTTCGAGGCTGCATGATTAGAAATCACATTCCGACTGTCACTTTCATGATCTGGTAAGCGACGCTCTGATTGGTCGGATGAAAGGTCGTTCTGACATGAACCCTAATGGGATGTCCTCAGATCTTTGTTTAGCGGTAGCGAGAACTAAGATCTGATTTTAATGAGATTGTTGTTGCTTCGTAGTTATAGGACATTTTCTACATGGACACCATGTGCCGGGAGAGTGGGAGGTCAGTGGTTCAATCCCCGGCCGCGTCTTACCAAAAGATGTTTAAAGATGGTACAGTAGAACATGGATATAACGAACTACAAAGGACCGGAGAAATCAGTTTGTTATATAAGTTTTCGCTCGGAAACGTCCACCACCTTGCCTAAAGCAAAACACAAAACACATACACATTTATACACGTTTATACACATTTATACACGTTTCCTCCCGCATCTACCGGTGATTCAGTTAAAAAGTACCCAATGATACAACTTCAAAACATTTTGATCCAATTGTAGGATCAATGTTTGTTTTACAGACAAGATTGGTCCAAATTACATGGACAGGTAAGATTAACAAGATGCAAGTTTAACAAGGTCGAATTGTCACCAGTGATTGTGTTGATTGATTCACTACTGACTGCATACAGCCAATTGTCAGTGACACGTGACCCTAAGTGAGATTTCTCAGTTCGCTATACATGTCACTAATTAGTGGTATTTGGGCTTGTCAGTGATCAGATAACAGTTCGCTATATCCATTAGTTTGCTGTAGAGAGTTCGTTATGTATGTAAATTTTATATGATAATATATAGGAGATAAATCAGGGATTTTTTATCAGTTCGTTGTATCCATTTGTTCGCTCCATCCGTGTTCGTTATATCCGTGTTCTGCTGTACTTGTTGTTACCTTGCCTGGCACTCACCGTTAAGGGTATAGACAAGGACTGGTCGGCTTGGAGTCAAATAACTGTGTCTCAGTGGGGTATCTATGTTCAATGCAACAGGGCTTCTCAGTGGACTAGCACTATAAAACTGCATATGAGTACATGTACACACACAAACATGGAAACACGTCGCTATACAAGTGCAATATGAATGCGACATTAGACCTCATTTTGCTTCACCTCACTGAATAACTTCTATACATCATTAGTGGCCCTGTTTCTCAAAGTGATCGTAGCACTACAACTGTCATAAGTGTATGTTAATTGTGGCTGTTACGTGTCATAGTGCTTTGACCGCTTTATGGAGCGCTGGGCCCACTTGCACAAAGCGATCTTAGTGCTACGACTATTGTAAGCCTATGTTAAAGTATGGGAGTTACGATCATCTTAGCACTAAGATCGCTTTGTGCAAATGAGCCCTGAATTTGTCAAGCTAAATGGTCTTGAACATCAGAGACCAAATGTCGAGGGGCCTACATACCCGGTAAGCAGTCACTCTAGTTTCACATGTAACAACTATATCATTACGACAAGGGACTATTGTGAAATATGCTCATTAGACAGTAAGATCTATTATTGTGCCTGCTAGCAGTCTATCAGTGGGGTAACTCAAATCGGGAACAGGGTCATTTGACACATGACAAGCTCAGGGATGTATCCAGTATTCCAAACTTGGCCATCTTCTTGAAGCAAGGGACTTAACTGACTGTAAAGTCCTACTGTAAAGTCCAGTTTGCACTCTTGACAAACTAGGCTTGAAATTGTGGCTCGATCATAGCACCACCAGTGGCAATTACGAGTTATGTCCCTGCTATTGACCAATCAGATTCCACCTCTCATATCACTATTTGCAACAAACAAAATGGCAGCGCCCAGTCAGACGATCTGATCGATTATCAAGATCTATATTGCAATAAAATGGGTCTTACTTCACGAAGTGCATCAAATCATGTTACCATGAAACTTGTTAGTCCTGCCAAAATATAACTCCATAAATCCAGCCAAGTTCGGCATGGGTGGAAACTGGACTTTTACTGTCAGTTAACTCCCTTGCCTCAGGAAGATGTTGGCAGGCAAACTGGTAAAAACTCTTTTTAAAATTGGGATTTTTGTTCAAAGTTAGGAGGTAGTTTAGCATTGCATTCAATACTGTAAAACTATGTAGGCTCAATTTATGGATAACAATTCTTTAATTACTGTAAAATGCTGTTGATGGTGTTAATTGCCACGTCTCCATGTAGAAGACAGGTATTACTTAGAAGTTGACGGATGACAAAGTAGACACAATTTATGGATATGACTTCTTTAATTACTGCCTTTTACAGTAATTAAAGAAGTTGTTATCCTTTAATTGTGTCTAATTTGTTATCCGTCAACTTCTAAGTAATGCCTATCAAACAATTCACTGTAAAACTACATACGAAAGCCTTTTCGATCCTTTTTGTTGGTCCTGTTATCAGTGAAATACAAGTCAGTCATACAAAGCCACATAACATTGGTAATTACTATATCTACATGAACATGAAGTGGGAAATTTGTAAGTACAATCTGGGAATTTGTAATGATATTAGTTGCAGATTTGGGTCCAATAAATCATGCAAGCAAGTGACGTCACATGAAACACCATGTTATGATGCAGATCAGCTTGTGTGGGATTTTAGACAACAGTGACTGGTCAATCAGATAGCTAGATTCTGTAATGATTAACCTGTTACTGAGGCTGTTTTTTTACACACCTGTGGTTGAGAATACCAATTTAAAATAGCTGTGTGAGAACAAATTCCAGGTCCGTGATTGGCTAAGGTGATGACCTAAGGTCAAATTATGACAGACTACTTACCTGATTGTAATTCATTGATAATACACTCATGTTTCAGTCACCCTTTTCATGAGTTTTCAATAAATGTTCTTTGATCTTGTCTAGTTTTCATAATCATCATCGCCTTGATAATCCACAGATATGCCTGAAACATTGGAGGGTCACAGTAGGAATCATGATTGAAATTATCTCTTTTGTAGCATTGTGTGGTGGCGCCTTGACAGCAACAAACTCGCCCCAGACTATCATGTCGCCCAACTATCCAAATTCTGCTGGCCAGGCCGTCAGATGTCGCTGGGTCATCGACTCCTCATCCAGTAACAAGCAAGTGCGACTTCAGCTCAATGGTATCAGCCTCGTACAGGATTCCAGCTGTTCCCAGGAATACATTGAATTCAGAGATGTACCAGTGGTGAGGATACTCGGAAACTAATGATGCACCTCTAAAAAAAAGATACAAATTTATGGATAAAAACTTCTGGTTTATTGCATATAGCAATGTTTCAATGTAGATTACACCGTTTTCCACTCCAACTTGGTAACAGTGTAAGAATCTACCAATCTCAAAACATTGCCAAATGCAATAACGAGAAGTTGTTATTCGTAAAGTTGTATTTTGTATTTTTTTATCACAAACTCCTGGAAGCTAGTCAAACAGTTATGCACCTCTTGTTGTATATTTACGAAATTCACTTCAATAGTATTTGTGTTTATGGAGACCTAAACGTAACAAACTGAAATTGTGTTAGTAATGACTTACAAAAAAATACTTTTACAAACTAACCTGACCATGTTAGTCTAGGTGGTTTACTTGTGTATTTAAACTTTCTTGTCATGATGATTTGCAGGCCCCAAGTGGTAGGAATGTACATTATTGTGGATCAGCTGTCCCTGCCACATTTGACTCCGCTGGGCAGGTTGTACAAGTGAACTATGTCATCCCGGATGGATCACGCAGTCGTGGATTCAGTCTGACCTATCAGATTGCCTGTGAGTCGATATAATCATGTGTCATTGAATACAGGGGAGATTGCCTGTGAGTAGAGATTAATGTGTCATTGAATACAGGGGAGATTGCCTGTGAGTCGATATTAATGTGTCATTGAATACAAGGGAGATTGCCTGTGAGTCGATATTAATGTGTCATTGAATACAGGGGAGATTGCCTGTGAGTCGGTATTAATGAGTTATTGAATACAGGGGAGATTGCCTGTGAGTAGAGATTAATGTGTCATTGAATACAGGGGAGATTGCCTGTGAGTAGAATGTGTTAATGAATACCGGGGAGATTGCCTGTGAGTAAAGTATAATGTGATACTCAATACAGGGGAGATTGCCTGTGAGTAGAATGTGTTAATGAATACAGGGGAGATTGCCACTGAGCTGATTATCATTCAGCTGACACACTGTGCTATAACTGGAAAACTGTTCAAAGCGGCGTTATACCCCCCAACTCACTCACTCTCTCACTCATCTCAAAGCCATCAACACTGAAGCCATCTCAGGAATATATTTGCCTTGCAGCATGTGACAGAAACGTGACAGGATCCAGTGGCCGTATTGTTAGCCCCGGATGGCCCGGGAACTATCCCCGCAATGCTAACTGTGACATACAACTCACCACCCCTCCAGGCACAACAATAGCTCTCTACTTCACATCCATGAACATAGAGTTCCACACAAGATGTGTATTTGACTACCTGGAGGTAAGATACTCAATGACCTCCTGTAACTCATGCATGTTGATCTGTCTGGTTACAATAGGAGGTCCCTTGTACACAAGTTATGCCTCAGTCACATTTGCTCTACGGCTAGAATACAGCGGCCGTAGCCCCCCGAAATTGAGAGATACCTGTGGCGGCCGCAGAGGATCTGCGGTGGCCTCAGGGTCGCCCTAGGACGTATCCCTATTTTTTACAGGCCGTAGGGGTCGCCGTGGGATTATAGCGCGGAGTTATAACTTTTTTATTTCTAGGTTCGCCGTAGCAATTAGACAATTAGACACGCCGTAGCCATGCCGTAGAGTGGTTCCATGGCGTAAGGTGGCCTTGCGTTTGCCATGCAGCTGTCGTGTGTAACGGCAGCGTCAGTCTGGCTGCACGGTTGCCGTATGGTTTCCCTGCAGCTGCCTTGTGGGCGGCTTGCGGCTACCTTGTGTCTGCCCTGGTATTTGTCAAAAACCTACATCTGCCGCAGGGATGCCTTAAGGTGACCATGCGGCAAATGTGACCGAGGCTTTATTGGTCTCTAGTTGGGTATTCCTCATTGGGACAGATCTCTAGGACTCTAGGTTTGTCTCATTGTTATTTCCCAGCAGAATAGGTCCCCAGGGACCCTTATTCATCATATATAATATGACCCTATATCTATCCATTATATATACATAATATGACCCTATATCTATCCAACATATATTTCAATGTCCAATTAAAGTGATGAAATCACACACTCCGTAATTGGCTTACAAAACAAACCTATTTGGGTGTGGCCTAAAGCTACCGACAACTGTTATCATTGTCTGTTACGTTTGCAGCGTTTGTCATTATCATGAATGTTAGCCGTTATACATATACTGTTTCTGATATTTCTGTTAATCCTACAAAAATATCAACATTGTATGCGTTTTTGAATGTGGGAAACGACCCTTGATCTTGACGGTCGATAACTAGTGCTGGCTAAAAAGATCGATAATCGTAATTAAGGTCGATGGGAAGAAATAATAACTATTATAAATGGATATGAAATTGTTGTCACCGATAATAACTTACATAGACTTTTGTGATGAAATAAAGTTTGGATTTACTGTAACAGACTTGGCATTGTCAACTACCGTATTCGTCCCAATAAGCGCCCATGTCCCAATAAGCCCCCCCCCCCTTTTCCCGGATGCCCAAGTAAGATTTACTCACCTGTTTTTTACATATGGTCAAGAATCTTTTGTAGTCGGTTAATGAGGAGATGTTCACCAGTAAAACGTAAGTAACAGTTTATCTCTAGCCCCACAGCAACAGAAGAATATCGATAGGCTTACTGATGAATTTACGCCAATTTGACTCTGAATTGGTCCCAATAAGCGCCCACCCCTTCTGTCTTTATTGTAAGCGCCCTGGGCGCTTATTGGGTCGAATACGGTATGTCAATTGTCGAGGACGGAAAGCAAGTTTTTGTTATATCTCAAATGTCCACCAAATAATCGATGTATAAATGTGTCATTGCAATATTTTAATTTCTTTTGGGACTTTCTTGCATATGAGATTTTTGTCTCATGAAGGGAAGAAAAACAGATTTTGAGATGGCATTTTCAATACATTTAACATAGATTTCAAGTATATCTCGCTATATAGTAGAGTCTGGTATATCTCTACTTCTCTGCTCACAGCTCCATAACGGGACAAGTCTCAGTGACCCCCAAGTGTCCCGGCTCTGTGGCCAAGTCACCCCTGATCCAGTCTTTATCAATGGCAACCAGGTGTACATGAACTTCAAGACAGATTCCTCGGTCAACCATCCTGGATACGACATATCATACACATCCACTACAGAAGGTAAGGGGCAGATCATTTGATATTCTGGAGGGGCCAGGGATTTTATTGAAAAAATGATTGTCCCCCAAATTTTTCGAAAAAAAAAATTATGTTTCAGACTGTTGAGAAAAATAGAAATTGCCTGCCGCAAATTACATTGTTGCAAGGTGTTCTTCTTTTTAAAAGATCAGGATTGTAGTTTTAAATAAATAAATATCTTGTTTTGTAGCTGAAGCTGAAAAAATATATTTGGTCTCAATACAAAATCCTAGGCCCCCCAACAGAATACCAAATGGTCTGTCCCCCAGGGTCGGATACTCTGCATGTATGCACGTTAAGCACCACTTGTTTATTCTTACGTATCCCAAACTTCCATGAATCTGCTGGAAATAGCTATGTATGGGATAGATGTCACCAAAACCTGCAGATGCATTATATAACAATAGAAACATAAAACTACAATGCCATCAGTCTTGATTGTCAGGTAATACAGATTCCATTTGGCATAAAAGGCGAAATAGAGGTGAAAATTATATGGATTATCATTGATGACACCAGGTGTTCGCTGTATGTTTCTCCAAAGGAGCAATGGAAGCAGTTGTAAGGGTAGTAATCTTACCTCCAGAATGTTGAGATCTTATGGCTTCACATGATCTGGGAGGGAAATAAATTTTCGAGCTGGACTATACATGTATATCCATTATACCGTGCTACGAAGCAAAATATTGCACATTGTTCACGAGTCAATGAAAGTCACATGGCACTGCACAAGTTAACCTCCCCTCAATCGAACAGCATTCACATTTGTTGCTAACAATGGCAGATTGAAACCTGTCAGTTCATTATATCAGTATCACTTGGGGTGTAAGTGGTTTTATTTAGGACATGGTACTCTGATGTATGTAGATGTTTATACAAAAAAAATGATATTTTATCTTTATGTCTGTCTTAAGGTTTGGGATGTGGTGGCAACATTACCGGCATCAATGGCAGTCTCACCAGTCCACAATTCCCTGGCAACTTCTCCGATGTTAAGACGTGTCGCTGGCTCATCCAAGTCCCTTCAAGGCGAACTCTGACCTTGACTTTTGCGACCTTGAGCGTCCAAGGAGAGGCTCGCTGTACAGAAAACTATGTCGCAGTGTATGATGGGGACAGTGAGGGAACACAAATATTTGGACGATACTGCAATGTAAGTACTCATAAAACAAAGAGACAATATCATCTGTACACCAACCAGCAAAATAAATGAATTGTGTACATACCTTTATTTATTATTAATGTCAAAAACAAATCTAATAAACTTAGTATCATGATCAATCTCATAAAAATCAGATCTTAGTTCTCGCTATCGCTAAACAAAGATCTGAGGACATCCCATTACGGGTCACGTCAGAACGACCTTTCATCCAGCAATCAAATCGTACTGCTGTTTCAGCTGTTTCCGCCAGAGCTTGTATTTGTGATTTGAAACCTCTGATTAACCAATCAGAATTGAGTATTTTTGAAAATCATGGTAAAAGGTTATTATCTTTGAACCATGTTAGTAATAAACCCATGAATCTGACCAACACATTTCCTTCTTGCAGACTGTACCAGCACCTCTCACAGCTTCAGGAACAACCGCCTACATCAAATTTGTATCAACAGGAAGTGCTCCAGCACCTACATTCCGACTCCTGTTCTCCAGTTAAATACCAACCAGATTTGATTATTTATTATTCTTAACTCAGAATATTTTGGACTTTTTATGTATATAGATGTCCTTTTTGTGACAATTACAAAACTAGAAACTAGTAATATTGGTATTGTGATAAAGACAAGTTTAGTTCATTGCTGCATGGAGAGCAAATAATTCCAACATGTATTATAAATTGTCTAAATGATGTGTTTTTATGGGAAGTCGTAATGTATATATATATATATATATGGGTATAGGTAAATCGTTATATTCATAGGTATACTAACTAAAACAATTTTGACTACAATGAATTTTAGGATTTTTTGTAATTAACATGATTAAGGTCTCCACTGGCAAGAGCTTGCGTATAGTTAGGCTTGAAAAACAATAAAAGAATTGGTTCTCAGGCAATGACTTTTGAAAAAATAGTGGGGCAGGTGGTGCTTTTTTTTGCCTTGTTCAAATCAGTTTGTAACGAAATAAACAGTTGTGTACCATCAACCTGGGAAAGGGCCTCCATACATAAACAAGCATACAAACTCCTATTGCCGCCATGACCATAACACAAGATGCATAGTAAAGCAGTGTGCATGTAAAGGGAAGTAACTGCATGCTATATTGGATCGTATTGTTTTTAAGGTGTCCTCTCAAAACGCCTACCGGTACATGCCGAAACACCTACAGCTTATAACAACAAAGTTCAGAGTTGAATGCACACCTAATCCCCTGCCTGTTACCTTTGTCATTTTAATGGAATAACCCCAAGAATATTTATATACATTTTATTTTATTAATCATTCAGATGATAATCACAATAATCTAATTAGTTTAGAACTTATCAGTCAGATGATAATCACAATAAGTCACTAGCCAAGTTTCTAAAGATGACAAACAGCATCCAAGTATTGGATGGGTGTTTTTAATCCTTGGGCCAAATGTTCTTTTAAGTGGTACAAGCGATTCTCTACCTAAGTATAAAGATTTTTTTGTTTTGAAAATGGAAGTAAAAACGGAATGTGCTGCAGACTATGATGATGCGGTACCTGAGAACCAAGACTATTCTTTTTTAAGCCTTATCAAGATCTGCAAGTTGTGGAGTCATGTAATTATTTTCTGTTGTTTCAATATCTTCTTTTGAGGTGAATATTTTTGTAAAACTTTTGCTTAAAGATTGTGTATATATAGTATGTTTGTGGTTGAAATTGTATGTTTCATACATTTTGCAGGATGTGTTTCAAATTATTCTATGTTTTTATTTTCCACATATCATTGTATGTATCACCTGTGTAAAATCAATAAATGAGGAGCTCCAATTATTTTTGTTATATGTACATTTGGGCCACTCTTGGGACTTTTAGGGGACACGGGTGGACCAGACGTCTAAGGCGCAGCCATTCACTATGCAGAATTGCATCCCTGGGGCACACCAGAAACCTGTGTTTGTGGGTTCGAATCCAGATTTGCCCTGATTATGTTTCTAGGTTTGTCAGCACAATACCTGTGCTCGTGGGTTTCACAGAAGTGGTAAACGTCTGAGACCTGCATCACTTGGGGCTTTCCTCCCACATTAAGCCTACACACTGTGATATAACTGGAATACTGTTCAAAGCAGTGTTAACCAAACTCACTGCCACTTATGTGACTGTGAATGTTGTTTTCCCCTTTAGTCAGCAATATTGTAGGTAGATCGGGTTGGCCTGCAGATATTTGGACCAGGCATTAAACTGTGAGAAAGCAAGAGCACCGCTTCTTGGGTACAAGGACACACTTAAGAGATAAACCTTCTGTATTGTTTGATAGGCATTACTTAGAAGCTGACGGATGATGCCTATCAAACAATACAGAAGGTTTGACAACTTCTTTAATACTGTAAAGGCGATGTTTCTGTATAGATCCTTATACCGTTGTCAAGCAAGACTGAATGAGGGGCATTGTACAGAATATATATATATATAGGTGGAGGATTAACAGTAGAGGATTAACAGAATTGATACCATCCCTCTGCTATGAGTGAGTGAGTGAGTATGGTTTTACGCCGCTTTTAGCAATATTCCAGCAATATCACGGCGGGGGAACACCAGAAATGGGCTTCACACATTGTATCCATGTCGGGAATCGAACCCGGGTCTTTGGCGTGACGAGCGAACGCCCTCTGCTATGAACTCATTAAGCAATAATCACCACACCTGTGTAAACTTAGCCTGTTTAATTGGCTTCATGTCCCATTGGCTTCTTCCTATGTGTTCTCTGTCCATCATGTTGTGACAGTATTATCCTACTGTTTTCATTACTTACTCATGCGGGGGCACAGGGGGCCCAGGTGTCTAAGGCACCACGATTCGCTGTGCAGAGTTGCGTCCCTTGAGCATGCCAGAACCCTATGATTGTGGGTTTGAATCCCGGTTCACCCCGATTATGTTTCTAGTTTGTCTGCACCATACCCGTGCTGGTGGGTTTCACCAAGGTGGTAAACGTCTTAGACCTGCATCACTTCGGGCTTTCCTCCCACTTTAAGCTGACACGCTGTGATATAACTGAAATACTGTGAAAAGCCGTGTTAAACCCAACTCACTGACTCACTCATGTTATCCCACCCATGTATGCAATAGTTGTTACTGTTAATCCTCCACTGTTATCCTCCACCTACTATATATATCCTGTTCCTCATTCAGTCTTGCTTGACAACGGTATAAGGATTACCAAACACTAGGAATTAGTCCCCCCAAGCTTCCTAATATCTGCATCAAGTTGATGAGGGTTATTGGTTGAAAGAAGTGATGGTGTCCTGCCTCGTGTATGCACAGTTACATTTCCTGTGGAAGACAGGGTTTTCCTCACTAGTAGACATGTTAGCAGTGAAGAGGATGTCTGTTGAAGATTGACAGTCTAAACAGGAATTTATGGCTATGATGCGATAGACGTTGGGTATTCAAAGGAATGATGGGGTTTTACGTCGAGTTAAAAGATTATTGCACTTATATGGTGATGTTCATGCATGCATGTTCATAGCTGCCTGGACTGATGCTGGTCTTATTGTGCTAGCCCACTGAGATACCTCAAGGGATGCAACTCTGCACAGCGAACTTCTCTGCCTTAGCCGACTGGGCCACCCCTGTGCCCCTCCCTTTGATAAGAAAAATGAGTGAGTGAGTATGGTTTTACGCCGCCTTTAGCAATATTCCAGCAATATCACGGCGGGGGACACCAGAAATGGGCTTCACACATTGTACCCATGTCGGGAATCGAACCCGGGTCTTCGGCGTGATGAGCGAACGCTTTAACCACTAGGCTACCCGACCGCCCCGCTAGCCCACTGAGATACCATGTTGCAGTATATCATGGAAGCCCACTCAAACATAGTAGCCACAAGTACCATCTATTAACGTCTTGGTATAACACAACCAAGGGATCAAACCACCGACCTTCCACTCTCTGGCCAGATGCCCTATCCACTGGACCACAATGTAACTGAGGAGTGAATGTTGTTTTACGCCTGCAACATTCCAGCTGTATCATGACAGCCTGTAAATAACTGATTCAGAACCAGGTAAACCAGTCACAGAACCTAAGTGACAAACATCAGAATGACACATGCTTGTCGTAAGAGGCGACTAACAGGACCGGGTGGTCAGGCTCACTGACGCATGTCATCGTATCTCAATTGCGTGGATCGATGCTCATGATATCAATCACTGGATTGGTCCAGATTGGTTATTTACAGACCGCCATCATAGAGCTGGAATATTGCTGAGTGCGCCGTTATACAACAACCAAACAAAAAACAAGCACAATCAGAGTGTGATCACTGGTTCCAGTGTAGTTGCCTGATGTGATCAGCAATGGGGTAAAGGGACCATTCCAACCTTGTGATGACCATGGGTTATCCAGGCAACAAATGAAAGGATTCTATGTCTTCGCCCACAGGGTTGGTTTGTTGGTTTGTTGTTTAACAACGCACTCAGCAGTATTCCAGCTATATGACGGCGGTCTGTAAATAATAGAGTCTGGACCAGACAATCCAGTGATTGATATCATGAGCATCGATCCACGCAATTGGGATCGATGACATGCATCAACCAAGTCAGCGAGCCTGACCACCCGATCCCGTTTGTTGCCTTTTACGACAAGCATTGGTTGCTGAAGACCTATTCTACCCCGGATCTTTAAAGCTGCTTTTAACAGTATTCCTGTTATAACATGGCACGTGGGTTTGATATGGGAGGAACGTTTACAGATAGCACGTCTTAGACATTTGCCACCTGTGTCCCCTTTTCGTAATAGAACAGAGACACTATACCCTGGACAGTGGAAGATGCTGCATGATGAATTGTTAGCTGGCTTCCAAGTACAAGTGGGCGATGTCATGGCCTCTTTGTTTGTCGTACAGTGTCAGTAAAAATCTCCTCCAAAACCCTACACCAATGATTTGTTTGTTTGTTGTTTGAAAGCTGTAGTCCGTGAACAGCTGTTTATCTAACTTGATCAGGTGATCACACTTGAGGTATTGATTTGCTGTAGGCAGTGACGAGTGAGGTGAGGTGAGGTGAGGTGAAATGGGGTTTAACGTCGCATCCAAGATTATTGCACTTATATAGCGACGTGCATGCACGTGTGTGTGTGTGGCTGCTTGTACCAGTCCGGACTAATAAGTATACTGACTCCGAGCCGACCAGTCCTTGTTTTAGCCCCTTAATGCCGAGCGCCAGACAGGGTAACTACAAGTACCATCTTTTAACGTCTTTTGGTATGACGCGGCCGGGGATCGAACCCCGGACCTTCCGCTCTCCGGGCGGACGCTCTACCACTAGACCACAGAGGCGGTAGCAGTGACGAGTGACCAGTCACAAGTCACTTACTTCAATTACCTTTGATGACTCCGATGACTCTGATGACTTAGCACAGGAATGTATCCACTCCCAGGGTTCAGATGGCAGGCACAATCAATGCTGGCTGAAGAGCTGATGTGTCTTTGGCTTCCATGATTTGTTTCTCTGACAGGAAAGTGTTTTCAGGGGTTGAATCCAACCTTCATTATCTGTGATGATGTTAAGTCATTGATGTTCAGTGTGGGTTCCTCATGTTGTTAAAAACAATGACAACCACTGTTATTTGTTTGTTTGTTGTTCTGTGACTGGTTTACCTGGTTCTGAATCAGATATTTACAGGCTGTCATGATACAGCTGGAATGTTGCAGGCGTAAAACAACATTCACTCCTCAGTTCCATTGTGGTCCAGTTGATAGGGCATCTGGCCAGAGAGCGGACGGTCGGTGGTTTGATCCCTTGGTTGAGTTATACCAAGATCTATGCATTTGGGATACGATGACATGCATCAACCAAGTCAGGGAGCCTGACCACCCGATCCTGTTAGTCACCTCTTACGACATGCATAGTCGCCTTTTACAGCGAGCATGGGTTTGCTGAAGACATGTTCTACCCCGTATCTTCACGGGTCCTACACCAATGAAGTAACATATTCCCACCAATGACTACAAAAATTGTTCACAAACTTTTCATATGACTAATGTGCAGCCATTTTGCAGATAATTAAGACAATCATGTGCATGACCTAGATACTGGGGTGGTCGTCATGGTGACGCATGGCTGGCTGGGCACATGAAGCTTTAGAAGCTGGAAAGTTTGATCAAAGAAGTTTCCTGGCAAGGGATTGAAAGAAGGAGGAATGCATAGAGTCTGATTGGGTAAGTTTAAAATTTTGACTTAATTGTACCATATAGCGGGGCCGCTGTATTCCCTTAATCTATATTGCAGTATTTAGAATTCTTTTCCAAATTGTACTTTCAATTTTTGATCATATACACAAATTCCCAAATAATTTAATTTTTTCTTTGAAATTTCTACTGAGGGAATACAAACAGCTTTGATCCAATATAGCCATCATGGCAGACATGTTGAAAACATTTTGAGGCTATAGCTCAGCCATTTTTGTTCCAAATTTAGGTGTCATGACTGTTGGGACCACCATGTCAAGTTTCAGCTTCATTGGCCACCATGACTGCCATATTAAAAAATATATTTATTATTCAGGCATTTTTGTTCAAATGTAATGTGTATGTGTAGATGATAGACTCGGTATGTGTCTCCTGTTTTTGAGATATTTTAGATTTTGACCTTGATTTGACATTTGCACTTTGACCATGCTCCAAAATATTTTCAAAATTCCTTTCCTCGCAATGCAAACATCTTCTCACTTACGTCTGGATGAGGATGCTGAGTGTTTGCATGTATGTTTCATCTTTGACACGTTTGATGTCATTATATTTGTCCAAATCTATGGAATTTAGTGTTAGCTT